AAGGAGTGTCGTGTATTGTATTGAAGGGTCAATAAAAATATATATATATTTTTAAAATGCATCCTTGTGTTTAACCTAACTTTCATATTTAGTCTTGTTTGTTTTATGTTTTCAGGTACCTTTTCTGTTTTTATGCCAATATAATTTTTACATTCATGAGCAAAAACCAGAAAAAAAACTTGTGTTATAGCTGCTTATCGGCATCAAAATTACCAGAATTCTAGGGTATGGTCGTGCTAAACTTTCTGGTTTGGTGTTTCATTTTTGATTCAGTAAATGGCAGTTAGGTTAGCGGGGCGGTGGAACACTTTTCAAACGGGGGGGGGGGGGGGGGGGGGGACACCAAAATGGGGCTCTTGCTCAGAAAAGGGGCACCTTCCGTCGGTGTGAAAGTGGAGGAAAAGACCGTGCTCCCGTTCATTTCGCTATCAACCTATATGACGCGGAACAAATTCAGAACGCGTTATCATCTTGCTCTTTGTGTTTCTTTTACCTATAGTTATGTACCGAGACCAATTTGTTTATCGCGAGAGGGGCACTGTGGCTTTTGATGACCAGTTCAGAGGCTATTTCATTCGCGTGTAGAGCACTTTTATTTTTAGGGGCCAGGTTTCCATCTAGTCTATGGCGAAAGCAGATTCGCTGTTTTATTACGCAAGACAACCGTCTCTTGACCTCTAGATTTTGACCAATCAGGGGTCTTCGATCATTCACCCGTTGCGCGTCATAGACAATAGATAAAAATTAACCTGTGTCACGCGCTCTGTATCATGTTACGCGATATGCACCGGCTGTTGTTACAAAACACTGCATTCGAATTGACCAATCAAACCATTAAGTCCTAATTTGGGAATGAAATGACGTCACTATTTAGTAAAGTCTACTCCGATTGGCTGGTGCGCGGCTTGCATATATCTACATGTCTAGACATATCAAACGTTATACAGGAGACTTGGCTCCGTGGATAACGGGTGATACTCAGACTATTTTCCATCTTGAGAGGGGGCACAATTTTAATGTTGCGATCGGGGCACTAATTGTGCTTTCGAGGGGCAGTTTCTATCTCGAGAAGTTATCGCGAGAGGAGCACTATTGTGTTTGATGGCCAATTTCCCACCTCGAGAGGGGCACAATTTTATTATTGCGAGAGGGGTATTGGTACTTTCGAGGGGTACTTTTCCATATCGAGAAGGTGCACAATATTGTTAATGCGAGAGGGGTACTTGTGTTTTTGAGGGGCAGTTTTGCATTACAAGAGAGGAGACAATTTTATTTGTAGCGCGATCATAATGTTTTCATACTTGCGTTGGAGGGGCAGTTTTGTTTTCATTTTGAGTGGGCGGTTCTGCCGCCCATGTTAAGCAACAGTTTATTTGGGCCAAAACGGAGTCCACTACATGTAGGTATAGATTGTTTGCACTGCAACCATGTTTGATGTATGTGCTTTTGTTTAATAGGGATACACGTACGTCGGTGGACCTCTTGTATATTCATTTTTAATGAATCAACACAAACATAACGAAACACCCCTGGCACTCCGAATGTCATTAACCACAAAAGCAACAGCGCCCCCAATTGTCAGAAACAGTGTATGACATAATTATTAAAATGTTAAAAATGATTTGCAATTAAAGAAACAAGCCAATTAACCGGAATGTCTGATTATTTTATATCACTTCGGAGGAATGGACTTTTTGCACCAAATGTGTTTCATTGTAAAATGTCATTGATTCCCTTCATACCCGATAGTTGAAGTAAACACCTAGTGTATTCTACCTTGTACTTTTTTAACTGGCATTATTTAACTAACACGATCCCCCCCCCCCCCCCCCAGGAACGATATAGGTTTACCTAAACCATGGAGCTATATCCTTCTGTTAATTGCTCTCATGCCTTGATGACCAGGGATACGTACAACACGTATGGAGCCCGGTGCATAATCGACTTGGAGAAAAGTAGTTTTTATTTTTAAATACAATCGTGGAAATGGTTCACTTCTAACGACGCGGTGATGTACCACGTGTAGGCTATAGTATTGGTGATAAGTGCGCCATCGTGTATACATCTCAGAGAAACACTGACTAGAAAAGCTATGGAAACACAAGTTTTCCGTATTCAGTATAGTTTATTGAATTAAACAATAGATTAAGTGAACACCTATTCCCAACAATATTAACAACTGCATTCCGATATAACAATTATTATTTAAAGAAAAGGGGAACACGGCTATGCACATCCACGTTTATCTATATATGTTTTTTTTTAACAGTGCCCTCAAGCGTCAAATGACGTTAATCCCCCTTCCCCCTTTCCTCCGGTGTTTCGATTTTTTTCCACTGCAGGTGATTTCTAACTGTGAGTACTTCGCTACCTTCTAGAAAATAAATCACTAAATCATTGCGACTCCCGTGCCCTATATAGTATACAGGGTGAGTCAAAAAGAAAGTGACCCGAATTAATTTTTCTCAACAAGTAACAACATTTGAAACACCAATGACGTACATGTATATCTTAAACGAGCATGTTCTTCCACTCATCTAAAAAAAAATACTGAAATTGATCAATGTCATCAGAGGTTATGCACGTTTTACTAAAAGACCAAATTTTACAGCTGTCCGTGGAATGCCATTGAGCTCAGTGAGAAGTACAGATTACTCACAAGCATTCAAATACAATTGAGATTTTAATCATTTAAATCAAGACTGACACCGTCTTTTTACTGTCAGATATTGTGTTTTGAATATGAGGAACAAGTCATTTTTAATTTTTTTTTTAAATATTAATGGCGGTTTTGGTATTTTTTTCCTTTGCATGTTCTCCTCCATTCAGGTGGGAAAACGTCCATGTTTCATTGTATTTAATGGGTATTCATCAGTTCGTAGAACGGTAACTGATCAGTGGTGGACAGCTGAATTTTGTGATCTTTTCATTGAAATATAGACGTAACTTGGGAATAGAGTATGCAAATTACGTGAAATGTTCACAGTTAGGCCTAATAGTCAATAACATGAACCGTGCCTTTGGTTTTTGTATGAAAGGAAGAGAGCCACATATTTTAAAATATTTTTTTCGCACTCGGTCACTTTCTTTATGACTTACTTTGTAGTCGTCCAAATAACTTCGCCTTTGCTTTAAAATGAGGTATTTACATACCAGAAAATCATGCAATTTGATCCATTACTTTCGAATATATCACAACAGTACGATTCACAAACTGAACCAAATTAAACGTGTACATGTATACCTTTTTACGATACTATTATGCATACAAATTTTAAAGAGGTTGTGGAATGCTGAAAGTCGTTTTGTTTTTTATATATTTTTTTTATTGTCGAGTAGACCCATATACATGTACATCATAATGACAAACTCCCATTCTTTTGTAATGTGCGTTTATATGTTTATAAAACTGAAATTCATCGAGTAATTTGTTGGTCGGCGAGCGCATAATTGAAATCAACAGTCGTCGGGTTCTTCGTAAAATCAGAAAAATCGTGACGTAATAAACAGGACTCGTTACGCTGCATAGGGAGTCCTGTTTATTACATCACGATTTACTATCTTTTGATTGCTGCCCCCAACGACGACTTTTACACAAATTGCACGTTCGGGTCGAAAAAGGACCAGAAAAACAGCTCTCAAAAGTACCTTTTGTATTCATTTCATGACGGAAACAATAGTCGTTTTTATTTCATCACACCTTAGGCTACATATACCCCAAAAATGACGGAAATGTCTTCGAGCATTCCACAACCTCTTTAATGACTACTGACAACAAAATATTGCGTACATAATTATGGCAAAGCAGAATATCAAGGTGTACTACATGTTTTACATAGGCATTTTGTTTACTCCTAGTATTGTGCGTTTTTTGTCAAATATAAAAGCAGTTTTAAATTGAAATACTTATGCCTATGCCTATAATCGAGAAAAGTGTATATGTGCTATTTCTTTAAATCTGAGCCAGATTTTATCTTGGAATATTATGCACACAACATATTTTGGCCATCTTTACATATATTCTAGAAAATTTACAAAATACAAATATACATACTGTTCTACATACATATTGCTATGTACAAATTTGAATGTGTTCCAAAACAGTGGATATAGCCATACAGTATGGTTGCAGGAAAAATCACAGATGTAATCATCGAATTATTAAACAATTGACGAATTTCAAATTGGCACTGAAGCCGATCGAGGTCCTCAATGCTGTCATTTGTTGAGAGGATTTAAAAAGAAAAGATCCTCAATTCATACAATGGCTTAGCACTGACAGCCTCGGTTTCAAATCCAATTTGCAATTCGTCTATTGAATGGGGCTTTCTACAAAGACCAAACAGCAAAGGATTAAAAAAAAATTAATGAACTAGTTACGCAACTAAAGTGGTTCCTATTCCATAATTTCATTATACAACATTCTACATAGTTTAAGAGTTTTATGTTAAAAGAATATTTTTTTTGGGGGGGGGGGGGCTGCCAGAGGGCAAGCCTAGAGTCCTCAAGCTTTGTACCTGACTGTTTGACTGACTGACTCACTGACTGTCACACTAGTGGGACAGATAGAGGAAATATTTGAGGGAAGTGTGCCTTTGATGATACAAGCATGGCATGTGGCACACGGCAAGAGTATGTCTTAAGAATGATTTTTGGCTATAGGGCCATCGAGGATTTGTCCTTTGAAAAAAACTATTAACTATTGGTAGAATAACAAGCAACTATAGCCCTATAGCCAAATATGTTTCTCATGACATACTCTGACTGTGTGCCAAATGCCATGCTTGTACATCATCAAAGGCACAATCCCATCACCTCTGCGCCGTACGACACTGGCTGCAACTTGTAAGCCGGGCACTGACATTACCCCGAAACGCCAATGAATGGGCTAAGGCGTATAGACTGAAATCAGATGTATAGAAAGACTTCCACCCCTTCTGAATCACTGAATCTATTTTGTGCGATCTGGAACCAGTTTTACAAGGCTTACCTTGTCTGTCTTTATTGTTCAAGTTGCTCTTCTCGTGCTATTTAGGTTTTTGATCATATGTATCTGTCCAGCAATACGACAGTTCTTCATTTTGACAAGGAATTCGAATCACTGATGGAGAGAATTTCGGGAAGAGCAAATTTCGTCAACACTTAATTTGAACATCGGAGAACACCCAAAGGCATGTTATATTTTTGGAAGTCGAAATCCCCGATTATTGCTTCAACATGAACCTTTTATATCTAGTACCTGTGGTTACACTAGTCTCTGACAAGCTCCGTGCAGCCGCTGCGGCGATAGAGGTCGCTTTCAACGCGAAGAATCAAATTACTCCAGTCTTGGGAACCTCGGCAGCAACACCCAGAAAATTCCGAGCATAAGCTAATGCACGTGCCTGAGGTATTATTAAGGAATAAAATTCAAATCCAGTCTTGGGCCAAGACTATGGTCACACCAGACACGGTCACTATAAAAACAGCCTTGTTTCAGAGCCCAACGCTCAATAATAGGCGGACATCTTGACGGGCCAACCTCCATTCTGTCGCATTAGTTTCCTCGGGTTGTCAGCATGACGCTCCTAACGATAAACAAACCTCCTTTTCACCGGTTTAAAAACCAGAGCTTTCACGGTAGAGGCTTTAATGGTTCCCGGATACAAACGGTTCACTTTAACATGGTTTAGTAATAGGCCTGCTGCATACAGTTCTCTCTTGAAGTTTTGAGTGAGTTACGTTCGCTATCTAAACCATCGTGCTCCAGGGCATAGTTTCTAGGTGTTTGCATTTCCAGAGGCAAGCATTTCATATTTTGGTTAATACCGTGAGGACCATCAATCCTGCCCAGACGAGCGAAGATACGGCCGGCGATACCACGATACTCCCGGTGGACGATGTGTCCATGGTCTCGTTGAAGTAGAAGCACTTTCCTGAGGAGTACGGCGCGACTTCAAAGCGCCGACTCTTGCAGAAATTGGTGCCGTTCTTGTACAGCTCCCCGATAGCAGAACCCTTGAGAATAGCGTCCTTGCACCGATCAAAGATGAGATCACAGAACTCCTCGCACACAGTAAGCCTCTGCCATAGGTAGAACTTGTACTGGGTCGGCGCGCAGATGTAGCAGATAAGATAATTGATGTATTTCTGGCAAGGTAGCGTGGCCCCTTGCAGTGGTTTGACTTTCCCGAAAGCCACCTCGATTTCTACCTGCCGGCAACAGCAGTTGTCCTGGTACCAAGTACAGTTTTTAAGATTAGGTTGAAACTCCGGCTTTCGGTTGTTGAAGAATGTACAGTAGGGCTTCTCCGTATCTTCAGGGACTATCAACTCGGTACTGGGAACCTTGATGTCGGTGATTTCCTGCGAGGTCGCCGGGGCAAGGGCGATGGACAGAAACCCAGCGACACACGCAACCAGACACGGTAACAACGATGCGGTGTGGATGCCGTTGAGATGCCGGGCCGCCATGTTGGATGCAGAGGTATCCGTGTAGGTTAGAGCAGCGCGAATCGATGCATTATCATCATTGTCATAATTTATGAGACGGGGCCATCTGCATCTGACGCACTCTCATACATTGACGCGTGCACGCAGCTACACGGCAGTAAACGTGCATTGGACTCATCAAGCTACGTTGCTTTCCTCGCGCCGTGCTCTGTGTATTACACATTGACCCTATTTAATTAAAGGTCATCCTGACAAATTCGTTCAGCCAGTGCTGCCGTACATATATCCATACCTACATTAATCAATACTGCATGGCCCATGTCTATCATGACGCTGAAATGTGTTATCACAACTTCATATTTTTATTAGGTAGCCCTATGTCCTTTTCCCCCACCACGTAGGCCCTATCGATTGACATAATGGAAGTGTACGTTTGCGGCTATTATTAAGCGTTCTGTATAGTTATTGATTACAAATTCGTGTTGTCGTATTTAAAGGATATTGCATGGCAAAACTGATTATTGACAATGTAATACAAAAACTTAAGATCTACGTCGATCCCAGCCACACAAAAGCATTGCCTTTATAGGCCTATAAGATGACGCATGCAGTCTCAGACTAATCCAATATCTGTAATAATAATTTTATACAGGGTGTCCCCCAAAAAGTTGTGCACGCAGATATCCTTTAATTTCTCAAAAACTACGAATATACTCTTGTGAATAATCAGTGAAAATGCCATGGAAATCCGTTCGTGTAAACCAGAGATCTAACAGATTATAAAAGGCTATTGGGTTTTCACCCATTCCAATGGGATGGGATTACACAGTTAACTTAAAGGGAAGATACAACATTTGCAAACATCAAAAATCGAAATGACCAAATTATCACGAAATATCTACTGGATTGTTAGGGAATGGCAGTCCAAAGCATCCTGTAAAATCATGGCTCCTGGTGTGCTGACATGTTCAAGAAAACTTGCATTTTTCCAACGCTGGTCGGCCGACCAGCGTTGGAAAAACTTTTTTTTCTTCAAAACCTGCTTCTAAATTTTTCATTTTTAGTTATTTCGCATTTTCTTTGCAAATAGTTACACACCTGTGAAGGAGTACAAGCCTGCTAGACCGATTCTCTGACCTTACAATTCCCCTAAGTCTAAAATTGCTCCGTTTCATCTTAAGTGGGGTCAGGGAACCAGACTACAAGAACATGGCTGGTTTTCTTGGATTTTCCAGCAACTCCGAACCCAAAACGTGAAACTAGTCAGTTTAACAATATTTGCTATAACGTACTAATCCTCCAAATCCATTTATGTCGGAAAATTGCAGCAAAGCACATTCCTTTTTTAGGTGAAAAGGCCCATGACAATCTGATGCACTAACATCACTAACTGTGTAAATCCCATTGGAATGGGTGAAAAAAAACACAGCATTTTACAATCTGTTAGATCTCTGGTTTGCATGAACGGATCAAGATGAAATACTCATGTTAGGTCAGTTTTTGAGAAATTAATGGATATCTGCTTGCACAAGTTTTTGGGACACCCTGTATAGTTTTAACAACGGACGCAATACATCGCATTAAAAACTGCAGCTATCAATTTGGCAATTGTTTTGCCAGTAAAAATTCACCTCAATATGAAATTTAAGTTGACTGCGCCTTTGAGCTTCGTAAAAAGTCACAATGACGCGATTGAAGACATCCTTTGCTTTGATTACTTCCCCAAAATCCATTCATATTGTCATTTAGAAAGAAATCACCCAAAGGGACATCAGAGTGTTGATATTGATTTAATATTGTTTTATATCGGCAAATCGGGGTCTGCTCATAAGTCCGATGCCTCATAGGTCCGACGCCTCATATGAGGCGTCGGGACTTATGAGGTATAACATTGATTTATTCCGCCTCACAGGTCCGACACCTCATAAGTCCGACGCCTCATAGCTCAGACGCCTCGTAAGTCCGAATGAGGCGTCGGACCTATGAGGCGGAATTTATGCGTCATACGTCCGACATTTCGGACTTATGAGTCGTCGGACCTATGAGGCGTCGGACTTATGATACGCCCGCCCCCCCCCCCCCCAATCTTCTGTTTCTATAGTTGATCATGTCAGTGGCGTAGCCGGGGGGGGGGGGGTGTCAGAGTGGCAGAGATTTTAAAACCAAAATCGAGACGCTGATAGAAGTAAAATCAGGAAGGCGAAAATGGATTATATATGCAAAATCGGGACGAAGAATAGGCCTAATCGGGACAAATAACGGGCAAACAAACCCTAGCTACGCGCATGGATTATGCAATGTCTGACCGATGACAAATGATTGCATATTACTTTAAAACAAAATCTAGATTTTCTATCCATAAAAAGGGGGTAATCTCGATTAAACTGTTCTGGTCTCTGCATGTGTTGACTTCGATCACCAACACCATCAACCAGAGTTGTAACGAGTCACTGATTTTTGTGACTCGAGTCGAGTCGAGTCATTTTAAAGAAGTGACTCGAGTCAAGTCGAGTCATTAGGTCAACAAGGTCGAGTCGAGTCGAGTCGAGTCACAGAGTGTGGTCGAGTCGAGTCGAGTCGAGTCAAGTATTTAGCTCGAGTCAATTCGAGTCACAAATATTTGAACACTAAATTACAATAAAAAGCAACAAACACAAGAGAGAAAGAATACAAGGCACCAGTCTATTACGGAAATCCAAAGACATAAAGTATGCTGTATGGTACCCAACCAACAGTTTCCATTGCTAGCTCACGTCACAGATAAGAAGATGTGAAACTTCGGTCTTATAACCGTTTGGCTTCGAGTCTAGATTTTGTTGTTCGCTGATCGCTGACAACGTTAAAACCTAATTGCATTATACAAAACTGTTTCTGATTATTTAAAGGTGGGCCCGTCTGTATCCATTTTTGTGTGTGAAATCGGGACATGAATTTAGCCAGCGTTCCACCAAGAACTTCAAAATCGCCCGAAACCAATGATGAAACCACGGATTGAGAAATGCGTTTTAAGTCTGGTTCCGGGTTTAGCATTACATGCTATAGAACCACAAGGTGGGAGTCCGCGACACGGTGTATGTTTGTTGTTTCATTATGGAGGAAGGAAACAGACTGCCGCTGTATATAAACGTACATTATTCGCGAACATTAACGTGACGTGAACAAAAACTGGCAACGCGAACGGCGCAGCGTAAGTCATTGCAAATATTTTTCGCAAGTAAGTTTTGCTTTTATTTTGGGACTCGAGTCTTATTAGCCTTCCTCGAGTCGAGTCGAGTCATTCTGATGAGGGACTCGAGTCGAGTCGAGTCATTTGCTCGCAGTGACTCGAGTCGAGTCGAGTCATTTACCCGTCGGGACTCGAGTCGAGTCGAGTCGCCAAAAAATGTGACTCGAGTCGGACTCGAGTCGAGTCATTGACTCGAGTCATTACAACTCTGCCATCAACCACCCCTTTGAGAAATCCTGGTCGTCAACAATCCTTTTCCCCCTTTGAAAAATCCTTCATTGTTGGGCTTCCTTTATGGAAACTATTTCATTATACCAATTGGACTTATTGACAGAAAGATCGTTGAAAATGAAAGATACAGTTGAAAGTTAGCTCTGCGAATAGGGATGGGGAATTTGGTGAAAGGAATTAGCATTCGCATTCACACCAGCATTTCCCATTTCGTGGCAATGTTTTCCCATTGTGTGAAAATGTTTTCCAACTTGTGTGAAAAGGTGTGAAAATGTTTTCCAATTTGTGTGAGAAGGCGTGAAAATGTTTTCCCATTTTGTATGAAATATGGGGGGGGGGGGGGGGGTGTTGATATAAAAGGGGGTTGAGTGGCGGCGTGTTAAAGGAATATTTCGTTATGGGGGATTGGGGCATGCCCCCAGGAAATTTTGACACTTATACGATGCTTTCTCCTGCATTCTGGCAATTTGGGAATACATTTAGGAACTTTAACATTCCATTTATAATATTTCAAGTAGTGGCCTCACTCTCAACGGGGATGGGGGGGGGGGGGTGCAACTCCAACCCCCTCTAGATCCGCCGTGAAATGGACCATAAACATGACCAAAGTTAAAACATAGAGCTAAAAATGCTTAAAAGCGCCACAACCGTGCTTCATGATGCCCGACTGACTATCTGAGTCTCCTTAACCCCCAAGTTAAGAAGTGAGAAATTCTTAAAGCATTTTCATACTGATAAAAATGGAACGAAACAGTTGATCAAGGCACTCTTCCGCTCCGGATGATCTCGGAACATCCCGAGTGGTTCCGGCCAATTTCCTGAGCGTTTTACCCGGGAGAGTTCTTGAGCACTCTTAGTTCTGGTACACGGTGCATAAAGAAGGGGGGGGGGGTGCTCGGAGCAATGCCATTAACTGACCAGTTTCTTGTGACCGAGTTATCACTCACAGCTTCAGCAGAAGGAAACGCTTTTTTTACCAGGCCAACTTCGTCATGTAAGCAGTAGACTTTACGCGGCGTCAATACCTTTTGCGAGTAATTCATTGCCCATGAAATTAAGAATGCCCCCCCCCCCAAAAAAAACCCCCCAGAAATATCGCGCCTCTTACTGTCATGCAATTTGAAAAAAGGTACAAAATTCCAAAATTGGCAAAATACACATTAAAATTCGCCTGGGCTTTCCGCGGCGACTTCTTTTTCGCTTGCGAACAATTTTCGGTGTCTTTGTTCCGTGTCGAATCGAAAACTTGACTACAATTCCAGTTGTAAGTTTCAAGCAATCACACAAAAAAATAATCAAAACAAAATTAAAAACCACGTTCAATATACACAACAGACATTCAGGAATTCAAGCAAAAAGATATACAAAACGCAAATTTCTCAATACCTTATTTCCCAATGTATATTCTCAAAAAAAAAAATTCCTCACAGCTAGCCATGACACCTATTTTAATGGAAAGTAGTATCATGTCCTTAAACGAAAATAATATTTCTGAAAAAGTAAGTCTGAAGATTCGAACTTGGTTTGTCCGCACCCATCCAGTGGCGTAGCCAGGATTATCACCATAGGGGGCGAGTGGGGGTGGGGAGGGGGTGGGGCAATTTCTGTTAAACCATGGTCACTTACAGAACCCGTTAACCGTGGTCACTTATAGGACGAACAAATTTCAAGGGGGCGCCCCCCCCCCCCCCCCCCCCCGGCTACGCCGCGGACCCATCGTCTGAAACATATTGTGTTACCTAGTCGGATCAATCTAATTTTGATTTAAAAACCTTCCTTTTTAAATTATTTTTTAATAAACTACCCCCAAATCACGTGAAACGTTACTTCTATCACGGGATATGTTATGCGCGTCAAGACAATGACTAGACATGAAGTTTAAAGTCTAAACAATTGTTTATTCAACAAAGGAAGCAACATATAACATTTTATAGACGGCCTTTGATTATAAAATGGTTCAAAAATACAATAAAGCTTTCATTTTACAACCGGGAACAATTTATACTTCTTTGTTTTCTTCAATGTTAAGACATGTCAGTCTGTTGCTGTATGGCGTTTTTAGTAATAATAGTATGTGGTTATAATGTAATATAAACTGCCTTATCGCAAGAATTAAACTGTGATACCATTTTAAATTGATTCCAACAAGACAGAACAAAATATATCATGTTCATAAATAATTCCATTACACAAAGAACAGATACTGGTGAACTGAAATCAACAAAGTTATCTTCATTGTTGACGTGTTTATCAATCACACTCTTTGATAAAACTGAAACATAAAACTCGAATGGACAAATGCAATTCCATATAACATAATAGAGCAGTTGAAGAAGATACATAATCTGTTTAAGCATTTAAGCACACACGGATTCAATAGATCACAGATATTTCGAAGAAATTTTTCAAAACCTGAATTAAATCAGAGATGTAGTGTGTCCATACTGTCCAAATTATTGCCCAAAAAACAGCCTTGAACTTGAAAAAGCAGCTATTTCAAGAATTACCCACCATTTTGACGGAACACTTAACATATTCTAATAGCAGACATGACTAAGCTTGAGAGATAAACATACGTAACAAATCAGAAGACGTATTTGTTCTAGAATAAAAAAATATTGTATTATTGTATTATACATTGTTTGAACATTTGTCAACATTCACAATCTGACTTACTCACGTCAAACAAAAATGTGTTGAAACAATTAAACAATACTTCTTCGTTTGACATTTTCAATTCAAAATATAAACGGGCTGATGCTGTTTTGCATTCAAGACAGGCACTAGGCAGGGTTGATATTTTAATATCACATTTTAATTCACAAAATTCACATTCTCAAACTTCCCAACTAGAATTTGTCATGCATTGTTCACATGATTTAAAATTTGGGTTTAATTTCAGTAGACAACAACAGAGTTATTAAAGCTATAGTCCATCATTTGCAGCCATCCGAAAAAGTAACTGGCGTATTATTGTTGAAAAACATACTTGGTTGAAAGATAGTAAGTGGACTAAACTCCCTGTGAAATTAATCTTTCTGGCAAGCTATCATTTTGAAGTAATCAACAAGAGAAGGCCTTTCCAACGGTGCGTCTTAAGACGCACTGTAGGAAAATTTAAATTAGTAGTTCGTTTTGTTATTCGGCGCAGCGCGTGCAAGCATTGGCACGACGCACAGGCGCACGCGGTTGCTATAATTCGTCGGATCAGTGCGCGACATCACGTATAGCTGCAATTCAAAACAATTCAAAACATGATTCAGCAACATTTGATTTGAAATTGAGATCCTAGAATGCTGTTTTTCTCGGAATGTACAGCTGAAGCTGAGCTGAAACTTCATCAGGTTAGTTGTTCAGTATCCTTCATTAGATTTTGAACACTTTTGTTGCTTCAAACAAACAAAATGCACAAATTACAAATGATGGACTATACCTTTAAGGATCAAAGTAGGACATGTTTTTTAGCTGCAGACATCAGCTCAACAAATCATCATGTCTCTCCGTTAATCCGTACGTCAGTTAGTTCGTTAGTTAGTAACAAACATTCTGGCAGCCGCAGCTCAATGAAAAGCGATAATCCGGGAGACAATAGCCGCACTGCTGCAAAGCAGCTCGCGAGATCTCATTCATAGACAACGGCCGTACACATTCCACGCAACGTGCAAACACAAATTCATTGGGAGTCTGCAGCTTCCGATGTCATATCGAGCTTGTTTGACACGTAGTAGGATTGACTTGCAACAATCAATAGACATAATGCAGAAGAGCTACCAGGATATGATTTTAGATTGTTGACAGTAAATCCTTGATAAAACGACAACTGATCTCTAGTCATTTCATAAAATCATAACCATAATCAGTTATCTGGTAATCAAAATCATGTTTGTAGACTCTTTCAAGCCTGACTTTACGTCCTTGACTGCAGTGGCATAGATGCAGCAAGATCTCTGTAGGCTTTCCCTCCAGCCTGACCACCTTTGGTTTTGACATACTCCAGCGTTCGCACCTTGAAGAGGAAAACAAAAATAATCAGAAATTGTTACAAATAATTCCATATACAAAAAAAAAACCTGAACTACTACCTGGATCTGTTTAGCCAGTCTTGGCAAGATCTAAACAGAGATATTAACTGTAACTCAGCATAGTCCACCTAGGCTTAGCCTTAATCATCTAACCGAGGCTACACAAGTACTCTCTACTCAATGACCCACTAAAAACAATGTTACCCTGCCTCAACCAGGCCCCATCTGACAGCAAGCCCAACCCGACCAAACCCAGTCCAACCAAAACCAAACCCCCACAAATCTATCCCACCACAATAAAACCCAGTACAACTCAATCCAACCCAGCTCAACCCAAACGAACCCACCCAACCCCCTCATCCACCCAACCCAACCCAACCCAGCCCAGCTCAACCCAACCCAACCCAACCCCCACACCTACCAACCCAACCAAACCCAGCCCAACTCAACCCACACGCACCCCAGCTCAACCCAGCTCAACCCAATCCAAACAACCCAACCCAACCCAACCAAACCCAACCTCCAAACCCACCTTAACCCAACAACCCAATTCCCCATAATACCCACCATGTATTTAGTATCAGCTTGTCCATGTTTCTGGGCCAGATTCCATAGATTGAGAGCCAAAGATGATATCTCTGGTTGGGAGATGTCACCGTGCACCAAGATGCGATTGAAGAACTCCATGGCAAGTTGGGACTGTCTCTTTTGACCATTCTGAAAAAAAATCCCAAAAATTCAAATCAATTATAAGCCGTACATCTCAAAATCTTATGGAAATACTCTCAACTTTGTACCAATATAATAACACGATTCATTGATCTTAAAAAGAAAATGTATTGATTTATTTTATTTATTACGTTATTTTTCACAGGGTATGCCCAAAACAGTTTAAAACTTGTTTCCGTTGGGGCCCTGCAAACATTACATATTATTGAACAAAGATATGCAAAGTAAAATTTGGAAGGAAAAATGTGCATTGGTGGAGCAGACTATGAAATTTAGAACTTACAAATACTTACAAATACTTACAAATACTTCGGAAAATGTTTTTAAGAAAGCTAAACACAAAAGTTTGTAGTAAACATACAAGTATAAGGCATGACTCGCTGTTTACGGTATGGGCGGAAAAAGCTCATAAAAACCCTTCTTGGAGAAAAGAAATTCATTGAATTTATAATGAGATGGAGTCGAAATTCATGCGTTTTAATAATTCATGAAGCTTGGGCCCGAAGTAAGAGGAAAAAAAAAGCTGCAGAGATTTGGTAAATCCCTTTTTAATGGAAGGGAGGAAATGAGATTTAAATGTGACATGCTGAATTCATGGCTTGAGATTTATCAAGATTAACAGCTCACCAGGTGCTTTAAAAAAAATATGTCCTTGGCAAAGTTGGGTCATTCCGTGTCAAATCACAAAAATGGGTTCAAACCCAAGTGGCCCAATGGACCCACCCCTTTCAAATTGGTTCATATTTAGTGTTCATATTTAGTGTATGGACTGAGGAACAGTCCACAGCAGTAATATACCTTTGTTGGCAAACTATGGAAAGTCCATGCTGCAAAATTACAGAATATTTAGTAACGTTTCCAAACATATCATTGGATTGCTGAAAATACAAAAAAATAAGCAAATTTGGGCAAAATCTGTTGCCGACCTTGGCTGAAATTGATGCCCTTGTGGCAGACCATACAAAAAGGCACCAAGAAAGGTCTGTCAACACCAGGGGCCGATTTCGTTAAACTTGTCTTACATCTTGTGACTCATCTTAGGACTTAAGACAAGTCCCCACTTTAAGAATGATCTTAGCAAAGATACGTCCTAAGACCGATTTCACTTAACCCATCTTAAGCAATTTGCATTAAAAAACTACCAATTTGATGGCTGTTTCATGTTTTTTTTAACGGCTTGACGAAACAGTCATTGAAAAGAAACACGCAAAACCAACTTCCTGCATGCGTGCATACAACACCAACTTTTGCCAGAAAAATTACTCAATAAATTTCACATGCAAGGTTGTTCTACACAAGATACGATACAGTCATTCTTGCTCCCTGTTCATTACTCTATTTAAAACAGTCGACTAGGTGTTGGCAAATAATAAAATTTTGTAAATAAGCAATTTTTTATTAAAACTACCCACATATCAGGATTTTTTTCAAATCTGTTTCTACAGCGGTGTTATAACTCTAGGCCGACACTCGTCTTTAACGGCAATGATTTCCAGACCATATACAAATTAACGCACACATTAATGAGGTAAGATGACCTTCAGACCAACCTTAAGTTAAGACGAGTTCAGCCAGTTGTTAAGGAAGTTAGGACGTGTTGAACACGTCTTTACGTTTGGTGAAATCGATCCTAGGACAAGTTGCGAGTCAAGACGAGTTACCCTTCCTAAGACGCCTCTTAGCGTTTCGTGAAATCAGCCCAAGGTGACATTTTGGCTGGTAACCGGTGGTTGCAAAGCACATATTTCAGTGCTTTGCTGATGTTTTTGTGCTTTAGCAGTTCCATGAGAATGGCCCAGGGTCCTGATTTCTTACCTCGGACTGAGCCAATGTTTTGCAGTGCTCCAGGATAGACGTGATGAGTGTGCCGCACAATACAGACACCTCAGCTAGGAACTTCTTGTCACTTCCGTACAGGACATCATTGGAGTCAACTGCAGCAAACCAACAAACACTGGGTCATTATTTGAAATCTGGCTTTGAAACCATAACTGAAATCTCCACCGATATAGACCAAATCCACACTTACCAGCAGAAAATTTAGTGTTCATGGTTAGTGTATTTCGTTGGTTACCAGGGAATTTGCGCTTGTGCGTAAGGGTGCTTCCCATATCTAAGAATTCTGTGCTTACAGGCTTGGCGCAGAATTTCTGGTCCAGTTCTGTAAGCACAGAAACATGATCATAAGCGCAATAAAGAAATTGTTAATGAAAAGTTTCGCCGTTTTTGAATAGCGAATGAACTCTGTGGACAGGTATTCCCTCAACTCTGAGAAAAAAAAGAAAACTTACAAATGGAAAATACACAAGAAGAAGGAAAACAAATTGTTGAAGGGCACAGGAAGTACAAAAAACCCTCTGAGTCTTATACATGACTTTCAACCACAGTAGCAGCAGTGGCAGCGTTAACTGCAGCAGCCAGGTATGTGGTCGAGCCTATCACAACTCCAGTCACAAGTAAATCACAAGTACTTTTACAAGTCCAATCACAAGAAACAGTGGATGAACAATAACAAAGGAATGTCTTTGACAAAGCTCACTTGAATAGCTTGTGATTTGAATTTTGACTGGAGGACTTGTGATGGACTTGCAGGGACATGTGATGGACTCGACTACATCCCTGGTAGCAGCAGCAGCAGCGGTGGCAGCAGCTGCAATGACAGCGGCGGCAGCAGCGGTGGCAGCAGCGGCAGCGGCGGCAGCAGCAGCAGCGGCAGCGGGGGCAGCAGCGGCGGCAGCGGTGGCAGCGGCAGCGGCAGCGGTGGCAGCGGCAGCGGTGGTGGTAATGGTGGTGGTGGCAGAAGCGGCAGCGGCTACAGCAAGACAAGAAGTCCTTTACCGTTCTTGACATGGTAGATGTACTGCTCCTGACAGCTCGCAGACAACAAACTGATGACATTCAGAAACACCCAAGCCTTAGTGTCGCTGCTTGTGTCCCACACATAATCCTGTATGACGTTGAGAAGACCACGAACCAAGTACAGAACACCGTGCTCAGGGTTATCCTGCAAGAAAAAAAAATTCAAAGATGTGTTTGGCATTCTGTCAAAATGAGACAGAATTGGACAAACAAACTGCAAATGCAAAAATCAAATGGGGTGATTTTTTTCAGTTTCAGATTTATTGATATTTGAAATCTACTGCACATATTTGAGTGGTCGGGCACAACCCGACCACTCTTTGGATTTGTTGCGATTAATCCTTCTTTCTTTCTTTTTTTTTTCTGCACAGCACGTTTCCGCGGGTTTTCTCCTAAACGGTTTATGATATGAACTTGTAACTTTCAATATATATCGACTCTCATCCCAAGTGGTGCATATTACTCTTACGTCATTATGACGTCATCGGGTGTCAAATTACAAGCGATTTTAGCTGAAAAAGTGACCAATTACGTTCATCTATAACTCTTGAACAAACTAATCAATGATATTTGTATTCTGTAATTAGATAGACCATTAATTGATAAACATTTTTTGTCGCATACGTGAACTCGCTTGACCTTTACTTCCGGATCTACCGGAAGGTCAAAGTTAGGTGAATTCAAAATGGAGACGTTAGCCTGAAATCAAAACAAAGCAAAATTTCTTCCGAACAGAATGATCACAAAACCTTGTATGAACATGAACCATGTAACGAAGATGTTATAAATTTTGTTACGGCATCATGACGTCATCAGGTATCAAATTACCTCTTATTTAAGGGCAAATTTTGACAAAATAGTTTGCGTTATATCTTTTGAACTAAATAGAGTATCGTGTTCGTTTTTTCGTGAGGTTGTAGACTTTGCCATGAGAAACATTTCGTGTTCCCGGACACAAAACCGCTTGACCTCTACTTCCGTTGTTACCGGAAGTGCAATAAAAACTGAATATAACTAAAAAATGGAAGCATTTTACTACAAGCATATATATTATGAAAGTGTTTAGTGCGGAATGCAAGACACAAAAAACAGTGTGATGACATCATCATCCGAAAGGGCGCCCCCTAGCTGCACATAAAATAGTGTTTTTTAATTCCATCATTTGATCCATGTCGTACATCTTAGCCCAAATAACGATACCATTACAATGTTTACCTTTGCTTCCAAATACTGTGACGTCATCAAACCGGAAGTTCGGTGTGATGAATACATACACTTATATTTTCCATATTTTCATACGTTATTTAACTTCACAAAAAACATCCAGCCCGAACTAAATTAGTATTCACTTACTGTTATGACTAATGAAGTTATCAAGCAAGAAATAACTTGTATGTGTACGAAGAATGTTTACTGAAATTTATCACACCGTTAAAGATGTATTTTTAAACAAAATAATTGATTGTCCTGGAAAGGATTTGATTTCGTGATCCTTTGTTCTTTCATAAAAATATTCATAACTTAACTGGACAGTGTTTCATAAAGTAGTTGTCTACCCGACCACTCTCCGTTTGTAACAACAAACGCGAATCTCTAGTTTAAAGTATTAAAATCATGGAATAAGTTTTTTAAGGAAAAACAATTGACATCTTTCAAAACTCGAAATTTTAAGGGCCTTTTTCTCAGTATTTTACATTTTTGACATGTTGATAAAATGTGAACTTTAAACAGCAATAACTTGTCAACGGAATGTCTGATTATAGTGCAAGAAACAGTATTGTAAGAATTTTATTCTCTTTCCGTATACCCGCAAACCTCATTTCGACCTCTGCCAAGTTCTGTCTCATTTTGCCAGAAACGCCTCACATACGCCTTTACCGTGATATGATATGAATTGCAAAACTTGTAAAGGATGTAATAAAGAAACATGGTCATGTACAGTCATTTCTGTGGGGATTGTCTTATTATTTGTACATCCATGCCTATGTGCTGTAAATGTGCTGTCAGTTTACAGCACATAAATTACAAGAACAAACATTTTGCAAACTGACACTGAACGCAAAACGTTAGCTTTGGTTGTGCATGTCCTTTACACACCATTGCACATTGATTCAAGATGACATACATCTATGGGCATTTGTAGTGTCAGACAATGTAATATGATACATACCTGGAGTCATTACATATGACTGTAACACTAAAACTTTTGACATAGTCACTTCGAAGTTTTCCAAATCCCAAACTTTTTTGTTTTGCTATTTTCAAGGGTATTTTGGTGCCTGTTTTATTTTAAACTAATGCAAATTTCCATATTCATGAGCAAAAGTTTGATGTCATTTCAGGCAGAAACCTTAATGTTACAACTATTTCAGCACCAAAAGTTGCCAGAATTTTGGATAATTTGTTGTCGTAAATTTTTATTTTCTTTGGTGATTTGTTGTTGGGTCGATACATGGTAGTAAGCCAATGAGTAAACTTTTCTCACAAATGTTTTCAATGAGCAAATTCTTGGGTTACAATTTGAACAGAAAACCCCTAAACTGAATAGTGTCTTCCTGAAATGACATCACAGCAACAGCGCCCTTAGTTGTCCGGAAAAGCATGGATAATTTTGAAATGTTTAAAGAAGTGCAATTTTTAATAAAATTAACCAGAAAGGAATGTCAAATAGTTTTCATACATTTAAGAAGAGTAGAAAGTTGCACAAAATGTGTTCCTAAGAAAAATTCATCTCATGGACAATTTAATTCTAATCTTAGGTTTGATTATATAACAGAACAGTGGTGTTACTCAACGATATTATTTGAACTGAAGAATAGAATGAAACGAAATGAAAGTTGTTCACTCACAGGCACAACGAGGAGTGTGGACAGGAAGTTGTTGATGTAACTCAGAAGAAACGGTTCGGTGGAGCGTGATTTATTGTCAATCACCATGGTCTTGGGAATGTCAGGTATCAGACTGATGGCACCCTTGAAGAACGCATCGGCTGCAACAGAAACAAAGAGTATGCTTTAAAGCATTCTGGCTTACAAACAATGTCTTAAATAGTGTAATTCAATTGACGGTCTTCAGATGCACGCATCCTGCAATTGAAGATTCGGTGCTAAGAAAAATCCCTTGATAACAGGGTTAGCACAGAAAATCCACACCTGTGATGTAAGCCTAAGCATAGAAGGATAATCATAAGTGCAGAACTTTGTGATTAGCAGATCCATGAAATTGGGTAATGATCCAATCCACAGTGAAAGAACAAAGAACGAAGCAATGCATGATTGGATCATCTTTGAACTCCTAGAATAGAATCTGTACACATGTACCCCCATCACACATACATGTACCCTCATAAAGAAGGGAAAAAAGGACCTTTTCGAAGAATTCTGGTGAAGAAAATGTCGTGAAATGGTGTGATGCACAAGCATATATGCATTTGGAAGCCTTGAAACTAAATACATTAGTACCGATCCGACAACAATTCCAGCTTGAGTCAGAAGCACCCCATCCCTACAAATCTACAAACCGCCAAACCTCGTGCAAAAGAAATACCTTTTGGCATGTATTTGTCAATCCTATAGACAAATCACTTATCAGCCACCCTCAAATGCAGGTCCCACCTTGTCTTGATTCAAGGTGCATGTGTAATTTGAAAACCGAGAACTGAATGTGCGTGTACCACCTACAGACTGGTGTGGTACCACTTCTGTAGTGGCTTCTAATTTGAGTTGTCAGGTATTAGTCAACAGGAGCTTGATTTATTTCTGACCTTGCGTCAGCGCCAGGTTGAGTAAGGCCACCTGACCAGACAGAAGGTAGAGATTGAGCCGATGGAAGATGTCCACGATGGAAGGAATGGTGATGAAACAATACGCTGCACAAGCCTGCAGGAAAACCAAACACAGTAGAAAAATCACAGGAAATCAGAACTTTTCAGGAAGCAGTGGCTGGGCATCATTTGACATTAGAAGAAGCCGTTAATAATAAAAAATTGCACATTATTTCATGTATGTGACCTACTGAGGCAAAATGAGGAATGTCCCCCAAAATCTTGTTTTGAGTAATCGACGCCATCGATATACTGGAAATATCATGACAAAATCGATATTGATTGTTTTGTATTTTTGTGTAGCCAAGGTATCCAAGATTCACACTATGCATTTTTGTTGGGGAAAAAAATACCAACAAAAGTGATACAACTGAAGAATGTTTTCCACTGCCGTTGGTGGCGCAATGCGTGTCTTTTTTTCAAAGCCATTTTTCTCGAAATGAGGGTAGCGAAACTTGGCAGGACACCGTTGAAGTTCCTGCGCCATATCTTTGAAAAAAAAAATAAGCTACAGAAATAAATTTGGTATCATTGGAAAGCCAATGATTTGCGTTTTAACATGATGTACATAACGTGAAAAGCCAAAGGTGGGGGTTATTCCTCATTATGTTATGGCAGGTCACATATTTATTTACACGTCTGCATTTTAGGCCTCTTAAAGGCCATTTAGTGCATTTACTTAATAGACAATTGTCGTTACAACATTGGCTCGAGGAATCCTCTCTTCTAATTTCATTTTTTTTGGGAGGAACTCTAAGTATGCCACTTGGCAAACGAAGCTGTAGTAGAGTCACCTGGATTGAGTCCGAGTCCTAGGCACTGAAATTGCGACTAGTGACATTTTCTAGTCTTGAGTTCTGGACTTGAGTCATAAAACTCTACAGACAGACGAACGAAATGAGAGACAATTTACAATAGACACTTGTTTCCTACACGATCTAACTTTTAAGTGCAGTGGGCTTAAATCATGCCATTCACCTAGCCTAGGCTTTATTCACGAGTCGGCCATATTAAATTGAACGTGAAGTAAAATCTTCACTTTTGGAAGTTGCGTATAGAAATGAAAGCAATGAAATAAAGTTAATTACAAATTAATACCAGTCTGCTCTGATGAATAATTCAAAATTTGTGATTAAAAATACCCGAATGTTTTAAGCCAAATATAATAAAAAAAATTGAAAGTGAGGCTTGGAATGCATAAATAGTCTGGCACCATCCCATTCGACAGTTTACAATTTATTTAATACATTCAGGGAACACGATCCAAAATGGCTTCCTCGTGAATAAGTCTATTTCAATTTCCATGTTAGCTTTTGAAAAAAGTGTAGGAAATTTTTGCAAGACATAAACAAAAATACAAGCCTACGAGTACAACATATGGTTTGCGGGAAAGGAATGCCAAATTACTAGTGTTGGCTAATTTCATGACTTCCTAAGGCCGCATCTCGATAATGAATGGGCGTCGGTACCCCGTTCTTTCTGAAGGATCCTGCCGACTTTTGTAACAAAAGAGCCCTTGACAACCCGTCCCGGCACGGGCCAGAACGCTTCATTAAAATAACAAAAGGTATGAATATGCCCGGTCTTCTGCAGACCCGCTGGGCCAGGCTCGCTGCCAGAGAGACTCATTTAAATATGAATAGCCGGTCAGTCTGCCGAATACCGACCTGCAAAACCGCAACTATTCTGCTGCATTTGCGAGTGTAAATGCGCTAATACCGGTTAAAACTTCACGTGAAAGCCAAGTCTTTATACGTCTGGACGTTCGTTGCAAAGTTATGCTACGTTCACACATTTTCCGAATTAGTTATGAATTCAACTAGAATAAACCAAGAATTGAAATTGATTCCCGAATCACCCAACACTTTCGAACATGTTTAAATCTGGCAGGGTGCTTCCCGATCTTTCTTAACAGTACACAAACAGAATTATCCCACGGCAGCCAAGCAACATCCCCGATTTACTCAAGAATTGCTATACATGGCGTCTCTTCTTAAAATGTGTGAACCAATTAGTTAACACAGCTTTTAATGTGCGCTAATGAGGCGCGTGGGCTTCCGCTTTCGGTAAGAACCGGCCTCGAAATGGTCAATGGAAAGCACCTATTTTCACCAATTTTCCTCGTATTCAGGAATTCTCTTAAAAAAAAACGAACACACAAATAAACGATCATCCCAGGATTAACACCATTGCACATTAAGTTTAATAATAGAAAACTTTTATTGTTTATCAGTTTAACATTTCCTAGTCGATTAGTTTTTAATTATGAGCAAGTACACGTAGGTTCTACGTCAACGAGAGACTTGCCTTCTTTTGCAACATTCTACTGTGCATTACCACCTACTATTGGGACTAGGTTGCAGTTACCATTCAGGCCAGCGGCCTTAAGGTCATTATGGAAGTCACGGCAAGATTTCTCCCTTCCCTGGAAATCCACAGTTCCCCATTCATTGTCGACAGATTTTGCCACATTGGCGTGAGTATAACAAACAATTACCTATCCGAGGCCTACAGTTTTAGTCTACCTCGATTGGTGCCAAGTCAGAATGCAGGTTATATTACCAATTTGTATGGAATGAATAACGGATCCATCAGTAATTAAATAATAATAAAGTGTCCATGCTGTACATGTATCACTTACATTGTGGAAGTTACAGTTTGACGTGCGTGTATACTTTCTTTCTTTAGTTCATCTATTATAATTCGGACAATAAATTGTTAATGACTCAGCTGTCAGTATGATGCCCATGCTACACTTGCAATTAACTTTACGCATTAGCAGTCGGCATCACATACAACCCACAACGGACTGAGGAGCCCGATCTGTGTGGCGGGCTGGCGGCATCCTTTGACGACATGGTGGTACAATGCATGGCTGCATGACGGTTGCTTTCAACTTTCTAATAGCCTGCCGGTTGCCCTTGATTTAATTGTGCCATTGACCAAACTCGGAATGGATGGACCAACTTGGCCTGGTTATCTGCTCACGAGCCAAGATTCACTTTCTCGTTGTGATTTGCATGCGAAACATCTATCTCCAAACCGTCATGAACAACTTTGTCGAAGTTTGTTGGGTTACGCCTGCAAGGTATGCTGGTGTAGTAGAGCTCGTCAGGCGGACCAGAATCAAATCGAGGGATCCTCTAGAGGAAGGAGTGGTTGTGCCAGTCACATACAAGTCCGGCACCTACAAGGCCAGAGTTGTTCAACCCAAACGTAAGTTTTTTTTAAAAAGTTATCATGAACAACTTTGTTGAAGTTAAATTTGTTGGGTTACGCCTGCTCGGTATGCTGGTGTGTCCATATGTACTGTATCACTTACATTCGACCAATCCGGTTCTTTTCAGAACCACACTTTTTCCGAGTTATACACTCAACCACCCGGTTCTTTTCAGAACCACGCTCCTTCAGAGAATAGGTATCTTTCCACATGGTGTGACCCGCAAACTTTATAATTTATCTCACCCGCCATAAAAAGCTTCAAAGTCATATAGACCTATACTGGTTGTCCGCTAAAAATGATGTCAAATACGTCCACAATCGGACACTTTTAGCGATTAGAGGTACATGTGTAGGTGCACTTATTATTTACTGATTATTTTTTTTTAACTGAGAAAGGTGCAGGAATAGATGCACGCAAATCCAACTTTTAACTATCGGCCACAGAAACAAAGTTTGTTTTAGCGTGTAGCACTTTCAAAATCTTGGATATGAAAGCCAATTCATAAGCTTTCTTAGAATCATTCACAATCATTCATGTACTTTTCAAGTTACGGAATTTAAACACAATGACAGCTTTTAAGTCCGTCCTCAGATCGCAAAAACGTGTGCGTTCTTTCAGCAAAACGAAAGCAAACATCGCATGATTTGTTTTCGTTTTGCTGAAACAGAACGTTTACCTTTTTGTGATCCGTTGACAGAACTTTTTAAACGGTGGTTGCGTTTTAATATTCCGTAACTAGAATAGTACATGAGTGATGTGAATGATTCTTGTACTATTAAAAGAAAGCTTACGGGTAATAGGCATTTATTACTTAGATTTTAAAAGTGCTACATGTACATGCAAAAATTCACCAAAAACAATGAGTCCAACATTTGGGTTTCGTTTTTATTTTTGGCTCACCCTGTGCACATTTGGTCGTTACACGGCATTATTTATAATGAATGCATTTTTATTGTTCTCTTTCCAGCTCCGAAGAGACCAAGGCTAGCATCGGGATCATCTTCCGATGATGACGACGACGACGAGCCCCTCATCTCACTTGTTCGTAAGGCCGGTACCCCTTCATCACCGGTTCCTCCCGTCATCCAGGTGCCCCCCAGCCCCCGGTCATCCAAGTGCCCTCCAGCTCACCCATCGCCCAAGCTCCACCGGTCATCCAGGTGCCCCCCAGCCCCCCGGTCATCCAAGTGCCCCCCGGCTCACCCATCGCCCAAGCTCCACCGGTCATCCAGGTGCCCCCCAGCCCCCCGGTCATCCAAGTGCCCCCCCGGCTCACCCATCGCCCAAGCTCCACCGGTCATCCAGGTGCCCCCCAGCCCCCCGGTCATCCAAGTGCCCCCCGGCTCACCCATCGCCCAAGGACCCCCTGGCTCACCGGCGCCCCGTCCCTCCCCGGCAGCCTGCAGTACACCAGAGGCATCATTCCTACCACCATCACCCTCACCACCACCACAAGAGGGGGTTGATTTGTCCGGTTTATCAGCCCTGCTGTCGATGCCCCTCGGCACCAGCCAGCTGAACTCAGAACTTTGTAGGCGGCTGTCTGCCATTGAGGCCAGGCAAGACGAACTTCTCCTCGGTATGAACAGCCTGCGAGTCGGACTTGATGTTGTAGCTAACGCTTTGGCGGATATCTCCCAGGGGAGGACCACCGGCCCACATCGCGAACCATCCGTACTCAGGTCGTCTGAGTATTTCCTGACAATAGGCACCGAACGCCATTCCCTAGAGATGCAGCGCAACGACTACGAGTGCTGTTTCTTTCGAGCTTCTAATGGCCAGTCATTAGTTTTGAAGCTGATGTCAGCTGTTTTCAGCGAGAAAGAACTGTCGGAGTCCAACTTCCACGGCGGGCTTGTAGCAAAGCCAGGAGGGGGGCACGTGTCCAAGAAGTCGCTCATGCAGGACCACAGGTTTCAGGCCATTCTGGCTCAGGCAAACAAAGAATGGCCGGGAACAACAGCTCCCGCTTCAATGCGGCAGCTGAGGGACAGCGTCAACTCAAAGTGTCGAAAGACAGCCCTGAAACAGAGACAGTCAATGGATTAGTTTGACACTACGGAATGAAGTAATCGGATTAGACTGGCAGTTATACATGTACATTGTATTTAAGTTTTTTACTTTTTTTAATTAATTGGCTATACATGCAATACTACTTGACCTTACCCAATTTACAATAATTTATTTCCGATTTATTTTAAAGTTATTTTATTAAATTTACGATGCATGCAACACTGAATACCTCACCCTAATGCAATCGTTTATTACAAATTTATTTTCTAAAGTATGTCAGTGATCTACCTTATAACTCTTAAAAAGTTATACATGTATTTAAGTTTTTACTTTTTTTTTTAATTTGCTATACATGCAATACTATTTGACCTTACCCAATTTACAATAATTTCTTTCCGATTTATTTTAAAGTTATTTTATTAAATTTACGATCCATGCAACACTGAATACCTCACCCTATTTGCAATCATTTATTTCCAATTTATTTTCTAAAGTATGTAAGTGATCTACCCTATAATTTTTTTCCAATTAATTCATTTCTGATTTATTTTGAATTTACATGTTTTTCCTACTTTACACTTTTTTCTCATCGAGACGTTGCGTATTATATTACTGGCTTACTTTAAGATTGCATACTTGCATGGTTCTGAGTTTACTGTTCTTTAAAATACAGTAATTACTGAGTGCATTTCTTTTTATACGGGTTGTTGAATGAATAAATACCCCAAAGTGTTCCAAAAAAATCTGACTCTTTGTCCCCTTATCCTAATCAATCAATCCATGTGGCCTCTAGTTTTAATTTAATGCCATATATATTATAAGAACAATGATATTGATAGTCCTACTGAAAAAGAATATTCCATGATGTGTGGCATAAAATAATCGCCTAGTAGTACTAGTGGCCAGGTGAACTCTGACCATTCACAACCATCCTGATAACGTAGATTCTCCACACAGTCAGCCAAATACCTCGCAAACCTCTACCGGCCTCTCTTTATAATACTGAAGTTTGACAAGTTGTCCTCTCCGGTGATGTAGGCCGTGCGTAGAAGTCTGACATGGACACAATTTTTACAAAACCGCACACGTTTGCGCGGTCCGAGTATTGCAACTTACACTGTACATGTACATATGGAATTGTACGTGTACATGTGTATGTACATTGCATCATGGCGCGCTGAGGACAGCGCACCAGGTACCAACACCGGAACAGATGTAGCGTGAATTTGTTTTATGAAATAAGGACTTTTCGATGGTATTGCGCATGCTCACGCACACAGGGACCAGTCAGAGATGGTTTAACCAATAACAAGGGCAACGCGAGTCCGATTTTTGTTGCGTCCGACTTTTATATCACACCATATGCGATAAACGCAGTCTCTAGCATGATTCCACTATGACCGTTTTAACCGATTTTCGGCTAACTTTGACAGATTTTTTGTTAAAAAACAAGTTTTGACAGGAAATTTGACAGAAGGGATTTTTTTGCAGAATTCTGCAAAAATAGTTATTCGACAGAAAAATATACCAAGCTCAGAAAAAAAATGGTAATTAATACATCTGACAGATTTTTTAAGCGCATTTAGCAGAATTTGGTCAAGACATTACGGTCACCCTGGTCGATTCGTTACACTTGTTGACTCGCTGGTTCTCGAATCAAGGCAAACATAGTCCGAAAATCAACTCTTTTTCTCCCATCTTGGGTCATATTTGATTCCGACTATTCATTGAGTGGATATTGCAAGGGGCGTAGAAGACGTGGATTGGTACGATTAGTGTCAAATTTGTTGATTTTTACAGATTCTAGGGGGATTTGTTTTGCATGTAGCTGTCAAAACTTGTCGCGAGTGAATGAACACAACGTAGTTACGTACACATGTGAGTGCAATAATGGCGGCATTATGCGATGACCATGCATAGGCATTGTGTGTGTTGTACCATGGAGAAATCGCACACGTTATGCACGGAGAGTGGTGTTCCCTAAAACGCACTTCGACGTTTACGCCGAATTTCCTCAACTAGTGTTGTCAAATTTCTTTGTTGACCATCTTCAAATTCTGGATAAGGAAATACTGCCACTAAATAATGCTTGCTTAATGCCATTTTAACCCCTGAGGCGTCCGGAAATTGGGCACTTGAATAAAATTAATTTTATACTTGATAAATCATTCATCACTGTTTAGTGAACATGACAATGAACATGACAACAGCAACATTTTGTTGAATGAATATATTTACATGCTTTTAATTTGTGTAGATTTATCAGTGTGCATATCTTGCAAAAGCTTGACATATTCACATGCAATCCCAAATTTAATACTTGATGACCTTATTTACATATTAACAAATGTACATTGGACATGTTGGATTTGTCCAGATAAAATTTGTACTTCAATTTGCAATATATACAATCTGCAATATATACAATCATGTTTATATGAAAGCGTAAATGACAACCATTTGATATGGAATGTGGAAATAAAAAGAAAATTAGAATTAAATTTCTCTATTAGTATTATTGTTAAATAAATAAGCCTATGTTTATAGAGGGGTTAAAAAGTACATGTACATCTCAAATGTCTGTGAAGACAATACATCTCATTTGGATAGATAAAAATGACAATATACGTACATGATCATACATATTTTTAATTGCACTAGTACATGAATATTTTGTTCTCTTTAGCAGCCTAATTTCACGAAGTGTAGACTTATAGGCCTACTGTACATTATTGTGAGCCGATGAAAAATGTACATTTTTTCTTTGCTTCATTACAATCCATGAATTATATTATATAGGAATAAATAACATGCATTATAGGAATAAATAACCAAATTTTTTAGTTCCACGTATCAGCTAAAGTTTGTAAATGTTTAGAAATGCATTGTAAATGAAAACAAAATTAAGCCACACATTTAGCAATTGGACAATTCTGAAGTTTCGGCCTTGGGATTTATAGTTCTGCAGATTGCCTTCGTATTAATTATTATTTTTTTCTTCTTGCAGGTAGCCTATCTAGGGTGGAAAATCTTACGATGGTCTTTTTTGTTGGTCTCGGATGTGTATACATATCTGCAGAGGGAGCATCTTCCTAGTTGTTTCTCTTGAACAACTGGCATGTGCTCATCCGGGGGCACTTGGGGTTGACTGATTGCTTCCACAAAAGACATGAAGTGGTCTGGATGGGCTGGAGATGGGGCAGGCGATGGGAAAGCGCGATACATTGCAAGAGCTTCAGGATTTTTGGGGGGGCTGATTGCACAGTGGTCGCATACATCAGGTGGTTGGCACTTGGTGAAGATGACCATGCCTACTCGGCGATCAATGTGCCTCTTGAAGAACGCCATATCGTCATGGATGTCTCTGGCCTGTTTAATGTCTCGGTACGGCCCTGTAAGGAGTTTGTGCACACGACTGTATTCATCATCTGTGTAAGGGTGCGCCTCAACTTCGCTGGACTTGTGGCTGACAACAATTGGTACATTGCTGTATCGCACGTCGCTCCAATACCCCTCTAGAGTTGTGAGGGCAGCATCAAACACTTGGCCCTCTTTCTGCCTCAGAGCATTGCCGGTCAAGTGCTGCAGTGTCGGGGGGAGCTCTCCAGGAAGGCGGTCTGGGAGATAGATGGAGGTGGCTGCACTCGTCAGGACCCCCCACACATGCTCGATGGGGTTTCTGGCTGAAAACCCTGGACAAAATGTAGTTCCCAGGAGCATGTCTAGATCTAAGTCTTTAAACAGGTGCATTAGGAACCACTCATTAGTCAGGTGGTTGACATTGAAGTCTGCCCCGCCGTCCGCCAAAATGGTGATGCATGTTTTCTTGCTTCTCTGTATCAGTGGGAACAGGTCGTTGCAGTGGCTGGCGATGGTAGTCTTCGTGTGCGGCCCTCTGTTAACCACGTTGATGGCGTTGCACTCAGGAAGCCTAAAATTTAAAATTAAACATGCAAAAAAAATTAGTACATCTACATCATTTTTATGTGAAAATTATCATTCATTGTCATTAATACATTTTTGCCTCCTGTGTAGCTTTATGACTTTCTACGATTGAATTATTTCTACAAAAGTAGTTTGTAGCACAAACATCCCCTGTATGCATGAAATACAGTCTTGTTTGGGTGTCTGAATATTTTTGAAATTACTACGTGTATAAAAAAAACATGAACCTATGGGTTCCCCTTGTCCGGGCCCCCCTTGGGCCCCCTCGTGACGCCCATGCATCAAACCGAAAATAATCAACAAATGCCTAGGCCCTGGTTTCAAAATCTTTTCAGGTTTTATAAGCACCTTTAACAAACATTTCATTTTCAGGTCAAATTTACAATTTAAAATAATAATTAAACATACCGGAGGCTTGGTCTGCCTAGCTTGTCGGCCGTCATCTGGGGTGGTGATGGAGGGGCCATCTGCATGTACCCTGCTGGGGTTATTAAGTAGCCAGGTGTCGGAAAGTCGTGGTCATACAGGTTGGGGCTGTCGTCACTCGGGAAGTATCTGGATACCTTGCACCTCCTGTCCACGGCTGGTGTACACGAACTGACCCGTAGTTTATTTTTGTTGTCGACTGAAAACATCAGCGAACATCCCGGGAACTTGCTGCATGCTTGGCGAGCGTATTTGACCCTGGCTGAGTAGTAGTGCTCATTGACGTTTTCTTTTCGCTTGTCGTTTCGCTTGGCAGGAACCTTCGCATCTATGAGGCCCTGGTAGATCTTGGACGTGCCGTTCCTCTTAGTTGGCGCCTTCATCCAGCGATGGATTGTGTCAATTCCTGGAAACAAATTGAAAATTTTCAGTGATGCGAAGAAATCTGAATTTTACAGTGAATATTTTGTGCAAAGTATTCGTATTTTACATGCATTAGGCCAAAAAAAAGTCTCCAGTTTCTGGTATGGAGCTTGCCCCAAAAGTGGTGCGGCGACGCGGCTTTTTTTTTTTTTGCTTCAAATGTCGGCTGATGACTGCAAATGGTGCCCGACTAAACTTAGTGCAAATATATGGGAGTCCAGAGAGGCCACATAAAGCTTATTCTCGATCATAACCCCATCTAAAAACACGTTAAAATTGTGCAGCAGCAGGATTCCAGTCAAACCAGTGAGTTTGGTGTTTTTGAGACATCATCTTGTATTGAAAAAAAAACTTTTTCATTTTGCCTACGCGCATGGCTACGGCAACGCGCGCGCATACCAGAAACCGGAGACTTTTTTGGGGGGGCCTTAGCACAGTCGTATTGTTTTCTGGTACTACATGTACATGTACTTTGTTTTTCATTTTCCAGCTGCATGCATAATATGCGAGGCAGTTGAAGTGTCGTCAATGCGACAGCATGTGCGATTGCAAGCTTTGATGGAAATCTACCCGTCCGGATCACATTTTTCACTCGCCAGGATAATAAACTATTTATTACGCGGCTTTAAATGATACAAACATGCATTCGCAATTATAAACAGAAAATGTAACAGTATGAGGCATCTCTCCAAACACCATCAATGCCCTCATTATATTTGGTGTAATTACCTAAATTCCCCTTCAACTCGGAGAGGCCTGGTGTCACTTCCATCAAGTGCTGCTTGATAGAACGAAGTGTAGTTCCACACTTTCCAGTTCCAGTTTCCCGACGCCGGTGAGCTTCGAATCCATTTTCCTCAACAAACTGTCTAGCTGTATCTACAATACCAGGAAACAACTGTGCAATGGAGGGTTTGCCTCTTTTTGCCTTGCTCGCTTCAGCAGCAGGAATCTTCCGCTTGCGGCATGCACCTTGCTTCACGTTATCTATACATGTAGAAAAAAATGATTTGTTTATCAGTTTATTTGACAATCAAAACAATAAGGGGACTCCCTGTTTTGAAACTTGACCTTTTTGCCCATAATCGTGACCAAAAAAAATATGTTCATTTCAATGTCTCACCCACCAGAAGATCGGGGCATTTATTTTATAGATTATATATTGTATGCATAAAAACTACAATGCACATTAGGAAAATCAACCTAGAGGAAACTGAACAATTCAAAATGTGTTTATATACATATAAAAATACACGGAGTGAGTTTTTCAAAAGTTTTTCAAAAGTTTCAGAATTGGTCCGGACTCAAATCGGCTTATATAGTGCTACCCGTCAAGTTAAACTGACTTTTTAAGAATACACCTTGTAAATTATTTATCACAATACAAGTGATGATAGACTTGAAGCTGTTACCTTGAAGAGGTTGGAAGGGTTTCCTCGGCACGGCCGGTGATTTTCCGTGAAGTTTCAACAAACGGGCAACCCCAGGAAGAAGATTATTGTCATTTGTAGCCATGATGATGTCAGAATGAAGTACATGTACATGTGTACGTGACTTACATCAAGCATTCTCTATGCATCAAGCACAAGAAACCCAGTACGCGCATGTATAAAGAAGCACGCGACTACGATTATTGAATCTATTGTCGACCGATCAGGTGCTTGGTTACAGCATCACTTGCCGTAAACGTAACTATACACATAACAAAAGAAGCAATCATTGACCATTTTGTGCTGGTGCAGCCAGTTCTGGGAATCTATAGGCATTTCACATAGACTGTCAATGTCCAAGCCAGAGGTGATCTATCTACGGTGCATGGGCCTCCCGGTGTAAAGAACTTTAAACAAATGTCCGTTGGCTGGTCTTCAATTAAATCAGATGTACAAGCACAAGAATAGCTAGCTATGGGGCCCATGAAGAAAATGTTTTGGTATCAGTTTGCCCCTCGACCCACCAAATACTGGCCGGGCCTAACTATTTTTATATTGATGTTATTCGATACCCTAGTAAAAGGTATTCCCGGCGGATTTCCTAATATATAAATTCAATATAGAAAATCGGTCATTCATTTTCGTCTGAATGTGAATGAACGTCGATCCCATTTCAATTCAACGAAAGTTCAATCGGTTTTATTGTCCGTGCATTAGGTTTTGAGAAACCGTGACGGCATATTACATTCACTTACGCAAGCATACCTTTTCGCACTTTTCTGGAATACACTAGCGTGAATGTACGTTTCTTTTATTCAAAACGGCATAAATTATTGATTGAACTGAAATGGAATCGAATGCTTTAGTAGCGAAAATGAAACGCGCGTTAGAGCGATTCTCGATCAAAATCAGACGAAAATGAATGATCGACTTTCAAAAGTGAGTGAACGATGTCTAGAAAAATGGCCGAAAAGGAAACAAATATTTTAATCATCAGCTGGCACTACTTTCCGTCCTCTGTACCGGTGTCCAAATAAACATTATCATACACTAATGAGCAAGGATTACCAAATAAGTCGACTAACACAGGCTGAACGAGTGATATTGATGCCCGATCATTATGTTGTGAAATACGCAGTTACATACAGTGCCATCTGCTCCCGTTTGTCTGCAGAAATTGAAAACATGTATTCTTCAAAATCGGCAGATTTTCGCCCGTGATTAAATAAAATGTTTAAATTTGTTTCATCTCAATTACTGTCATTATTTCATTCAGAGCCACGAAAGATATCAGTTCCAGTTAACTGAGCAAGGCTACCTGTTGAAGTAAAAAACATAAATTCATAAACGAATTAGCGTAAACATCGCAAGCGGAACGCACGCATACGTGAGCTCACAGAGGTGGGTATATAATTTATTTGCCGACAAAAACATGAATATATCGATTCAAAAGGAGTGCTAAATTTTATCCTAACATAATTCCAGAACTTTCTTGGGTATTATTCTCGGTTTGCTTTGGATGTCTAACTACATGTATCTTTATCAATAGTTTTTGAACGGCACGTCTTTCTGCGTACCGTCCGTCGGTATTCATGACTCTCTCTAGTGACTCGTGTTTATTCATTACATCATTGTGAAGATAACAAAAGCGCACAGCTGGTCCTGCTCATTAAACTCGCCGTGCTTGAGTGCACACACCCATCCAGTCGGCAGATTCCCGCCCTCCTTGACAACCGCAGACTTATCGTCCGGAACGCAGACAGAACGGGAAATAACGGGCATTCATTATCGAGATTGGGCCTAACACAATGTAGAGAAAACGTGTTTCTGTGATCTCAGTAACATGACTGACAGGCAGTAGTTGACTTACCCTGACAAATGCAGCTGTTTTCCTGGAGTGGTTTCCCTTCATGACTGTTCTCGTCTCTGTCGCCAACTGATTCACACACTATTACAGTAGGAGATATAGATAAATCCATTCTCAGTTGAAACACTACATATCAGTTTAGGTTGTATATAAAAAAAAGAAGTCTGAACTGGGATTCCAACCTGTGACTTCTGGAATACATTCAACAGTTAGCAGAAAAGTGAGTGGAGTGTCATGGCCTAGCGGTTAAGAACACCGGACTCATGCTCTGGTGTTTCAAGGCAACAGTGGCGTGGGTTCGAGCCTGGGTCTGGACACTTGTGCCCTTAAGCAAGGCACTTGACTTAACCATTACTGCTTCGTCCTTCGGATGGGACGTAAAGCCGTAGGTCCCATGTGTTGTGTGATGCACGTTAAAGAACCCAGTAACACTTATCGCTAAGAGAAGGGGTTTGCCCCGGTGTTTCTGCCAGTGGCTGCAATATGCACCGCAGCACCTTGTAACCCTTCAAGGTGCTACATAATGGGTCTCATATTTCTCATATTGAGGGCCTCCATGGAAAGCAGTGCCCTGCACTGATTGGAGTTTACCCTCTTAAAGATGACGTAAATATAAAGTTGTGCTAAATGTTGTGCTGACTTGTGTTAACCTTATGCAATATCTCATGGCGTGGATGTGTTGAAGGTTGTACATGCACAGAAATGTCTATTGTTACGTCACTGATTTAAGCCTTTTTCTTCTGAGGTCAGTGTGCCCTTGATTTCACTTATTCAAAGTTGAACTTGCGACTATCACATACAAATGAAGATTCTGATGTGGACGTACCTGAACCAGTGCAACCAGCACACTGTCAATATTACTGAAGTTGGCGCGAGACTCGACGTAGAAGCTCAACTGCTGCTCAAAGTCCCGCCCAAAGGAAATCTGTCAAGACACAGAATCCATTACATTGTCTGATACAGTTTATTGATGTGTGATGTAAGTAGTCAATGTCATTTATCAAGCAAATAGTACTCTATATGACTTTTGCAAACAGCTTTCTACTGTTTTTTAAACAGACAGTTAACAGACAGATGGACAGAATAGCACAATTTCTGTCAAAGATCAATTATTTTCATTCGAAACGACTCATTTGGTTTCAGACACCGCTTTAGTCACTCATAAATAAATACACGTATATAAAATAGGCTTGTGCGTTATTGGATTTTTCAGAGAGCATGGATATTTAATATTATCGGGTACGTTGTTTCTGGGCAGACTTATTTGTCACCAAAGGAAAAGGGGAACCGCAAACAGGCAGCATCAGCAAAACTTCATAGGCCCTGCTGGAATGCTAGCAAGTAAAAGTATTGGTTATAACTCCAGCTCCAAAAGACTTTGAACAATTATCCTTAACCCTAACCCTCCAGGGTATTTTGGCTAGACAAAGTGACAAATGAGCCCAGTGTGGCAAGATCCATAAGGCCAAACGTTTCAAGGCCAATTGTATTGTATTGCAAATGTATTGCATCTGGCAGGGTTAGGGATAAAGTGCGCATCTAGCCATTTTTTCCCCCTTTCTTTAAAAGGTCTTTAGCACACAACTACTATTGTGATATTGAAATTCAATACCGGTATTGCTCAGTATCTAAAAAAATATCGTCAATATACAGCATTATTGGAATATCGTCCAAGCCTCATATACAGTTCAACTAATAATACTTTTTGGTTCTGTGCGACACTGCTAGTCTGCAATAGGTATTACTAACCTTTCTGATGAATCCAGCAATCAATCGGCCAATCTCTCTGACATCATCTTCTAAAGACAGAGCACTGACAAAAGAAAGACCATATATCGAGGTAAAAAAAATTCTCTTCGTGGAATGAACAAAAATGGGCATTCATGTGACCGAATAGGAGTGTGTGAAGGAATCTTTATTGGTTCACGCACACTGTCAATATGCCAATCCGGTCTCTCGATAAAGTAGTCCAGGTCAAAGGTTATTGGGGATAAATTGATGACTTGATGTTACGCGAATGCCCGTTCTGCTCGTAATTAACACGCGAGCGTCGTGCGCCCGTCTCCCTATGTGTTCATGTGCCTTTGAGGAACATTTGATTATCCCAAATGGCCCATATCATTGTGTGTATGCGCAGTTGAAATACCGAACAAGCTTATTGTATATAGGTTATCTATATATCCCAGCATCCATGAGAAAACAGTGTCAAAGTTGCTTCACTTGCAAGTATATCACAAGTCAGGTCACAAGTCTATTACTAGTCCACTCACAAGTCCAGTCAGAAATGACAAAGGATGGACAATTTCAATGTCTTTGTCACAGTTCAATGGAATAGCTTGTGAGTTGTTTTGGGACTAGAGGACTTGTGACTGCCTTGTATGGACTTGTGAGGGCTTAGCTACAACGCTTCTTCAAAATCTTGCTTCAAATTCTTTGCCAAATTTAAGGTTATATTACTTTGCACCGAGTTCATTGGTGATTGCAGAAGACTTAATGACATAAAGTGTATCTCTGGCAAGATTCAAAGCACATTTCCCGTTTGAAGGTACTCCCAGCTGTATACTTACTTGAGGGAGTCGTGCATGGTCTTGCAGACAAACATGAGAGCATTGATGATGACTGGATCATTGGTTGGTTTCTCTTGGTTACGGCAGAAGGCCTCCATGATGGTACGGCACAGCTCCACCTTGACCACGTCCTTCTGGAACATGTCCACCATGGGCATGAACTTGTCCTAATAACATGCAGGAAAAAATAACCGAAGAATAATGTGTTGATTAACCCTAACCTTCCCAAATCCTCCTAAATCCTCTTTGCAAAATGCAGGATTTTGCAGGATTGAGCCTATATGGCAAAAGTGTGCGGCTGATTTCGGAGGACGCACTGTCTTAGGCCGGACCTTGTGCTGTTTATGCTCGACCGTACAAACATTTAGGCCTATATTACGTTCGAAATCCTTCGCACTGCTCCAGGATGTCACTGGCTCTGCCTCAACATATTTGAGGCAGTTCTCCCCCTCGAAGGGCACTGTGCTATACATTTTGTTGACCTTGACCTTTGACATATACAGTTAAAAATCAATAGGCTTCTGGGAACCATAGGACCAATGCACATACCAAGTTTGAAGTTGATATGCCAAGTTATTCTTGAGGTATTGGAAACTAACTGCATGCACATGCATGCATACACATGCACACGCAAGTGTGTATTTGCCTGCAATCGGGGACCCCCTGTTGTCCCTCTTTTGTTTGTACTTGACCTCCGATATGTTTCGTGCAGGATCGTAAATTGGGGACATTCGGGAATTGGCAACCCTATTGTCCTCTGTTGTTCAACTCTATTGAATGCAGAAACAAACTCACACAAACACCGACCCACACATCCACATGGAAGGACAAGGCAGAAACCATATGTGCATGGGACATACAACTTAGAAACATGTGCTGAACATTTCAAATATTACCTCGTGAGGTACATCAACTTACCATTGATAGCAAGACAGAGAAGTCCTTGATATGACCCAAGACTTTTGACATCACAGACTGCAACTGAAGACAAATGAACATATACAAATTGAATGCATGAAAATGCAAGAAAACCAGGGTAATAAGAAAGCTTGTTTTTCGTCTGGGCGTGTCTTTTTGTAACCCTGTTTCAAATCTGACAACTTTGAACACCAACTTTATTTCACGTATTGCAAACCTCAGATTCTTTCCCAAATGTTGTAGATTAGTTTGGGCTAAAGCCCTGGTTCATTTGTGTACTTCTTATACCTTCACAGAACAGGCCAGAATCAATTTGCTTTCACATCCTAAAAATCTTACTGAAAAAAAGTAATCAAACAATATCACAATTGAAACAATTTCACAGCAGAAAAGTTGGTACATCCAACATGACATTGGATGTACTCAGACACATGGATTGTTTGTTTATAGTCAAAAGTAACAGCTGAACTGTTGAAAATTGTTAGAAATAAACCATATTTCAATACAACACAAATAATAAGCTTCAAATACAAGCATCATTCATGGCATTTGGATTTTCTGTAGTTTTTTCATTGAGAGTATATAATTCCATGGAATTGCCTGTTATTTTGAAGTAAGTGACATCAGGACTGGACAAGATGATAAAAGTTATCCCTAGATTTACATACCTGCGGATAGAATGATTCAAATGCACGGTCTGGGGTCATGTGCTTGATGATGTCACCTAGGATAGTGTTCACTTCTTTCTTCTACAGAACAAAGCAAAATCATGAAAAAGAAGAAGAAAATTTCAATAAGTTGAATGTCACAAATGAATTAAGCCGTACACAGAGGAAATCTATACACTTAATTTATTCATAATGTACATCAGTAACTTTCTGTTGTCCTACTTTGAGCCATTTTTTTGTACACAAACCAGTGTTGTTGTAGAGTCGGCTCTTGTGCCGGACTCAACTACAACACAGCACGTAACCTTTGGCAATTCACCTCATGTTATTTGTAGGAACTTTTGTTCCCTATGTTATACTTTTGTTCTGTAATCATAATATAAATCCTAAAGACACATGTAGGCTATACAAACATTTCAAGTGAACCACTAACACATATAGTGGATTTTGCACTAAATGTATAAACTTTGGACTCGGCTCATATAGGTGGGCGCGGACATTTTTACATTTTTACATCCAGCTCCCAGACCTATGTTCTTGAAACTCAATGATCTTGATTCTGGAGTGCTGAATGGTAATGCACAGCAACCGAAGAAAAAACTGGTATGCAAATGCATAGATCGTTTCAATCGGATGACTAAAGCCCGCCCCCACCTATAGCTTGAATAGCAATTTAATATTTTAATTAAAAAACTGAATGCTATAGTTAGTGAAATAAAGCACAACTCAACAAAAAAATGGGACTATGGAACGTGGGAGCCTCAATACAATGACAATTAGTTGTTTACTTACAGTAAAATGCCTGCATGGATATTCTATCCAGACCTCAGCACAGCTGATGTAGTCCTGAAATACAACATAAACATTCCTGATCCATTAAAGCACTTGTATTACATTGTGTTTGTTCCCTCAATCCATGAAACAAAAAGGACTTGGTCGGTTTGGGTAGTATAGAGAGTAACAGGCAGGACGGTCAGGGTGATACAGGACTAATGGGTCACCAAATGTAACAACCTTAATAATAGGGTGTTCCAGTTTTATCAAGTATTTATTTTTTACTTTCCTTAACGTACATTTCAACCTCAACCCATTGTGCTCAAAAATCAAGTCCGGTTTACTAAATTTTTGGATAACTCCGACATTTTTTTGGTCAAAACATTTCGTATTCCAAAAGTTCCACATTCACATATAGTCAAATAACATTGTGGGTGCCACTTTAAAGTTGGTTGAACTACTGACCCTAAAAATCCTAGCCAAACACTAGCCCTCTGAAAAGAACCGCATGTTTGTGCAATAAAATCCTCATAGTGAGTCGAGCTGGCCTCACCGCATGGCATGGATAATCATAATCCTGTCAACAAGACAAATCAGCAAGCTCAAGTAAGGGCTGTTTGCAGTCATCTGACCACTATACAAGCTAAATTTGACAAGACAGAAAATAGTTGCAGTGTATTTGGACCCTATTCAAACGTGTACTGCAGTTTACAGTATGACCGCGAGACCATGTGTAAAAACAATGATAATGAGGCGCAGGTTAAAAGTATTCATGTGGCCATACATCTTGATTATGCTTAAACCCTTGTCCATACCTCAGGTTTACGTAATTTCATGACAGTCTTCCAGACTTCGTTGAGTACTGACAATCGCTGCTGCTGTGGTGGATTAGCCAGTGCCAAGTTGGTGCCAAGAGATCGATACAAGTGGTGCTGCAACCATAACAGTTTTTACAGTGAGTGATTTTGTTGAAACATAAAAAAAAAAAATTAAAGTTAAAATTACCATGCATGTTCAGTGCGTGAAATTACGGTCGGACATCGGACATTTTCCGACCACTTTCATGGTTTGTCCGACCAAATGCAGATGTGCTCGGACAAAATGTCCGAGCGATTTATGTATTCTTTGTGGAGTTGTCTTTTTCAGAAGTATGAAATAAACGCTTGCGCTCAAAAGTATTTTGTTGTTTATTTCCGATGATCCGGTCTGTAATACTTACCGTACGCTGAGCGGCTGCTAACTACATGTACATGTACGTGTTGTCTTATATTCACGCAATAGATGCAACGCGTTTACACCCCAATCATTACACAGTCTGGTACAGCGCGGCGTGCACAGCGATAGATTGGCATTCGTACGTACGTGCCGTTTGCCAAAAAATAGACGTGAAATCAAGTCGATAAATTGTGTTTCGATCAGCAATCTTCGTGTTTCTTCTACAAATCAGTTAATACAACTTTTTGTACTTTTCAAGTCATTTTATGGAAATGAGCAGTGGCCGTTTGTGGAATTCCCAGTTAATTTCTATTGGGCAAAAGTGTAAACCTGATTCAACCTCTATTCCTTGCTATAATGATTCGATCGAGCCTCTTTGGACATTCAGAACTGCAATTTCAGCCAGTTTAAGTTATGTGTTCTGCAGACTTGAATCGAGTCTGTATAGTGACGAGTCTAAATATTATAAGGACATTGACGCGCATACATGTAATGAGAATTTAGCAAGATCAAAGTACGTTGTGTTGCGCGGTATGCTTTAAGTGCGTGATTGTTACTAAATTCTCACAACGTGGCTTACTTCAGAAACGAGCGCGTGAATGCCCGGCGCTTGTCATTGCAACTAGATGTACATAGTGTGTATTATGGATACGTACGTACGTAAACACACGTGTATGTACCGTCCACGTGTTTGAAGTATAGTAAACGCGGCCTTTTGAAAGTTCGTCTCAGATGGCAGATCAAAACTTGACAATGGCAGAACACTTTTGATTGTGCTCGGACATTTTGTCCGACCACTTTTTTGGTCTAATTTCACGCACTGCATGTTAAAAATTTGTGTGAGCTAAAACACTTTTGTTTAGCAATCTGTGAAATGTCTTTACATCTTACATTAACATTAAAATAAAATTGTCTTGCATTTTACTACTGGAATTAAGAAAAAAATACCAGAGTTTTAAAATTGCACAATGAGTTGAGAATTTGATCTGCAATGTTGAGTGAGACTAAATCTATAACAAATACACTCCAATGAAAAAACAAAATTTGCCAAAATCCTCATTAATAAAAGACAGTTCACAATTTAGTAGACAAGTCCCTACTTGTTTTTATCAGCTTTCAAAGCAGGAATAACTGCTTTGATCAACTGGTTTATTGAGATCAGGGAAGCATAACTGATTAATCAAATGCAATCAGGGGACTAAAATGAAGTAATCTCTCAACTTATTCGATGAGATCACTCACTTTAGATGTTTTATTTTCGTTTCAGAGTTTAAATACCTTTCAATTTGAATCATTCTTTGTGGAATATTTAGAACAAGCTTTTTAAGTGGCAATTTAATGTTTTAAATACAAGTAGGAAGTCCAATAATAATTGTATTTTAATGTTTTATTTAAGCGTGAGAACCACATCAATTTCTATTGTAATAAACACAAATAATAATAAAATACATACATCTACAGATGAACATAATACAGGTTTACGCAACACAACCACCAAGAATGTTTTCTCCCTCTTCATATAATTTAGAGAGAAACAGAATTCTGACCCTTGACCTTTTGACCCTTGACCTTTGACTTATCACCTTTGGGAATCCAGCTTCTTCGCATTCCTTGCTGAGCTCAGTGAAGCCTAACGCCCTGCTGGCGATAAACTCAGGCTTGAAGGCAGACATGATGGAGTTCAACAGCAATGCACTGCCATTAAAAAACCACGAAATACAATGTGCATCATTTATCTCTTGGGAAAATAAATATTTTTTTTTCAAATATTAAAACCACAAAAGGAAACTGACTAAGTGCATTATATAATAATAGTAAAGCTAAACAAAGAAATTGACTGGAGTGGGGTCTGAACCTGCGACCTCTGGATTGCCATTCCGGTGATCTACCCACTGCGCTATCCAGCACTATGTTGGCAGTTCCCCATTTTGTCAATGTCTTTGTTCAAGGGGCGCTAGTCAGAAACCATAAACCCATACATGCCATGTAGCCAGGGATCATGCCCAAATTCACGATGCCTGCAACATTGACAATGCTGCAAACCTGGGAAATAGCAAATGGGGAAAGTAGTAAATAAAATTATTCAAAACAATTTATGGTCCCTGCAGGCCATCTGTGGCTCAGCTCATTGCAAAACTTTTGATGAAGACTAAAATGTCTACTTACGTGTTGCATTGCTTCTTGCATTTGGCCAGAATTTCTGTTAAAATATCCTAGGAAAATGTACAGAAAAACAAAAGAAAATAAAACAAAGGAAAAATGACAAAAAGGAAAAAATCTGTGAAATGAATCCTTTATCTTCTGAAGAATTCAATGTTTCAAACTGGTTTGTCACTCTTCAATATGGTGGAAAATTAAACAGATAAATATGCTTGTATCAATTTTGTTTTTAAAAACAAATGATAAAGACTACAACCCTGGCTTGTATGGGTTAAACATGGTGTGTGAATACAGTTTTGTCTATTCATTTACTTTCTGCGGGTCTGAACAAACTGTTGTGTTGTGCATCATGGTTTATCAATGAATAGACCAACAGACTTTCGGGTCCTTTTTGTTTATGATGACTGTATAAATATGTGTCTGATTATCGATTCCAAACACTTTGCTTTGCGTGATTTACCTCGGTGGCATGGTGTGCAATGCACTGTAGTATCCAGTCCAGGGCCGGTGAGTAGAGGGACAGATAGTTGGCCATCTCAAGACGTTGGATGGCTAGGATATTCTGAACACTGTCACCCCGAAGCTAAAATAAGAAAAGAAAGAAATAACACTATAATGTACGACGTTGCTTTTTTTGTTCATGCGAAAACAAGAATAGGCTTGCAAAGATGAGCTGGACCTAAAATTGGCAATTTCAGATATCGTATGTGCTAAGTTATTCACTTGCTCAGTCAGTCAGTTGGCTGGTTGGCAGGAATAAAAAAACAAACACAAGTCAAATTTAATTTTGTGTAAAGAAAACCAAATTTAACTTTGGGGGGGGGGGTGTTGTAACTTTGTTTGGAACTTCCAAAAAATATGATTTGATTGACTGATATACGAGTCAATAATAAAGATAATTTTGCGCTTATATGACGCTTTTAACTGATGTCTCAAAAAGTAATTCACAATTATTACCTTTGTTCATCAGGGCATGAGATCATTTTTTTTTATCTGCAACAGCTCAAGATCGCAGAATTTGAGTGAACTTTGAGAGAAGTTTCATTTGTAAGGATAAAGAACATTGAGTATTCAACAAAGAAGTATCAATTGATTGGAAAATAATAGCTGGATAATGTTACCTGGGAGTAGGAAGACAGGAAATCATAGAAGTTGTTGATCAGATGAGTGCGCACATTGGGAGCTACAGCCACACCAACCTGTAACAAGGACCACAGCATGTTTGCAATCACAACAGTCACAGTGTTTGGAACGTAAATAGAACTTCACACTTTTACATTTGAGTATCATAAGTGACCGGATCCCTAAAAATGGGTCTTAAGGACTTACTGATTTTTTTTTTTAATGCAGTAGAAAGAACATACTCAAAAGAACGATCGGGCACTATACTCAAAATTTTTGACTGGTTACAGCTCCCTCTCGAAAACTCAAGCCCAAAAACTGAATCCCTTAATTGTTGAATTGCTTATACACATGTAGTTGAATTGCTTATGAGTTAATTGTTGAATTAAAACATTTAAATTATAAAACCCTGAAGAGTTTATTTTCTCATTTTATATTTTGGACAGAGGTGTGTAAAACACATAAAGACTGGCAATGAGGTCACTAGTGCACGTCTATGCCCCCGTCGGGCCTGTGAGTGACCAAAAGAGGGTCCTATTTGGACCCTCTACTTGTCACTCACAGTCCCTCGGGCGCATAGACGTGCACTAGTGACCTTACTGCCAGTCTATATGTGTATATTACCACACTGACAATAGTCAGTAAAATCAGCCTTTTTTTTGTATGATGTAATTTATGCCACCTACAATAACTGCATGAGTTATGATTTATTGATTAAGTCGCAGACTTCATAACTGTGCAACTTTCATGAAATCATCACGTGTAGTTGTGCAACTTGCGCAATGAAATGTGATACAAGTACAATCACACCAGTGCATAACAAGGTTTTGACTTTAGCTGCAGGCGACAGAAAATAGAGAAATGTACTACCTCATCTGTTCTTGATTAAAAAGTCCCTTTGCCCATACGACACTCAGCAAAGAGTCTCCCACAAATTTTGTATTGCAGTTTCATTTCCAAGAATGGTTGCTTAAGCTCACCCGACAGAGATATGCCCTTGCATAGATGGCTACCAGTGGATCTCCTACACCTCTCATTTGATTGGTCAGTCGTAGCAACGCTTGCTCATACTCACTGCAAAGAAAGATAGTAAAGCATTTCTACAGTTAACCAGACACCACTGTGATCTTGTCATTATTTTGTCACTCAGTGCATGCCTATGCCCTCCTTTGGCCTAACATTGTACCCCCTTGTGGTCACTCACAGTCCCTCCGGGTGCATAGACGTGCACTAGTGACCTCAATGCTAGTCAATATGTAACATATACTGACTAAAAAATATGACACGTCCAATTAATCCATTACAAGACATGAATAAAAACGATGAAATTTTGTTTGAAGTAGTAATACACATACTGTGTATAAACTAGAAATGAAATGAAATATGGTGGGAAAAAAACTTCATTCTAGTAAAAAATATAAAAAACTGAAATAAAAAAAATACTCACTCAGTTGTTAAGAAGCTGTAACAACTCATAATGGCTGCCTCCACATAGCTGAGAGAGAACCAGTTAAGGTTGGTTCATGGCAAAAACTTGCACCACTTGTAATGGGGTTGTCTGATATTTGGATCATGTTGATTTATTTCAAATTTATAAAGGCTTTATCTTATTTATGGATTTACATGAAATCCAACATCTGTATGGACTGTTGGACATGCAGCAAGTGCTTCAAATCTTACTGATGAGAACACGTTATAAAAAAGGATTTACATAAGAGAAAAAAAAAATCTGATTTTTTTGGGTAAAAAAGATAAAAAAGAAGCCTCATCATGTAAACAGAACTCTTTTAATAAGCCTGTTTTGAGATATGGACAAAAAAGGAGGGCGTTGTTTGGTTTGGGTAAAATCTTTTGTATTTATCAACATATACCCAAACCAAATTCCGCCTTGCTTTCTTGTCCAACATAAATGAATGTAAACCAAGAATTTTAATAGTCACTAAAAATTGAAAAGTTTATGTCCTTAACAAAGACACACAGCAGCAATAACTTCTCCAGCACTGACTGAAATGAGACCACTCTGATCGACACCTATCAAAAACATTCCGAGAAGTATACACAAAGCAATGGACCTTCTCGACCAGTAAAACAGCTCCAGAAACAGTGTTTTCTTTTTTCCTTCGGGGGGGTGGGGGGGGGGGTGATCTGATACACTGTGCCCTCTGGAGATATGCACACAATCGGGAACAAAAGATTGTAAACGTCTCCACAGGGCAATTTCTATAGATGAATACGTCTCCAAAAGGTTTTCACGAAATAGATGTATGGATTTCACTCAAAAACTAGGAATTTCCAAGGTATGTTGATCTGTCGCAAATGGAAGAGTTTTAGAAAAGGGATATTAAGTCAGAATTTCAGCCAAGGAAATTAATTCTGGTTAAAATAAGAGCATTTTGAAACTGTACTTTCAAACTCGAAAACATTAGTACAATAACAAAGAAATGTCTCCACAAGGATACAAATTTCAGTATGTGTGTGGGAGGGGGGGGGGAGGGTGTGGGTGGGGAGGTGGGGGTGTTTCACAGAATGTCAAGGATACAGCCTTGGAATGAGTTCTCTGATCGAAGCAATCTTGAAGAACCAATTACGGCACGTCTCTTTGGCTGAGTCGGGGACCTGGTGAGGAGCAAAGTTCTCAGGCAGCATCTGAGGGGTGGTGCCACCGGACGGGATGTAGGTGGACTTGCGACGGATGCGGTCGTACACAAGCCTTCCTGTAAGGGAAAAACTTCAGCCATGATTTCCTTATTCAGTGAACCACAGGAAAGTTTATATAGATACACCTACATGACATTGTGTAGGAACACATTATAGAGCTGCATTAAAGTACTTGGGCGTTAACTCATTCTCTCGGGTAGAATATTTTTGGATGTCCTAGGGCGCACACATTTTGAATCAATGTGCATGATCGTAGAACATATTAATATTAGATGAAATAAAATTTCAGTGATGGTCAATGGCCCACTACATGAGAGGTCCCCCACACCCTGTTTCAAACTTCACTCTCTCACGAGTCATGAAAACTGATGGGCGATTCACTGGGGCCATTTCCATGAAAATATATACAAATCGTTTTATATTGTGGATTACGTTTGTTTTGCTAGAAAAGAGTAATTTAAAAACAAAATATATTTCTAAACAAAAACCACCACAATTTAAAAAAAAAGTTGACAATTGGGATTACTACACTGATTTAAAATAAGGCCAAAAAAAAAAGTCTCCGGTTTCTGGTATGCGCGCGTGTCGCCGTAGCCATGCGCGTCGGCAAAATGAAAAAGTTTTTTTTTTCAATAAAAGATGATGTCTCAAAACCGCCAAACTCACTGGTTCGACTGGAATCCTGCTGCTGCACAATTTTAACGTGTTTTTAGATGGGGTTATGATCGAGAATAAGCTTTATGTGGCCTCTTCGGACTCCCATATATTTGCACTAGGTTTAGTCGGACACCATTTGCAGTCATCAGCCGACGTTTGAAGCAAAAAAAACAGGTAAAAAAAAAAAAAAAGCCGCGTCGCCGCACCACTTTTTGGGCAAGCTCCATACCAGAAACCGGAGACTTTTTTTTTTGGCCTAAGATGGGATATTTGATAAAAGTACTTACCGAATGTGTCTAGGATATCGGTGATCAGCACATACTTGCTGGGGTAGAACTGGATTACTGATGTATCGGCCAACAGCTTGGAACACTAGCAAATAAAAAACCCACCAAATTCATATTGAAACCATCTGAAACTTTACAATGCATTAACAAAACCAACTACAAAAACCTGACGCCTTCCTAAGTGAACCTTCTTCATATTTTGAGTGGAGTGAATAAGACTAGATTATAACTCAATTTACCTTATCCCATCACCATTCTGTATGGCTATCTTGAGTGCCTCCAATCTGATCCTGATTCCAAGCTGCCAGGATTAACTCATTAATCCACTTAAACCTAATCCATCACCAACCTGTATGGTTCTCTTGAGTGTCCCCAAGCTGATCCTGACTCCAGTTGCCAGGATGAACTCATTATTCCAATATTTACCTGATCCCATCACCAACCTGTATGACTATCTTGAGTGCCTCAAATCTGATTCTGATTCCAAGTTTCCAGGATTAACTCATTAATCCGATTTACCTAATCCTATCACCAACCTGTATGACTATCTTGAGTGCCTCAAATCTGATTCTGATTCCAAGTTTCCAGGATTAACTCATTAATCCGATTTACCTAATCCTATCACCAACCTGTATGGCTATCTTGAGTGCCTTCACTTTCTGATCTTGATCCCAAGCGGCTATGAGGGCTTGGTTCAACTCGTTGATCCGATGAACATAATCCTGCTGGCTCAGGTTTAGCATCTCCCTAACAGAACCCTGAAAAAGGGAAGCCATAATGCAATATTTAGCTTCGCCCTTAACTGACGTGATTTCATAAGCACAGTACATCCAGCGTTGCCTGAAAGCTTGTATACAGTGTCGATAAAAATACATTGGCGAAGGGCCAAAAAAAAAAAAAAATGAAATTTTACATCTCCGACGCAAATTCCATCTTGTAATAAAAGTTTGGTTGTGGTACCTGCTGCCAAATCAGATTCAAACCGGCCAGTCGACCCTGGCAAGCTCGGTGGTTGAGTGGTACGATGTCTGCACTAGTAAGCAGGAGGTCATGGGTTCGAGTCCCACCCGAGTAGCCTTTTGAAAGTTTCCTCGCAGGCTGTCAGACAACACTGAGTATACAGTGTTTATAAAATACGTTGGTGAAGGGCAAAAACACCAATATAAAATTTGTATCAAGCTTGATGGAAGAATTCAAGACTTAACCAATGCAAAGCTATAGGGAAACATGTCACAACTCAAAAAATTAGCAACATGAAGGTTTGTAATAATATGTTTAAGTGGAGTCACCACATTGTGTAATGGGCTTCTGTCCTGTTTCCTCTAAGGGCCAGTCTCAATTCATATCTGGGACAAGTTCCGGACATTGCATATGGATAAGTTGTTAGATTCTGAACAACTTCACCGCAATCTTCCCACAATGAAGTTATTAGTATTGGTGAGTCAAGCAGTTGCTGATAACAATTTCCCCGCAACATGTTCGGTACAAATGCAGAGCTTCTTCCGGACAAAGTGAATGATTGTACCCGCACTTGTCCCGAACTTGTCCCGAACTTGTCCCGGATATGAATTGAGACAGGCCGTAAATGAGAATGACTAAAGCATGGCACCATACTTACCTCTTCAAAATCATCCAGCTGTTCCAGTCTGTTCTTGACTTTGTCAGTGACAGTGCTCTGGCCAGCTGGTTGTGACTTGACAGTCACTGTGGAAAAAAAAACCCATTAAAATTAAAGATGTACTATTCCTGTTCTTCAACAAATTTGAATATTTTTTTCTCCTGACAAACTAAATGCACATGTATGTATAAAGAGTCTTTTTAGAATATCTCAATGTTTAACATATGCATAAAAAAATTAATAATCTTTTTAGAATATTTCAATGTTTAACATATGTATAAATGATCCTTTTAAAAATAATTTCTGTTATATTGTAAATTGTAAGCCATCGCGATTCAGTCTTTAGACTGCGAGAATGGTATGATCAATAAAAACCTTCAATTCAATTCAAGTCAATTCAATATATGTTTTACATTAACAAGAAAAAATATCATTTCTTGTGCCTGCAACCCTCTGAAAAAAACAAGGCTTTTAACTGGTATCCAGTTAACTCGACCATTTGCCAACTTGACTCGAACCAACTCGACTGTTTTCCAACTCGACCATTCAACTGACTTGACCGTTGTGTGTTCCACTTGGAAAAGTCAAGTCGTCCGTTGTCCAACTCATCCATTGTCCATCTCATCCTTTGTCCAACTCGTCTGCTGTCCAACTCATCCGTTGTCCAACTCGTCCGTTGTCTAACTCGTCCTTTGTGAACTTGTGTCATACACAAACAGGGTTCTAAACACAGTACAGTCGTTTTCCAAGTTCCGAATTTTTCCTAGTTCCGTGTCGCTTCAAATGAAAACCGACCTCTTTTTTCCAGTACTATTTTTTTGATGACAAAGTGCGTTTTGAAAAAAAGTAAAATGTAAGTTTGATCATGGAGGAAGGAACCTCCATGGTTTGATCAGATGTCTTTTCAAATCAAATCTCTAGAAAAGGAATTTGGCCAAATTCCAGGAGCCGCGAATCAACGATAATTTACTCCACGGTATACGCCACTCAGATTAGCTGGTGTGATTATTTTTTTACCAGTGAAGCCTGTTATCACTCCTAAGCTACGCAGTCAGGACCACCCCAAGGTCAACCCACTTTGATGGTTACTCAAAAACTCTTGAAACAGTTCTTGAACCCTTCTACGCAATTAGAAGACTTAATCAGACGAGTAGGTAAATGTATGAGTTGACTCAAGTTGGCAAACGGTCGAGTAACTCGACGTGTGAAGTCGAGTAGGTCAATGGACGAGTTGGTACAACGGTCGAGTTGGTACAACGTCAAGTTGGCAAATGGTTGAGTTGACTGTAAACCCTTTTAACTCATTCAAAAGTTATTAAACAAACATCATTTTAAGAACAAATACTGATTGTGGGATAGTCTATTGTTTCCATGCATGAACTGCAGGTGGAATGCAAACAAAAACAAACAAAAAACAGGAAAACAACTTACCCTTCTGTTGACCACCAGTTGAGAGGAAGCTCTGTGGAATGAACACAAATGTGATATCAAATGAAACACTGATATTGGTTTGAGCTAGAGGTCGCAAGGCTTGTACAATAGGGCCCATTTTACAGAGCATTCATGTAAATATACTGAGAACACATCACGCGCAAAACACACAGCGTGGCATTTAGAAAGGTAACCTTTTTTTTGCAATGCTAACAATTTTTGCACTTAAGAAATTTCTGTACTAAGCAGTCCAACACGTCATGCTAAGGCATTTTTAGATGAATATGGAATTATCTAATAGAGACTGCCTAACTGGAAAACATGCAAAGAGGAATTCATGCATCAATTAAATTCAACCTAGTCCGATAATTTGTTTGCTTTAGGAGAAATATTACGTTTTGCACGATACTCTCCAGCTTTTGGTATTGAAGAGGGACAAATAAAATACAAAGTTTGTTCTCTGTAGCTATGTACAGTTTACGTTGATTTTTCTAATTGGGGGTGTACATTGGAACCGGGTACCCGAGAACCCGACCGCTGATGTCAGGAACCGGTTCCAGATTATATGATTAGTTACCCGTAACCAACTCTACAAATTTCTAAGTAACTTCTCAGACAATGAAAAAGAAAGGTTATGAATGTGGTTTTCATTTTCAAAATGAAAACCAGGCTACATGGAAAACCGATTTCACATTTATATGCATTTTAATGTGTGACAGACAACGCTCACGAAAGTTGCAGTTTACACCGTAAAGCTATATAAAGCCCTTCAGCCAACTTCCAGGATTTGAAATTTTGGTTTTTTTTTTTTTTTTACGGGTACCCGGGTACCCATGTTTTACTTCAATAGGGTAACCGGTTCACATACAACCTGTAAATGCACACCACTATTTGTCATTGTGTTTTAGTTGCAAAATTGTTTAGCGGACACTTATGTTCAGGAAGTTTTGCATCATTCATTGCATCGTGAAATGTAAAAAGTAAAATATATAAAATAACACACAAAAAAAGGGACAACTAATTAAAGATTTGGAACGCAGGACGATTAAATGGAATATCCTTACTGTAGTGATGGAGAGCTTTTCGGAGGTTGTGTACTTGCTGAGGATGGTGGCTTTCTTGCTAGACCAGGGTTCAAAGGAGTCATCTAGCTGGTTCTTGTTAAATGAACCACTGTCCGTCTGCAAACACAACAAAACACGTAACAAATAAAGTCAATCACAAGCCAATATTACTCATCAGGGCATCATCATTACTCACCAGGATTGTTGACTGCTGTGATGTGGGACATGTGTTTTTTTTACACCTTCAAGGACTCGGCCTCACCTTGGATTCCATGTAGCCCTTGGGCATAAAATATAACATGTCTCACATCACAGCCGTCAACAATTATTATCTGTCTACTTACAGCATCTTTTCCACCGCCTTGCCCCAGACCCTGAGACAAGGGGTCAGCCACCTTGATGGCCGCAGCTGCAGCAAACTGTGAGAGGGGATCCAGACCCTCCATGGTGTCTGCTAGCGGGTCCAAGGCGGGGCTAGGGGTGGGCTTGGATGTCAGCTGCTTGCTGGAGTTACCTCGCCCTAGCTTCTTTATCTCAGAAACCTGAATGTGGCCAGAAACAATAACAAAAACTGGTGATGAAAAATATCACAATTTTGAAGAAAACTGAGGGCCATGGTTCTCTAGCGAAATTCAGCCCACCCGACTTGTTTCTGTATCTGTATTATATAGGCAAAGCATCCCAGGGGAAACATCACACCAACTTAGAGAGAAGACAATGAGAAGAAATTACAGTTTTAGAGGTGGGAGGAAAAGCCAAGAAGATATTCTTGGGGAAACCCACAGAATCAGGTAGGGACTGAAAACCCAATCCACATATTGACCCAGCAGGATTCGAACCCGGGTCACGGCGGTGGAAGGCAAGGAAAGTACCACTACGCTAACCTGACTCCCACTTGTCTATACTCAAAACAAATAAGAAATTAACAAGTAAATTGCCACAAATACTGTTGAGAGACTGTCTGGCCTATTGGTAGGTGGATTCCGCACCAACCAAAACAATCCAACTTGAAATTCTAATGAGAATTACTCTTTTTACAGAAAATCGAATATTTGAAGCAATATGATTTTGATAAAAGATGGTTTTTCCGTTTCCTGACATTGTGCAGCAAGTTCTGAAGCAGACCGGGACCTTTAGTGCTGAAAAACATGCAAAACAAAATCAGGCCAACTTTACTCACCCTTTAGCCCACAAAATTCTTCAAATTTGTTCAGAGGTAAAGACAAGGTCCTCAGTGTTTCACCAGACAAGTTTGAGGTCTCAATTCAATTTTTAAAGGAGACCTTTCTTCAACAATTTGCACCCGAGAGTGAAGCCAAGTGATTTTTTTTGTTGAAACCTAATTACTGGTACATATCCAACGTTTTGAAAAGATTGACCAGTGAGTAGTCTGGTGGCACGACTATGGAGAGAATGTTTAGAAATAGAGACTAGGTACCAGATGATTCTTTTGATACAGTTGATTGATGCAGTAATAAAGGGGTGTCGGACTGCTTATTTTATGTGCCAGTCTATTTTCTTGTATCTTAAGTTTTGGGACGCTCATACACAGTATTGAGAGTCTCAATTTTCGGACAAGTTCAGAAGTTACACTGAAAGCGACCCGGCTCAAAAAATGTCTCAACCTCAATTCATAAATCAAGTCACGAGTAACAGGGGATGAAAAATAACAAAGGAATCCCTTTTTCACAGTTCATTTTAATAACGTGCGACTTAACTAGGGACTGCATGGGTGATGGACTTGTGGGAATTTTCAATGGACTAGAAATTTGCATTTTGATACAGAAAACCAAATAAACACCATTATTTTAAACTTGAGCAGGTCATTACCATGACTGGCTTCAGTGGGTGGTCCACCGTTGGCTCTGCCTGCAGAGCGCCAGCCTTCTGCTCTGCATTGTAGTTTCTGGGCTTAGGGTGCCTGATGGTAAAAAGGGAGATTTTGGTATAATGTCATACCATTACATGTTGGTCAGCTTTAAGAGTAAGCAAATCAAGAGATACACAACAGAAAACTGTTAACCATCAAAGTATACACAGACTTATGCTGGTAATTGTTTTCTTTTATTTCAGGGATATGACAAAACTGTTAATAATCTGGTCCCTGTGGTGTGCTGAGTCCAAAGTTGAAAGTTTTTACCCACTTGTGTGTCAGGGCCAAGAAATTGACTAAGGACTAGCCCCATAAATGTGGCCAATTTACTGGACTACCTCCGTAAATAAGGGCCACACTTGGAACATGTACCCGAAAGGGTTGAACTTTGTTAATTTTTCATTTTTCCATTTAGACTTTGGTTGTAGTTTATTTACGCTTTAGGAGCACACTCACCCTCTTTAAAGTGATAGAAAAGAAGTCCCGCCTTTCTCAGACGTCTTTTTTTGGGTGTAATTTCCAGGTTCATTTGTACACGTTTGCGTATCTAAATTCCAACATCGAATAGATCACGCGCGTGCTAGATCGTTAATCTGCTGTCAGTCATGTAGACTTGAGTCAAGGCACACATGGTAACCCGGACACAAAAAAAGACCATGCAAATGCAGTGGTGGTGCACGGAGACAACGAGTTCCAGCAGTCGCGTGGTCGTTTTTAGTGTCTGGGTTGCCACGTGCACCTTGACTCAAGACTACGTGACTAACAGCAGAAACGATCCCATCAGCACGCCCGTGATACTTTCGATGTTGCAAATCAACCTGGAAATTACACAAAAATAGATGACTGTGAATGGCCAGACTTCTTTTCTACCGCTATAAAGAGGGTGAATGTGCTTCTAAAGCATAAATAAACTACAAAAAATTACAAACTATAAAGATAGTGGATATTTTGCCGGAGGTAATGACGGCAAACTAACGATTACTAAAGGTTTGCCGGCGGCAATCCATATCAACAGAGGGCGCTGTACTCTTTAAAATAGGGCTGAATTATAAGATGTATTAAATTCCCACCAAAAGTTGTGTAGCACGTTTGGTGTAATGGTTAAGCAAAGGCTTTTGTAAGCGGGATGACTCGCGTTCGATTCCGACCGCTTCACATTTTTAAGTTTTTGTTTCTCATCCCCAAATAAATAAGAATATTCTTCTTTTATTATTTTAACACGTCTCAAACATTTTTTGCAGAGTATTACATTTCTTTTTCAGATTTGTGGCTCTGGAGGATTCTTTTTAAAAGGGAAATAAAGTCCTAAATTATAAAATGGTCTGAATCCCATCTTGTGAATACGAGTTAACAACGATAATTTTGGCATGGAGCCAGACTAAAACTTTTCACCGGAAAATGTTTAAGTACAAAAAAACAGTAACTGCGCATGTTCAGTGCATATCCGGCCAACGAACGTTTACCAAAGGTTTGCCGTCTCCGGCAAAATATACACTGCCAACTATAATTATGTAAAAATGAAAAATTGACAAAGTTCTACATTTTCGATACATGTTCCAAGTGTGGCCCTTATTTACGGAGGCAGTCCAGTAAACTGACCACATTTATGGGGCTAACTAAGGACCAGGCCCCTCTCCCCCCCATCAATTCTATATCAATCAATTATCAATATCATACAAGTGTCACCAGTACGAAGCCACGCCTACTGCCGTACCGCCGGTGGCGTAGAACTCGAAAAACTCAAAATATTTATCGGGGAAAGATAAAGAAACTTGATCTAAATAATAATCTGAAAGACTCAAACAGATCTCGGAGCTTTACCCGAACACTAACTAATTTTAACGATTTCATCAGGTTATCAGATTGAGCACAATCACCTCACAAAATGCAATGAAAATTCATGAAGTTCTTACCACTCGTAAGTCGCCATTGCTGACATATACAGCGCCCTCTTGCGTTCTTCGTTGACCAGGAATTATCACGCCTCCTATTTTTTTTCAAGCCTCTCGCATCTGTCATGTGCAGTAGTCGTCGTGAGGGAAATGTGGAATAAATTAATTATAATATGTCATATTTCCCATGAATGTATTCCAAGACTAATAATACAGATGTGTTTTCGGCGGTTTTAATTATTTTCAATAATTGTTACGATTTTTGGGTAAATTTGTTGATGTTTAATTAGAGGGATGCAACTTTGAGAGAAAAAGATACAAAGTCTTGAATTTAACTTCAAAAATCAACACAAGCCATGCATATCGGGTGTTGTGGGGACTAAAGCGTCAGACCAACTTCTTTTTTAAAATGCATTTATATTGCCATCCTCGTTTGATATAAAACAGTGTTATCCAAGACAATTTTTCAGTCACAGTCAATATGAACCACGCCCCTTACACCTTGAACCGTGCTATATAGGTTCCCCAACTCAGTTTACTCAAAGGCTCTCGTCTGGTTTGTTCCTATGCAGGGATATTCTTAGGACCATTGTGCATAGTTAGTCACCCTATACCCTGTACATTCATGCCCACTGCATGCTTTGTGTTCCTCCTGAATCCTTTTGTCAAACAGTCATAGGCTACGTAACTCGGAACAATGAATGGCTGTTTTTCTAAAGCAATGCCCATCGACCCATTGAGCAAGTGTCTCTTCAAGGATATTCTAGCCCGCCTCGTTTTCCATGCTGGGTCGTTAGACGAACAGGACACTGTATTTATTTCCTGTTTGTGGATTTATTTCTCGGGGTTTGAAAACGAATGTTTTTGGAGTACTTGATGTACCCAAGATGTAATGTGCTTCTAATTTATGCAGTTGAATTAAAGTTTGGGTGTGTCGTTTCTGTAAAGAGAGAACACAATCATAATTATGCACATGTCAGAAGTTAACTTCTCTCACGGATAAAAGTAGGAACATTGGATAACAAGGAGCAGTGTGCAGGTTATTAATACATCGCCCCTACTGCAGTGTAAGCGGCTTGCTTCCTGATCTTAAAAAGCGTGAGGATCGCTGTAAGACGTGGAGATGACAGGACTGGCGGTGCGAATACCGAGCCTAGTCTCACTAGTGACATTCGTGTTGGCATCTCAAGTGATGGGCGGTAAGTTCCTGAGTCGGCCTAGAACGAGTCGACTGACGTAATTTTAAATTAACATTGCCAGAAAGTACGTGCACAGACATGCATTGGTCGGCGATCTCAAATCTCAAAACTATCAATAATTAAGAAATGTAGTACCAAAATATATTAAAATAATGGTTGTACATGTACGTAAAAAACTTGCATTGGCGTTTAAGGGAGGGGGGGGGGGGATAGGGACAAGGCCGTCCCCCTAAGGCCCCTATAAAGTTCCCTACCCCTGCAAATTGAACCCTAACTAGTTCATGCTGAGTAAAAGGAGGATAATATTGTTGGAAAATGGTCGTGAAACGTATTTTATGTTGCAGCAGCGGAATAGTTGCCGCGCGCTGCATTAAACTTAACGTGGCGCAGTTGAACAAATCTCGAAAAGTCCCAAGTGAACATTTAAGAAGTTCTTTAAAGTTTAAATCCTGAACAAAAAAAATTACTCCACTCATAATATCCAAATAAATGTTTGTCAGAAAAATATTTTCTTATTTTTGGGGGCACATTTGAAAGGGTTCACTGCGCATTTCAAAATACATGTAAAATCGGAATATCGCGCCAAAAGTAAAATATATCTCTCAAATTTGCAACGGGTAGCCTCAAGATTTATGGACTTAAAGTTGTGCTTCCTGTGCTGTTCAACAAATTTCATTTTTTCCCTTTTGTTCAAACCTCTTGTTTCCTTTTTTGGATGACTGAGACCCTTTAAAAACAAAGGCACGAACATAATGCTTTGCGAGCAGATTGCATGGTGAGAAAGTCAGCCAAATTCAAAATTTGTAAAGTAATAATTCAATAACTAGACACTTGGCTAATATTTCTCGGTCGTTGTCTAATTCAAAAGTGAATAAAATGTGTATTGCTTAAAAAAAGCAATTTAGAAAAGGAATCTTTCGGGATGAAACCGGCCCAAAAAAAGCACAGGGAGCGGCCACTTATGAAATTTCAATTACTAGTGAAATTCGAGGTAAAAGTTTTGCTCTATAATAACTTCTTCTTGTTGTTGTTGTTGTTAGTATTGGCACCTTGGCATAGTTTGTGCGTGTCACTGTACAGATCTACAGGTAACGTGCACAGAGCAATCAGGAGTAATTGGTGAGGTATAGCAACATTTCCGATGTAGCCACCATGCTCTAGCTAAGCTCCAGAGGCGAAACAATATTAAAAGTGCGCCATGTTAGGGGACAAAATACCAGTGTTGCATTATGCCTATATTTCCACAACCTACCGACAGCTAGCGCCACCGTCGAATGGTGTCCGCCCCGACGGTCCTGCAACGCTACCCCTTGCGTGCACGGCCCAGAGGATTAATTTCCCACGCAACCCCGCTGCTAATAAGTTATGCCTGTGATCAGAGTTAATGACAGATGTACATATCAAAATATTGTGTTTGCAGTGCGACAATACTCGGAGGCATTGAACCACTTTGTTTGTGTAGGCCATAAACAGGAATGTTTTTCTTACATTTAGACAGGAATGTTTTTCTTACATTAGAATCAGTTAAAAAACAACAACATGGGGGTTTAGCAATCGGAAAAGTAAACATGGCAGGAAAACAATTTTTGGTGATGGTGGAAACACGAGTCAAGGATGACTACTGCTAAAGAAAAACACTGACGCACGTAAGAATAATTGTTGTTTCGACATATCTGTTGGGGTGAAGTTTTGTTTTCTTTGAGAAATGATTCAATTTTGGGCGCCTCCATAGCACCAAAACATCCACCTGAATTTTTGTCGGACCGCAATTTTTTTTTCGTACAGTGTCTCATTCATCTTTATTTCTAGAAAAATAGTCATTGAAAAAAGAAGAAATCAATAGACTATTTTTGGAGCATGAAACTCGAAAATAACAGCACGTGTGGGCGTAGAGCAACTTGAAAAGTTTGAAAATGATTGAATTTTAGGAGCGTCAATAGGGGGCGGTATCACTTTATTTCGGTCGTGTGGCCGGCCCGGTTATTTTGATTGTACTGACCAGCTGACTGCCGACTCGCACTCGTTGAAGGGAAACGTATCGATCCGGTTAAATAAAAAAATTGGTTGTGTAGAAATGGCTGGTATTGTGCATTTTGTACGTCACGCGGGTCATGCTGGAATGGCTGTCCTGCCTTTTGTTTTTTATTCATAATGCTTATCAGGTAATTTATAACAATTACTGATATTTTCAAATTTGTCACAAGATATTTGAATACTTTAGAGGCTGGGATCCTTTGAGGATCCACAGATGTCAAAAAAGTATTCTTCAGTGCTTTTAATTTTGCAATAAAGCTAACACTTTAAATGCATTTACTTTCAGATTGTTCACTCAGTCCATGTGAGAATGGTGCTACATGCCTAGATGCCTACCTAGATCCTGGCTATGTCTGTCTGTGTCCAGCAAACTTCACTGGAGCTAACTGCTCTCAGATATCATGTGAGTTGATATGCACACGTAATCTGCTATGATTACTTGACTTGCTGTTTATTGTGTTTGTACTGATCAGTAGAGTTTTAATTGATTCAATCACAGGTTGATTCACAGGTCCAATCATAAGCAACTGGGGATGAACATTGTCAAAGGAATGCCTTTTCGCACAGTTTATTTGACCCCCGTCAGAACCCCCCCCCCCCTCAAGTCGGCTGCAGGTCTACTTTTCCCTCGCAATTGACATTTGAGGTTTACTCAAATGTGTATGTATGAATCAACTGTTTACTACCTCCACCGAGGAGGTATGTTTTCACCTCCGTTGGTTTGTTGGTTGGTTGGTTTGTGGACAAAATAATTCAAAATGTTGCATATCGATTTGCATGAAAATTTGTGTAGGGGTGGTCCTTGGGACAAGTGCAGATCAATTAGATTTTGGACGAGATCCGGATGCAGGAATTGTTTTAAGGATTCTTCGTCATTTTGTATATGTGCAAATATGCCATAGACCATGAAATTGGGGCGCCCACCCCTCCCCCTTAAACAAATATTTGACCCGTCCATTTCTGGGTCATCCTTACTTTTAGGACCCCGTTCCTATATAAGGTTAAAAGACTCACCAAAACAGCTGACTAAATGACTCTCAAAAGTGACATTCTGATATTTTTTGACACATTTGAACAGTTGAATGACACCTTCTTGAATATCAGCAGGTTTAATTTTGTAGAAAGAGGGCAGGGCTTTGATTTATGAGGGGTTAAAGACGACGATGACAAACAGAAAATATATTAAAAAAGCAAGATGGCTAACTGCAAAAAAAGGTAGAAAAGTCACATTTTCTTTGAAAGTGCTTTCAAAATTACAACCACCATGAGTTTATCTGAAGAAACAAGACTGCTTTAGCCTGCAAAAGTCACTTTGGTACTGGACGGTCATCTGTAAAAGTCAGTTTTGAACAGAACTCGTAAAAATAGAGGTATCCTAAAGATAAGGATTACCCATTTCTGGGCCATATACCGTTCACACAGCGCAAGTGACAGGCTGTGTATGTTAAAGTCATTATACACTTGGCCAGCTGACTGGTCCCTCCAGAGACCCCACGGCTAGCGAGCCCCTGTTTGATGACACTGATGTAAACACTGACCCTATGGAAATGGCTCAGTTCTGCTAGATGCACTTAATAATTCTGTATTCAACAAGTGAACAAAACATATTAATACAGAGTGTTTCTGCCCGTTGATTTCAGAACATGATTGAGCATTTTAAAAGTTCCTCGTGTAAGATGTACTAACAATATGGGGGGGGGGGGGGGATTGTTTAGCCTTGGCGGAGGTTGCGCTCTCTGAGTGCTTTCAACTTAGACATGCAAAAGTCCCCTTCTTGGTAAAAACGACCCTTTCACCAGGCTAGCTGCAGCACTGGCTTGCCACTTGAGACTGGATGACTCTGTGATTGACTTGTGATGACTTGTGGTGGCTTTGCTGACTGAAATACAACTCTACTGATCGTTGAAATGAATTGCCTATTTTTTGAAAACCCTTGGACCGCATATTTTGATATGGATTGTAGAGTCACTCAAGAATGGAATATTCTCCAATTAGAAAAAATATATGATGTGGTGAAACATCAAATTATTTACATTGAGAAGTATGTTTTAAATAGACGAAAACAGTTCAGTAAAATCTGGGACCTTTTGCATAATTCAGGGTTTGTTTTTTGAAAATGTGTAAATGGATTTTGGATTATTTTTCCGTTTAAACGTTTAAACCTGTAAAACGTCACATCCTTATTTTAAGTGAGATTTGGAATTTTTCATAATTTTGTTTAATAGATAGGGGATGTCAGTTCAGCTTTTCTAACGTCTCAGGCGTCATCACATCTCCCAATTACCCGCAACAACACAACAACTCTGAAAGTTGCCTGTATCACATCCGAGTGCCAAGTGCCGTCAACATCACCCTGAATGTATCCTACATGCACACCGAGAGGCTGAAGGATTACCTTCAGATTGGGCCGGGGACCAACGAGTCGGACTGGGTGGAGTATAGTGGACTGCTGGATGCGCCGCTGGTCATCACGTTTCAGACCAATCAGGCGTTTGTGGCCTGGTACTCAGACTTCAATGTTATTCAGCAGGGATGGGTCATCCGGTATGAAACAGGTACGGCAATTTAATTGCACAGATCCTGGAACTAGTGAGAGCAAGAACTAAACATTATTTTAATGGGAAACTTTTGAGACGTTGGTTGCAGCAAACACACCGGTCCTTTTCTCATTGTTTGCGTCATGTTCAGCATGTGCGCTTTAGCTTAAACATGATGCAAACAATTGAAAAGTACCGGTGTGTTTGCTGCCACCAACGTCTCAAAAGTCTCCCATTACTTTAATCGAATGTACACAAATAAACATGGTGACAACTGACAAGTCGGTCGGATTATTACTTATATCATAAACTGTCCTTCGCTTTTATTCAAAATGACTGGACCATTCCTTGATGTTCTTTAACCCTAACTGTCTTCAATCCTTCACAATCCTCCTGGCGGTTTTGGAGGGTTTGGAGGATTTAAGCTGAATGGCCAAAAAAAAAATAGTCGGTTGATTTTAAAGGATGCATTGTGATGAGTTCATAGGCTGTACCCTCCATTGTTTATGTTCAGCCATGCATAATTGAGCCCTGCATTATGCTCAATATCACCCGCACTGCTTCTGAATGTCGTTGGCACTGCCTCAACTCCCAAGTTCAGTAATTGTTGGAGGATTTTGAAGGATTGAGGCAATGGTCCCTCCTCTGAACAAATTCAAGAAATACATGTAACTGATGATTTTGGAGGATTGAGGCTGAATCCAATTTTTACATGGTGGCAATTGGAGGAGTTTGCAGGATTGAGGATGGTTCCTAGCCAGAAGGGCCTAGGGGTTAATAATAATAATACTGGAGTCTTATATAGCACACGTATCTACAAACAATTAGGTACTCAAGGCGTTGGAAATTATGTCTATTATTAAAGAAAGGTAAATGAAGTCTATGAGAAATATGAGACCCATTATGTAGCACCTTATAAGGGTTTACAAGGTGCTGTGGTGCATATTGCAGCCACTGCCAGAAACACCAGGGCAAACCCCTTCTCTTAGCGATAAGTGTTACTGGGTTCTTTAACGTGCATTACACAACACTTGAGACCTACTGCTTAGGGTTAACCTAAGGCAACCTTTAGACAATCCCTGTTTGCTGCTTGTAAATAATTTGATCATTTAATTGTAAGTTGTTTTTGGTATCATTCTTCAGATGGTTTGGAGTGTGAATGGCCTTCCAACCCATGTGCACCTGGTTACCGGTGTGTGGAGGGATTTGCCAGCTATTCATGTGAAGGTGGGTCGATCAGTCAGTCTGTTTTACTTTTCTGAAGATAAAGATTGAACAAAGACATTGCCAGATAGGAAGGTTGCCAACATAAGACTAGTGAGTCATGAGTTGAGTGACGGAACTTAATTCTGCTGGTTTAAATTAATAGAAGATGGAGCACTTAAAAACATGAGGTTTAAAACCAGTGACATTGCCTCTGAGTTTTAAAGGTAATAGGCCTATAGAACATTTGTTTTTGCTGTATTTTTCAGAAATGAATGGATTTTAGGGTTAGTATTTTACAGCAAATATTGTTAAACTGACCTGTTTAAAAGTTTTGTGTTCATGGATGCTGGAAAAACTAAGGAAAAAGTGTTGTTCTTGTATTCTGGTTCCCTGACCCTACTTCAGATGAAACAGAGAAATTTATAGGCATCAGGGAATTGTCAGGTCAGGGAACCAGACTAGCTGGCTTGCACCTGTTCACTGATGTGTAACACATTGCAAACACAATGTGGACTAAGTAAATTTGGTAAATTGGGGGCAGTATTTGAAAAAAGTCAGTTTTTTTAACGAAGGTCGGCCAACCATCATTGGAAATTGATACAAAAATTTCTTGAAAATGAGTACACCTGGTGCCGTGATTTCACAGGATGCTTGAGTCTATTATTCACTTACAGTCAAGTAAGGTAGTTCATAATAGTTCTGGTACTTTTGGTTTTTGATGTTTGCAAATATATATTACCTTTAAGCATTATTTAGTTTTTTTTGACTGAATATGCTCAACCACACTTTAAATACCTTTTTTTTGGTAAAAAAACTGTCAGTGTTGGAAAAAGATTTTCCAACCACAACCAGAAGGATTTGTTAACAAATAATCAAGCCTTTAATTGAAGAAAAAACAACAATTTGTCGATTTCGATTTGGCAACAAATTGATAAATTGAATTGATCTTTTTGTAACAGAGGTGCTGCAGTGTGCCAGTGATCCTTGTAAGAATGGAGGGCTGTGCTTTGAGGGAACATCATCATATTTCTGTCAGTGCGGTGAAGGCTACACAGGAGAAAACTGTGAAACAGGTAATAGTGTCATTGATTTAATATTTAGTAGTGTACTGAGCCTCATGTCCTTGTTGCAGGTGATATTATAATCTGTGAGTTTTGTACATAATGACCACGATATGTATTGGGTCCCTATGTGTATGCAATTCAAAGGTGACGTTTCGTTATTGTACTTTTCCCCCTCAGATGTTGGTTTCTGTGCGATGAACACCCCTTGTAAGAATGGGGCGACCTGCATCAGTCAGGATGCCACTTCATTTACATGTGACTGTGCAAGTGGCTGGACTGGACAATTATGTGATCAAGGTAGAATGGCCCACTTTATACATAGAGTCCCTCTGATTTCTAACTTGTGCCTGTAGAACGATGACATTGAAAAAGTATGAGACCATGGGGCGGGATAGCTCAGCTGGTAGAGCACTTAGAACACAAGTCCAGCTGCAGAGGTCTCTAGCTTGAATCTCATTTAAGTCAACTGTTTTCATCCGATCTTTTCAAAACATCACACTACTTGCTTCCAAAATCACACTTTTGCAAAAACACCAATCAAGTTATAACCGGCAAGTACATGTATAAATAATCAATAGAGAATTTTTTCCATGACTTGTGTTTTCCTTTTTATTCATTTCATTCAATCTGATCATTATAAGGTCGGACAAAGAATTTGAACGCAGCAGGATTTGAACTTGTGACCTCCGGATTGCCGTTCTGGTGCTCTACCAACTGAGCTATCCAGCCCTATGTAGGCAGTCCCCATTTCTGTCAATGTCTTTGTTCGAAGGGTTCTAGTCAGAAGCCATATACCCCTATATGCCATTGTAGCCAGGGATCATGCCGAAAGTGACAATGCTAGCAACATTAGCTGGGCTGCAAATCCAGGAAATGGCAAATGTAGATCACTCAGAGATACTTTCCTTTTTTAATTTCTTTTTCATCCTCAAAATTATTAAATAGGCACCTAGTCAGTTTCCCATTAGGGACTTTTCGGATTATTTAATTCAATCTGTGGTTGTCTTTTAGATATTTTGGAGTGTGCCAGTTCTCCCTGTGTGAATGGAGGTCTCTGCTTCGAGGGAGTCAACTCCTATTTCTGTCAGTGCCCAGATGGATTCATCGGCAAACGCTGTGAAAATGGTACAGTGAATCAATATTTTTCGATGGTGTTGTCAAGTCCATCACAAGTCCTCAAAAGTCAATCACAAAGTCATTCACTCTTAAAGTAGAGTAGATCATTTGCAGCTATCTAAAAAGAAACTGGCCAAATTATTGTTGAAAGCTTACTTGGTTTAAAGATAATAATGGCAATAAACTCCCTGTGAAATGATTCTTTCTGGCATGCTGTCATTTTGAAAAAAAAAAAACAATAAAAGAAGGCCATTTCCAAAGATGCGTAAAAGCAACAAAGTAACGCTGTTTGTAAATTTCCGTTAGTTTGTTGTTTGTAATTCGGCAAACCTGTGAATGGGTGTGCGCAAGCGTTGACATGATGCACACACGCGTGGTTGCTGTTATTCGTCGGTTCAGTGCCTGACATCGCGTAGCTGCAATCAGCTGAATGAGAACATGTCCCGTACGCTGATTTCGGGCGCAATTAAAAACATGACTTGGCAACTTTTGAACTAAAATCAAGATCCTAGAATATTGTTTTCAGAATATACTGCATTCACAGAGCTAAATCTTCATTAGGTTAGTTGTTGAGCACCCTTCTTTAGATTTTGAGCACATTTGTTGCTTCAAACGCAACAATGCACAAAATGATATACCCTTCCTTTAAGTCACAGCACAAACTATTCATGTGACACCGGCATTGCGTTGTGTTGTTTTTGTCCATTCGCTGTTACTTGTGACCAGAGTTGTGAATGGACTTGTGATATACTTGTTGCAGGACTTGTGATGGACTTGTTATGGACTCTTGACCCGAATACAAAACTGATCTGAAGCATTTTTTCTTCACATCCAGTTCTGATGTGGATAAACTTATTCACCTCTTTATGGAAATGAATAATTTGTTATTGATTATTTTTTGTGTTTCTTTTATTGTGTTGATTTGACACTGATACAGAAACCATAGAATGTAGGAGTAACCCATGCCAAAATGGCGGTTTGTGCTATGAAGGTACCAGTAGGTACGCTTGTGTCTGCCCAGATGGCTACAATGGAACCAACTGTGAAAATGGTACGCTCAGTATTTCTATGTGCACAGCTTCTTTTGACACTTCATACATAATAATGAACCAAACGCACTTCTCTAAGTGCCATGATTGCACAGGATGCTTGAATGAATTACTATAAATGAATTACTATAATTCACTTACAGTGAAGTAAGGTATTTCATAATAATTTGGTAGTTTTAGTTTTTGATGAATGCAAATGTTGTATATTAACTTTAAGACAGAACAATTAATAAAGGGATCCCATGGAATTTCTGCTCTCAAGTGTTTCATAATGTCCTCACATCAAATAATGGGGCTGTAAATGCATGGTCCCTCAGAACCAGAGAGCTTCTGAAAAATTTGATGTTGGAAGGTCAGTTGAAGGGGATAAATAGGTCATAGGAATTGTTATGATTGTCTGGCATCTGTGTGGGTGTAACACAGTTTTCTTATTTTGTTGGCAGATATCGATGAGTGTGCAAGCAACCCTTGTATGAATGGAGCAACATGTAATGATGGCATCAACCAGTACAACTGCACATGTGGCCCAGGATTCAACGGCACAAACTGTCAAACAGGTATGCACACACTCCTGTTTGATCACAAACTGGTACTTGTTTCACTGTACTTGTAACCATACACACAATTATTTTCCACTAGTAAATAACAATGTGGTGCTTGTATATTGATCAAAGTGCTTCACAATTATTACCCCTGTTCATCAGGCCAATAGACTAGTTTTCTGCAGCAGCCTGGGATAAGTGTAATTTGATCGCTACTGTCACAGGTACCCATTTATGCTCCTGGGTGGAAAGAGGCAATTGTAGTGAAGTATCCTGCCAGAGGACACAGATGCTTTTTTTTTGAATTGAACTGCAACACTGGCTTGTAAAATTTCACATTTAGTCATCTATGCTTTGCTTTATTTGCCCGTAAGACCTGTCTTTCATACATAAATGGTCAAGAAGTGCTTACAAGTACTTCAAACACTGCCCTGATCTGGATGTATTTTGCTGGACGTAACCAGAAACGGGTTCAGTTTTTCTTATTTACAGTGAAGCATTTGGCAACTTGAGTAGTGCAGTAAGTCCTGTGTGATTACTTGTAGAATTTGTCAAAATGTATTTGTCAAAATGTCATTAGAATTTGTCAACCACTGAGAAACAACCTAACCATTTTTTGGTTACTATCTCCAAAACGCACCCCTGTTCTTGCATGGAGCCCCAAAGCTTACCATGCTGGTTTATTTGAATGAGCAGGCAGTGGGAACTTTGAATAATGTATTCGCCACTATCGTTTTCCCCCCCAGATATCCAGGAATGTGCCAGTAACCCTTGTCTGAATGGTGCATCGTGCACTGAGAGCGTCGGTTTCTACTTGTGTCAGTGTGTTCCTGGCTATGCAGGGGATAGGTGTGAAACTGGTAAGCAACTCATAACCATATTTCTGCTTACCCTTTAACCCTCAAAGAAATGAGATATCACTTCATTTCACCTTAGAGCTGAGGGGGGGGGGGGGGGGAGGGCTGTTGTGAGAATTTGTTCAAGAGAAATTCATGCTTAGTATATGTTAGGCGTTCTAGCAAAATGAGACGGAACTGGACACAAGCCATAGTGGAGAAAAATGCAAAAAAACTGAAGAGGGAGGTTTTTTAAATGTTCACTTTCATTGATATATTTAACCTTTGATATGTCTACTAGACATATTTTAAAGAAATACAGGGTGAATAAAAAAACCCTGAAACCCAAGTGTCGGGACCATTTTTTGGTGAAGTTCTGCATGTAGCACTTTAAAAATGTAGGATATGAAAGCCCAATTCATAAACTTTCTTTTAGTACAAGAACCATTCAAATCACTCATGCACCATTTTGAAGTTCTGTCCACATACATCCCTATGTGAACACATCCCTATTCACAAAAGCTACATCTGATTATTATTAGATGTGTGTCAAAAAGTCTGCAAGACATAACTCGTAGATGTGGTCTCCCCGAGAACAAAGAAGGGCGCTGATGATATCCGGAAAAAATGTAGGGGGGGGGGGAGTGTCAGTCAGCAACATGCATTCCATCCGTCACCTCATGAAATTATTCTTACCATTGCACTCATAACCATTCGTTATTTGTATATTACCAGACATTAATGAGTGTAGCAGCAGCCCCTGTCAGAACAATGCAACATGTGTTGACCTGCTGAATGCTTACAGCTGCAACTGTACCGCTGGATGGCAAGGGGACAACTGTGAAATTGGTGAGTTTAATTTCCGACACAGTTTATTAAAGAAATGCTTAGGAGAACAAAAGATCCTTTCAGTCCTTGAGTGTTGGGTCTTTTGTTAAAAACGGTCCTCGATCGTACAGTTATGTGCTTAGTCTATAGGAGAGTGTTATATTTTATATTACAGGGACAAAGGGAAACACAAAGCATTGTCCTTGGGCGTATGGAAATTCACGACTGTGTCATGAAATTTAGTCTGAAATAAAACAAATGTGGCGACATCCAGAAAATGGGCTCAAAATCTGTCGAGTATTCTCTAACACGGCACACGTGAACAAATCTCAGCATTTCCCAAGTGAACATTTAAGAATTTCTTTAAACTTGACAAATTCTGATAAACCGTTGTTATCCCCACTTACACATCTAACTACATGTTTGTAAGAAGATAATTGTCTTATATTTGGCCATTTTAAAAGGGTTCAGTGTAAAGTTCACAATAAAATCGAAAAAAGGCACCAAACAAAAACAATTCTGTCTGAACTTTGTAACGGGTGGTCAACTCAAGTTCAATGAACAAGTTAAAAACGTGATGAAAGTTCTCTTAGTGTGAAATTTGGGGTAGAATGTTTGCTCTAGCAAGGCACTAGAGGCGAAAAATCAAGAGGCACCGTTGCGGGCATTTTGAGTTACGGGGGTATTCATGCACATAATATCCCATTCTCATGACGGGAATAGAGTATTACTTCGAGATAAATAGAGTTTCAACTTATCCGAATTTGACTTAACGAGAGTTTACTGTATGTGTTTGTGTACATTCAGAATCACATTTGGTTCGTGTACTTCATGTCATACGTGAGCGAACCAGTCTGCAGACTCATTGTGTCCCACTTATGAGCATCCGCTAGTAGTCATGAAGCCCAAATTATCATCATGTGCAGAATGCATGCATGTTCTACTTACAAATCAATGGTGATGCAAATGAATTGTCCCTCAGAACCAGATAGCTCTTATGTTATTTGACGTTTGAAGGAATGCTTGCGCCATACAACTTGTCATGGTTGTCGGAGATCTGTGTTGTATATGCCACCTTTTCTTATTTTGTTGGCAGATATCGATGAATGTGCAAGCAATCCTTGTGTGAATGGAGCAACATGTAATGACGGCATCAACCAGTATAACTGCACATGTGCCCTAGGATTCAATGGCACAAACTGCCAAACAGGTTTGTTTACATGTGCATTTGTAAACATACATAGATGTGACCATTTGCCTAATGCATCCATGAGCTTTTGCAGTATATATTTTGAACACTGTCTTGATTCGGAGTATGTTCTCTCCTTGATGAACTCAAACATGAAGTAAACATCTTCGGAAGGTGTTCTGTCCATGCTATTGTTGAGTTTCACTCCAAAAAATAGATTTTATTTTTAAATTGCTATCTTTCTAGCAATACAAACGTTGTTCACTTTTCAATGGGACATCAACCAACAAAAATTTGCCCATGTTTAGTTTACAGGTACAATGGACAGTTGTCATTTGTGCATTTTTTTTGGTTTGAAACAACAAAAGTGCCCAAAATCTAAAGCAAGTGCTGAACTAACCTGATGAAGGTTTAGCTCTGTGAATGCTGCATATTTTGCAAAAACACAATATTCTGGATCTCGATTGCATTCGTGTCAACAATTGCACCCATTCTCGGATTTGCCCAGTTACAGACCAACTACAAATGGAAATGTCCAAGAATTTTTCACTTGACACATCCTTGAAAATGACCTTGTATTGTTTTCTTCGAAATGACGGCATGCCACAAGAAATATATTCACAGTATCATTACTGTCTTAAACCAAGTAAGCTTCTTAACAATAATTTGGTCAGTTACTTTTTGGATAGCTGCAAGTGGTCCCCTCTACCTTTGATTACTTTTCAAATTATGAATTGTTTGCAGCCTGACAATAATTCAGTGCTTGCAAGATGGACTTGTTCCCCCCTCCTTTTAGAATTGATAATTTAGGTAACGGGAACCAGTCTACTGGCAGGACAAATCTGTTGTGTGCAAAAGCAACCGAAAATACAATCCTTTAATTGACGATGCCAAAAATAGGGAAAAACCCCAGCTTTTACTGTTATTGGCCTTGCCGCACACAGAGAATGAAGCACATCATTGAGTAACACACGCAATGTCATATATCAACAGTGCTTGCATAGTATGAAAGGCATACCACGTTCAACATATAAGAGATTACCGAATGTTCAATGCCATTTAATTCGCTTTCAGCACTCGAGCAACGAAAACTGCTCATCTATCTACTTGCCTTTGTTTTTGTTTTTGCTTAGAAATTCTGGAATGTGCCAGTAACCCATGTCTGAACGGTGCGTCATGCAATGAGGGGGTCGACTCCTATTCATGTCAATGTGTTCCTGGCTATACAGGGGATAGGTGTGAAACAGGTAGGAGCTAACTGCTTTACTTTGCTGTGCTCTGAACATTACACTTTGATATTCAATTTGATTTCCCAGGTATTTGCGATTGGTGCAAAGTCAGTTTTGTTTGATACAGATCTTGTATTTGTTACTTTTTATTTTTTGACCAGACATTGATGAGTGTAGCAGCAGCCCCTGTCAGAACAATGCAACATGTGTGGACCTGCTGAATGCTTACAGCTGCAACTGTACCACTGGGTGGCAAGGGGACAACTGTGAAATAGGTGAGACACTTTAGTGCTTTGTTTTTGTTTTTCAAATAGTGCTGTCAAGTAAAATTCGTCATGCAAAAAACCTGTAAGTATAACAGGCACACGACAAACACACCATTTTTTGAAAACTTTCTTCATGTTCTTTTTCTAACAAGTGAGGCACTGTTGCACGCAGTCTTTGATTGAGGGGTTTTGGGTTAAAATTGTAAACCCCAAAATTTGCTTCTTGAAACATTTGTTCATAAAGTTTGCTTATGCTGTAATGAAATGAATCACCAAACAAAGGAAATTTACCGCATCAAAAAAAGGTTGGGCTACTTTTTGTGCTGAATTAGCTAGAAGAGCACCAAATTTTCTGTTGTTTATGACATCACATTTTTTCTCATGAATATAGAGTTTTGCATTAGCATAAAACAGTACAAAAAGGCAGCAAAACACCCTAGAGGTGCATTTTCAAGGATTTCATAAAAAATATATATTACATAGGCCTTTAATGTTCTGTGTTTGAAACAGTTATAAGCAACTAATTGCACAAAGAGGATTGACTGTGTTGGTCATTCAGAATGAGTCCAGAGTGTAGTCAATAAGATATTAATACATAAGGTCTGAAACTGATTATATTGAAACTAACTATATTCTGGTTGACTTGGGTAGCTCCTATTACTACACCTCATAAATATTCATGATCAAATTGGAGCAAATCATTGGCTGATTCCGCCGCGTGTCCGGGAAGTAAAAATGATATGCGCCCAGGAAACGTCATCCCGGTGAGTATCCAGCTCGCTGTCGTGAGGTATTTTTTCTGGTAGCACCAAAAATTCCCTCTGGAACCCGCCTCGTAGACATGTAGGCTGTGGCATGTAATCTTTATGGAACCAGTCTGTTGTTGTAGTCCTTGTAACTACTACAGTAAAGACACATTAATGAGTGTTGGCACCAGACTTTTTCATTGGCTGACGAAGAACTTGAATATCTTGTGCTGAATAAAGATGCAAACGAAGGCCGTTATCGAGAAGGCAGTGAGGCTTCTAAAATGGCAGTGAGGCTACTAAATATTTATGAGGTGTAGTAAAACAAATACAGCATGGTTTATTTCTGGAAAATAGTTGGAATTACTGGTCCCTCGGTGTAGGTCAGCTTGACTACCTCCCTCTGCTTCGCGTCGGGAGGTAGTCAAGCTGCCCTACACTGAGGGACCAGTAACTCCCACTACTTCCCTTCAAACCATGCTGTATTTGTATAATACTATTTGGCATGACTCTGAAACACCTGTCAGAAAAAAAGATGTATTATGACCTTGTTGTGCACTTAGTGATTTGGACATTGTTGGCTGATGTCATCAGAACTTACTGTGGTGGTCTACCCTATTATAATTGTAGGGCTGGGGTCCGTCCTTGATTAAACACGGATGAAACTGGACACCAGTCAATCACTTCTCGATCACTACGGTTTATTTCCAATCGGATGCTTGGTCAATCATAGAGGTAGGAATAGAAAACCCCAAAACAAAAACCTTCCTGGAACTTAAGTCTCCCGAAGTTATAGGAAGCAGGGTTATCATTCCTGAGTTCCTGACAGTGACATTAGCGTACAGCATTCTACATGTCTCTGAATTTCTCATCGATTACCCACTCGAGCTCTCCGCAAAATTATTTCTCATTCAGGGACAGTCCCTCCGCACGCAATAGCGCGCGGTGTCATGGAGATAAACGATAAACACGCCATACACAACAGCGGTGTCCTGTTATATCGGGACTCCCACAACTTCCCTGCTTTTATGCCATGCGACCCGAATGGCACGTACATAAGCACCACAATGACCCAAGGAGATATGTACATCAGTTTACATTAGTTACAATCAATAACCTTTAAAACAAGCAATGGGGGTAATAGATATCTTCAATAATCTGAACGTTTGAGTTTGGGATACTCGGACCAACCCCTGTGGTCACATTTGTAATTAAAAGTAAGCTCAAATGAAAAGCTATAGAAACTCTCTCTCTGTTCCTTTCAAGTGAAAAACACATAATTTAAAGGTACACATCAGTCCTTACTTTACTGTTACAAGCTTTAACTTCTAGCTATAGTAAAGATATTATCTTGTTTTCTGTATAGAATACAGTGTTTAAAGAAAACTGGTGTCAACAAGAAGTTACAATGTTGTACTTCCAATACTCCAAACGTACTGTGTTAAACAGATTTCAGAAGAATTCAAACTCGCTCTTCAACTTGTTCACAGTATAAGAAAACAAAATGCTTCCTATAAGATATTGGAAAACGTTAGCATAGCAATATAGCTAGCACACTATCAAAATATTTTGTAAACCAACAACTTTGTTATAGTAACTATAAAACATGAACAAGGAGCAAGCTACAGGGTGCCAGGCTGGTCAAACCATGTCCTATAATAGGAGTACCAGGACCCATTACTTAACTTGATCGTCAAGCAGAATCAATGATAAATAATTAGGTAATTGCATTTGGCCAGCAACCCCAAAGTCTCGTCCGACGTTCAGAGGGCCTCAATCCAAACTCCTCTGGACTTTGGGTGAACATGTGTGTTCCAACTACAGGTGGTGTACAGGTGCAACTTGGCCTATGAGCTATATAAGATCCAATTTGACTCGCTCCCTTAATCGAACTGAAATTACGGATTACAGGAGGTTTGTTTTCAACCTCATCAACATTTGGAACAACGACCAAAATTAAATACTCATCAGATGAGCAGTCACTCTCATCATTGAAATCAGGATTTTCATCACAAATACAAGGTGAACAAGAATGTCGACAATCATCAACAGAACTCTCTGTCAAAATCACAAAGTCATCACCATGTGGTTTGTTCAAAGTACTGGAATCATTTACCTCATCAAGAGGGTAATACGCAGGCTCATCCAGTGGGTTCCCTGCTTTTTCCTCTGCCCTAAGTTCAAGCAGAATATTTATATTGGATTGCAGATCATCTAACTGCTCATTAATTTGTTGCTGCTGCAAAACCAAAATGTTCACTAACTCAATTAAGTATTTCTGACTTTCGAGTAGTGGTAACAGACTATCATGGTCACTTGAACTAAAGTGATCTACATCTATGTCACAATCAGATATAATTGCTGGGCCATATGGACTACACTTTGCCCTTTCTACAACAGGTGGGTCTCTTTCCCAACTTGATTGATCACATTTCAAATCTTGAATTTGCTGAGGCACTGGACAACTGATACCTTTCAGTGCTCCAACAATAGTATCAATAAAGGCTCTATGAGATTCCACAACAACATTTACCAAGACCTCATTTGTGGCCATAATTCAAACCAAAGTTATTAGCTTCAAAGCTATACAAGAATCTCAGCTGATGTAAACACAATCAGGGCCGAATTCAAATACAAAATGTCACATGTCTACAATAAGACTAGATGCAATATATGCAATCAAAATGTGTACGCTTAACAGGAAAAATCCAGTAAAAACACAAAGAAAAAGCCTAGCCATGAAAGTGAACTATTCACTGACCACAAAATATGTCTCTACAAGGTCCCAAATATTCTGGTGAAATTGCCTAACAAAATCTCACAATGGGTTATTCACAAAACCACTCAACAGTGAGCACAAATATAGTTCTACAAATTTAGAACTAGAATTCCATGCATACAAAGCAGGAAGGTAAAATGTTGACAGATTCCACCTTGGAACAAATTGGACAGAAAAGAGTAGACCCATACAATACAAACAGTCTTCAAATGAGCTGTATACAACAAGGGTCAACAGGGGATGCAAATGCAAAAATTCCCTGGATAGATCAGTGAAAGCGCACAAATACAAAAGAATATTCTAGGCGGCAATTTCTCTGAAAATTTCTGTAGCACACCTTACAAGTAGTACGTGAATACAAAATGTTGGCACTTTCCAACAACACTACACAAAATCTTCTGTTGTGAGCCAAAAAAGGTGAGTTTGTCAAAAAGTCTTACATAGCAGGGTTATACATCAATACCCATGGCTGTACACCATGAAAACAAGTTGGCATATGCCAACAATACAAACAGACTGTGCTCGTCACACAAGTACAACTACATGACAAAATGTCAAAGTGGCTACACGCCGACACCGGCGTATGGCCTCAGCCACACCGCCCGGTAATGCCATCATCCAGTCCGACTCTGGGGGTCTCTTCGGTAGAGGTAGCTTGATGACAATAACTCCCAGCATCCTGTCTACGACGCCATTTTTACTGTGGTGGTCTACCCTATTATAATTGTAGGGCTGGGGTCCGTCCTTGATTAAACACGGATGAAACTGGACACCAGTCAATCACTTCTCGATCACTACGGTTTATTTCCAATCGGATGCTTGGTCAATCATAGAGGTAGGAATAGAAAACCCCAAAACAAAAACCTTCCTGGAACTTAAGTCTCCCGAAGTTATAGGAAGCAGGGTTATCATTCCTGAGTTCCTGACAGTGACATTAGCGTACAGCATTCTACATGTCTCTGAATTTCTCATCGATTACCCACTCGAGCTCCCCGCAAAATTATTTCTCATTCAGGGACAGTCCCTCCGCACGCAATAGCGCGCGGTGTCATGGAGATAAACGATAAACACGCCATACACAACAGCGGTGTCCTGTTATATCGGGACTCCCACATTACATTTGTTTTTCAGATACTGCTGAATGTGCCAGCAATCCTTGCCACAATGGAGGTACTTGTGTCGACAGTGTTGGTTTCTATGAGTGCCAGTGTGCTGATGGTTACATTGGAGATCGCTGTGAAATAGGTACGTCAAATGAGACTTATTAAAATAAACTTTGATAGTTGGTTTTGCTCTTCGCTGATGTAATGTTATAAGCAGCATATTCTTGGTGCTGTCTGAGACTTGTTGAAAACAAATTCATAAAGCTTGGCTGGGTGCGACATAAACTAACTACCCTTGCCCACTAGTGCAGATGTCTCACACAGTGCTCATATGACTTCATTTCATTTTTTGCATGTAACAAGTCCCTGTCCATATACATACCAAGTTTCAACCCTCTCGTTAATGTAACGTCATGTGACATTTGATGTAACATCATGATGTCATTACAATTTTCACCAATAACATGTCCCTGTCTGTGTACATACGAAGTTTCAATCCAATCTGACCTGTAATTCTCTAGATACTGGGCTTCAAATAATGTGTATTTAATGGGACATCATGCGACACATGACGATGTCATCATGATGTCATTTAAATTTTCACCTCTAGCACGTCGCTGGACACGTCCCTGTACATACCAAGTGTCAACTCAACCTGACCTGAAGTTTTCAGCAGGTTTGCAGAAAGAGCCAAATGAAAAATCCCATCATACAAGATAAATTTTAGTTAAATATGTTAATGTGCAATGACTGCTCATGTAAGATCATAAATTCAAACATGAAATGTTGAAACATAGTTGTAAGCATATTCACGTTCTCTGTAAATTTTTTATTTCTGTCATCATTGCCACACACCTTTTTAAACATGGGCATCAAATGAATCGCCAACGAATGCTGCAAACACATTTTGACTCTAATTTCATAAAATTAAGATGCACTGGTATCATTCTCCCAAAATTTCAAATTTGCAAGTCGCTGTTGTGCTGAACATTCATGTCTTATAAAGTTTATAGACCAAGTTTATGAAAACATCTGCAAATGGTTAAGACAATGATGAATACTTGAGAAAATAAAGAATTTGGAGCAGTTTTGTGTATCAGTAATTTATTGAGACTTGATGAAGGTATAAAAAACCCATCATTTTCTGACTGTGACGTCAGTGGCACAATAGCACCTACATGTAGCTTGCTTGAACTGTTGAATGTCGGATTAAAAAGGTCTGCATTTTCATTTCAAAATTCCATCAAAGTACGAGACCTTGCTTTTGGGGAATGTCCAGATTGAACAAATATGCAGTTTTTATAAGAAAAAGGGATTAGGAATGACCCAAGGGATTAAATCTAGCCTAATCTTAACTTGATGTTACTGTTCATTTTTATGTTTAGATACATCCCCATGTGGTAGCAGCCTGTGCATGAATAATGCAACATGTCGCAACTTGGATACATCATACAAATGCTTGTGCTCCATCGAATGGACCGGAAGTATTTGTGACGTTGGTAAGTTAATGCCACATTTCAGACTTGCGTTCCAGAGACACACTGAACCAAATAATCCCAACATAAAAACCAAATAAAAATTAAAGGCATTTGCATTTTTCCCCAAAAGTATCCCACCAAATTATTATCAAAGAGCTTACTTGGATTAAAGAACGTACTGACACCAAACACCATGTGAGATTATTCCGTGTGGCTTACTGTTAATAAAAAAAATCCAAGAAGTAATTCCAACAATCACTTAATTGACTGATTTTTGGAAATGAGTGAAGAATGATATTGACGAAATCATGTTTCGTGATCAAAAACTTGTTCATGGTTTTCATTGTTTCTTGAAAAGTGTAGTATCCACTGAGCTGAAACAGGTCAGGTTTTGAACATTCTTCTTTGGATTTGAGTGGTGTTTGTTCTGTATTTCCTCTCTTTTATATATTCAGTTGTACTAACTTGTTCACTTATTTGTCCCACTTTGTATGCGATATATGGAGCAATAAATCAAATCAAATATTTTAGGTTTTAAAAGTTGAACAAAAAATTGACTAGCGACCTCTGGATTGACGTTCCGGTACTCTACTAACTGAGCTTCCCAGCCCTATGTTGGCGGTTCCCCATTTTGTCAGTCTTTGTTAAAGGGGCGCTAGTCAGAAGCCATAAACTTGTATATGCTCTCTGAGTGATCTCCGTTGGCTGTTTCCCAGGTTTGCAGCATTCCTTGTGCTGCTAGCTTCGTGACTTTGGCATATTCCCTGGCTACATGCCAGATACGGGTTTATAGCTTCTGACTAGCGCCCCTTGAACAAAGACATTGACAAATTGGGAACTGTCAACATAGGGCTGGATAGCTCAGTTGGTGGAGAACTGGAACGGCAGTCCGGAGGCCGCAGGTTCAAATCCCGCTCCAGTCTACTTCTTTGTTCAACTTTTAGAAATTGTTATAATGCACCTAGTGTCCCTAGTGTTTGTTTTTTTTCTAATTATTTTAGGGTAGAGGCACTGAACCGTATTTCTTTCACTGCCATTTTTTCAACATTTTAATCTTCAAAGAAGAACCCACGGTCACTATTTTTCCTTTGTGACTGTACTGATTTTCTTTCCAGCTGTGGATGCATGTGTCAACTCTCCCTGTTTGAATGGAGGAAACTGCACCAATTACTACACTCATTTCAACTGCACATGTCCCTTAGGATGGAGTGGCCTGCAATGTGAAATAGGTCAGTTTAAAGACGCATACCCATGCTCTTCAGTAGCAACTGCTTGATTCACCAATACTGATAACTTCATTGCAGGAAGATTGCGGGGAAGTTGTTCAGAATCCTGCAACGTATACCAGATACAATGTCCACAACTTGTCCGGAACTCGTCCCAGATATGAATTGAGACAGGCCCTTAATACATTATATTCAAAACATAGTGACTGAGTACATTGTTGAAAAGTTTGATATTTCTTTGTTTTGTTATAGAAACCATTGAGTGTTCAAGCCAGCCGTGTTTAAACGGAGGCACATGCTTTGAAGGCAACAATGCATTCAGATGTATCTGCTTGCCCGGTTACTCAGGAACAACATGTGAAGCAGGTAAGCGTACCAACTATGGAATATCATAAGCCAGTTCAAAGCTTGTCACTAATGAATATGTATCAGAAACACAAAATTACCTTCTCTAGCCTGGTTTTGGGTGGTCCTTTGAATGGCATATAGGATCATTTGCATTTATCTCAAAAACAACCTACCAAACTATTGTCAAAAAGCTTACTTGGATTAAAGATCGTACTGGTACTAAACACCCCGTGAAATTATTCCGTCTGGTTTGCTGTTATTTAGAAGAATAAAAAAATGTAGGTGATTTCCATCGATCAGTCAATTGACTGATTTTTGGAAATATAAAGAATGCTGTAGACAAAATCGTGTTTCTTGATCAAAAGGATGTGCATAGTCGTGGGGCTATCTCGGATGAAAGCTAATAGTAACTATAATAAATCCTGTATATCTTTTTTTTGAAATATTCTTTTGACAGATATTGAAGAGTGCTCCAGCAGTCCTTGCCAGAATAATGGAACCTGCGTTGAGGGAGTGAATGGATACATCTGCCAGTGTATGGCATCACATACTGGCACACACTGTGAGATAGGTAAGGCATGATGCTGACAATATAGCCATTCACCAATATTCTAAGTAAGTTAAAATATTGATATACCTGGTGTCACACACCTCACTATTGATTTATAACTGTTGTCTGCAAATTCGCCGCCCTGTCAGCACAATTGTGTGTCTGTCGGAATATATGATGCAATGAAAAGTGCCGTGCAATAGTATCCAAGATCAGCTGCAGCACCCCCACTAGCCAGATGGTTGCCAGCTCTCACCCTCCCCCTTTTGATTTCGCAGCGGAAGGGCCCACCCCCCCCCCAAAAAAAAGGCTGGCTACCTTCCAACACAAATGGTCTGTTGGCAAATTTGTTGTCACACACCCCTTGGAAGTGGAACCATGACTGCAGTGTAACCGTGTGTTCCCCATAGCAAAGGCATGCACTCAGTTTCTTCTTCGTTTGTGGGCCTTTTCCGTGCTATCCGGTTCATAAAGTGTAACGTCATTTCAACTTAAACCACGCTCTTTACACACGGAGTAGCATTGGAACCATTGGAACCGGAAGAAGTGCAATGTGGCGTGTTAAGCCAGTGGGTGCTAGTAATCAGTAGTGCGCGTGCGTGTATGGCACTTACGAATCAAAGACAGCACATCTTAGAATAATTCAAGAAATGAGGATGAAAATCCTGTATTTTGTGTTGACATCTATGGACATAACCAACCAGTATAAACGCTGTGAGCTAAAAAAAATTGAAAAGTGGAGCGCCCAGAAGCATGCTAGTACTGTAGCCAGATTAGTCTATCCAGATTTTTTTTTAAGGTATTGTACATATTGACTTAAAATTCTTGAGACTTAAGAGACAGTTGCCCTTTGGCATGCTCTATTGTTCACAGAAACCAGACAATATCAGTACTTGAGGTTGTGATCATCTATGGATACAAACGAGAGAGAGCTGTCAAATTCTCTGCAGTTGTATACCTGGTGCTCACATGAAAACAATATGGGCTCAGATAAAAATTACTTGTACGAAGTAGAGAACAACATATTCTTTGTTGTCCTCGAATGTACATCGTTTATTGAAAATGGTCTTCCAAAATAAGTCAGTGTGCTTAATCTATTGGAGAGTGTTATAATGTAGACACAATGCCTTGTCCTCAGATGTAATGGTAAAGTATGAATGTTTTGCACCTGGCTTGTGTCCTAAAGTAAACAAAAATAGTGTGTTACGAGCCAATGTGGCCCATCAGGCCGGCGTTTATCTCCGGTTTCAGTAGCATGAAACAACTGAGAATATTTCTACCCCCCTTGGATGGGATGCTAGTCCATCGCAGGTTACTCCTCAGCTAATGCTGGTCCCCTTTTGTACTCCTGGGTGGAGAGAGGCAAGTTGGGGTGAAGTGGCTTGCCCAAGGACACAACATGACCAGCAGCTGGATTTGAACCCCTGACTGTCTGATCATGAGTCATGAACCCTAACCACTAGGCCACACTCCCCACTTGTATTCTAAACACGAAGCTTTTACGAGAACTCATGGGGTGCCATCTACCATTCCTTGACAGACTTCATCGACCCTTGGCATTGCTAGGGATCACAGTGCTAAAATCGTTTGTCATAATTTCCTCCCATCAGTGCAACAAGGTCGTAACTCGATTCTGCAACAAAGTTGTATTTTGCATGAATACGCTCTGTGTAACAAGGTCGTATCTCGCGTATCGCGACGTCCATTGACTTTGTGTGAACATCTGGGTTATTTTAAGCGAGATACTACCTTTTGACATTAAAAATTCACATTTCACGTACATGATGTCACACGCCATTTCAGGAGATACAACTTTGTTGCACGGACACAATGATTTGATGATCTTTTTTTCCAGATATTGATGAGTGTGCTAGCGATCCCTGCCTGAACAACGCCACATGTATGGATCAACCAGGGGCCTACCAATGCCTGTGCACGGCTGGATATGATGGCCAAAACTGTGAAAATGGTAATCTCATACATGAATAATTCTCTGAGCATTATGTCAAAGACTCGCTCTTCAGGGTGCTTGTTGAAAACAGGGTATTTAACTGTTGTTGAAATATAGTTCTTTCCCTTTACAATGACAGTTTCAGTTTTGAAAATGGACTTCCCTTGGCAAAATTATGCCATTGAAAATTGGTAAATTTCAGCCACTTTCATGTCAAGATGCTTGTAGTCAAGAGACATGTTTTTCTCGATGTGTTCTGTCTGGTTTTGACAAAACACATCACATGTGGCCTGCACAGCAGGCTCCATTGATCATCACTTTACAAGTAGCAGGTTTGGTATGCTACTTGTCTGCCATCAATTCATTATTAATAAACCTCCTACTATTTAAGAGGTCACAAATGGTCAAAATGTTTGTATCTTACCTCCTGGCATACTGTGTACAAACCAATGGGGGTCTTGACCAATATTGACCCAAGTAATAACCAGGCTGACAATGCATGTTTCCATAGGAGGGTTAATCTAGAAAAAATATATATAAAGTTTCCTTATTTTACAGATATCAATGAGTGTGATAGTAACCCCTGTCTGAACGGCGCTACCTGCGTACAAGATTTAGATCTCTATACATGCCAGTGCCCCCTTGGCTTCAACGGTACCAACTGTGAAATAGGTAGGTAGGAATAGTAGGTAAACAGCGTGATGTTTTATCATTACAGTTAGCACTCACAAAACATGAATGTATATTGGACTGGCAGTAGGGGTGTATTTTTTTGGCTAATTTTAGAACACGGTACCATTGCAGTAACAGTCGGATACCAGTGGAACTGCGGTTAGAATAAAAAAACCCCCAAATCCTGAAGTAAGGTATTTTTACTTTATGGGAAACTTAAAGGGGCCCGTTTTTGGTCAATTTTCCAGGGACAGACCGACTGACCAACCAACCACGAAGTGACGTGTAAAAGCTCCTCCCAGAGCTTAAAAATTGACAACTTATCAAATAGTTTTGTTTTCCTTTCAGACAAATTTTGCTTGTTGTTCCAAAGAAGGTGTGGGCAATAACCAAATAATGGGATCGGATACTCGCCATTTTCAATCGTGTAAGAGGCATCCAGGTGTCCATATCAGTCCTGTAGTTGGCAGTTTCTACTTGATAACATTTGTAGGGGTTTTTAATCATAATGTACCACCATATTCTGTGCCATTTTTTTTTTAAGTCACTTTTGAATTAAACTCAAACATTCCTTTGAAACTGTTTTGCCTATTTTGGGGTCAAAACAGCGGATCTACAGAAGTGAAAACTCAGAATTTACAGTCATCTGAAAAATTTCATCTGGACATGATATTTATATTTGATGTCTTGCAGATTTAAATCCATGTTTGAGTGACCCGTGTCTGAATGGCGCAACTTGTTACAACAACTTGACCTCATACTCCTGCCAATGCCCCGCAGAATGGTCAGGAATGAACTGTGAAACAGGTGAGCCTGTTTTATTTGCATATTTCCTTTTCCCTAACTTTTTACTAAGGGAATAAATGTGTACTCAGTCGGTTTAAACAAGTACGTTTAACATCGGCTAGGGGCCCGGACGCGGATAATGGCCCGAGCCAAAATAAAAACCTTTCGGTCAAAAAAGCAAAATAAGTCAAAAATGGACAAAATCCCAACGATTTTGTTCAACAATTTTACTTCTTGTTTTGTGAAACTCCCCTCTGGCCACGTCTTTGGTATGTGCCTCGCGGGGGTATTGCTAAAAATGTCCTAATAAGGAGATTGGCATGCACGCGGCCCGTACTGCGTGAGTGGCACAGAACACAGCGGTGTTTTACTTGTGGTTTTATTAAACCACCCATGTGATGGGCTGTTGATCAATAGGAAAGGGTAGACCGTCTCAGGTATTTATGAATGGAGGTTTAGATAGCTCAGCAAGTCATTTCTGTGAGGCTTCATGAAGATGGGAATCGACCTTTAATATAGTAAACTTTTAGCAAAACTTTCAAACACCGTTTATATGTTCAAACATTTTAGCAAACTAATCAGTCGCACTTAGAAGAGGCAAGGAGCCAAGATCTTTTCCAAGCACCATATTAAAAACATCAAACACAACCAACTGTATACAATGTATAGAGCTACAAAAACAGATATACCTGTATCTGCCATTCTTTGAAAAAGGGTTCTATAGTTTTATTGATTCATCAGTAAATGAACACAATGTAATACAATGTAGTACAAGTGCTAATGGGTTAAATAGTTTAACAGGCACCACATCGCGCAGTATGCATCACGCGTGCCAATCTCCATAAGAGGAGATGTTTACGACTACTCGGGAGAGGCACATACCATAACATAGCTACAGTTTTTTTTTAAATGTGAAGTAAAATTGTTAACAAAATCATTGGAAATTTATGGGTTTTTTAACATGAAGTAAAATTGTTAATAAAATCATTGGAAATTTATGTTTTTTATACTTGTTTAAACTGTTTTTCAATACACTAGTTTTGTTAAAATTGAATTGTTAAAATAGGACCTGATTTAAATAAAAAAGGTTTCATTTTCAGAGATGGATGAGTGCTTGAGCAACCCATGTTTGAATGGAGCAACATGCATGGATCTGTTCGGCAGTTATGAGTGCATGTGCAACATAAACTACACCGGCCCAATATGTGAAACAGGTAGGGGTATATTTCACAGAATTCCTGTCAGTATAAAAGTAAAGTTGAGCAAAGAAATTAACTGGAATGGAATTTGAACCTCAGACCTCTAGAACACTGTTCCGGTGCTCTACCAACTGAGCTATACAGACCTATGTTGGCAGTCCCCCAATTTGTTCGTGTCTTTGCTCAGTTCTGCTTGTTCCATCTCTGTTAACAGTTTTTTATATGTTTATTGAAAAGACTTAAGACTTTATAAATAGTTTTAGACTTCATTTTTTAGACTTAAAGGTAGAGTAGATCATTTGCAGCTATTCAAAAAGTAACTTACCAAATGTGATGCGATCAAGCTAAATGAGTCGTTTGTTGACCCCGGTCAAAAAAGTTTTTATTACAGATTTGAAAAGAGTACAATCTCAGCATTACTGCTGTGAAAACCGCATTGTGATACCATCTTCAGTTCAAAAATTATGGAAGTCGAAACACCAAGAGATGTGCTGAAGTGATGTGATGAAGTGGCCCTATTTTGGCCTGTACAAAAACAATAATAGAAGGCCATTTCCAAAGATGTGTCAACTGACACATTTTTTGAAATTTCTTTGAATTTCTGTGAATGGGATCGCACAAGTATTGATACGACGCACACCCGTGCGCGGTTGCTATTATTTGTCGGTTCAGTGCGTGACATTGCGTAGCTGCAATGGGCTGAATGAGAACGTGTGTCAGATGCTGATTTTGGGCGCAATTCAAAACATGACTCAGCAAATTTTGAAGTGAAATCGCGATCCTAGAATATTGTTTTCTTGAAATATACAACATTCACTGATCTAAAGTTTCATCATGTTAGTTGTTAGGCACCCGTCTTTAGATTTTGAGCACTTTTGTCATTTTAAATGAAAAAAAATACACAAATGGCAAATAATCTACCCTACCTTTAATAGCACAAACAAACCACCACCTGTTGGAGAAAATTGGTGACATGCTATTTTTTTTAAACAAGATGCTTCTTGTAAGAGCTTAAAATAGAGATACAACTAAGCTATTCAGTTCAATGTTATTTAGAATTAAACGCTTGCAAGAGTGTACCTTGCCAGAATGGTGCAACATGCAACAACATGAGAACCTCCTATACCTGTGACTGCATTCGAGGCTACAATGGAACAAATTGTGAAATGGGTAAGTCTGATAGATTGTTTACATATCAAACTAACTACATCAGTGATTCTTTTCATACCATAACTAAATATTTGTTCAGGCTTCAGTATAGAGCAAATTTCACAACTTCAGTTGTCATTGAATGATTTCATTGTTTAGATCTTGTGAGACACAGGTTACTGTAATTTCTTCCTACATTAAACATGATGAAAATGATGCATGTAGATTTTATGATAGATGACTGTTATTGAAGCAAGATAAAGTTGTACTGAAGTGAGGTTTTGCATCCACGTGACATTATCACGTGAACGGTGCAAGATCTGTCATTTTGGACATCTAGCATGCTCGATCAATCAGACAGTACGTGTACATTTCATTATGCGTAACGTGCATGGGTTATTTGTCACGGTCAATATCAGATTTTTCTCACAAAAGTCACTGGTTACCCCCCCAAAAATTAATGATGAAATAAGCGTTAATTTGATGTGTGTCTCAAACACTTTAGATAGTTGTGAGTATTTTTCCTGAATTTCGGAAGTGGACATATTTGTCACTGGGGTCTATGGCAGTATATTGGTCTCTCTCAAATGACGTCATTTCCTACAGACCATCCATGTGCATCGGCAATTTGAGCGTGAACTTGCGTAACGCGCATCGGCTGCGTCGTTCAAACACATTTCGAGCAACCAGCGCACGTGTTTGGAACATTTTCAACACTGCACAATACGTGCTTGATTGCCATAGATGTCCAATATGGCGGGCATGTGGGTGACCCACTGACCAGTGGTGTCGTGTAAAATGTTCTCAATTCAATCTGACTGAGTCCCGGTTGATGATTTGAATTCCATATATGTCTCCAATTGCAGGTTCTTAAAGCTGATATTGACCCTGTAAATACAGGCCAATATTTAGGGTTGGATTTATTTGGAGGGTGGGGTGGGGGGGGGGGGCTTTGTTCGATGTTCAACTATATACAGTACAAATGCTACCCTATACTACATATGTATGTTGATGAATAGCTCCCCAGAGTGTCGAATGATGCTCAGCCCCCCCCTTACCTCAAACCCCCCCCCCTTACCTCACCCCCCCCCCTCCTCTTCAAATTTGTACTTGCTGGCTCATGGCTAGTAGATCAGTCCGTTGATCTGCTTCAGACAGGAACGAATCCTCCCTGATGAAAAGCTATGTACGGGCTGCAAAATGAGCACAACAGGCATTCATCTCATTAGGACATGTTGCACTGTTTATGCCAGCTGATTATTTCTGGTGTTTGCTATTTTTGTTTTGTTTTTCTAGAGATCAACCCATGTTTAAGTGATCCCTGTCAGAACGGAGCAACTTGCAACAATCTAGTGGAATCATACAGCTGTCAATGCTCTCCAGGTTGGACTGGTGCCAACTGCGATATGGGTGAGGCATTTCAGCAGGCTACTGTTTTGCACCTACTTCACATTTAACATGATTGTGGTTTTCACCTATTAAAATGTTGCAAAACTAAGTGCCCGCACTCAGCCCAAATAAGCAAATATATATAAAGTGAACAGGAACCGGTGAGACTTGCATGCTGTATGCCCAGGGCTAAGAAATAATGAGTGGTTTTTTTTCTCTTTCGTAGTGATTGACTTATGTGCCTCCAACCCATGCCAGAACAACGCTACCTGCACTAATAACATCAACTATTACACATGCAACTGCACCGTAGGATGGGCAGGCCCTGTCTGTGATGTTGGTAGGTAGACAGAAGTGAGCTTAAAGTAATTTTTTTTAGATGTTTTCAAATAAACCTCAAAGGGAAACTTACTTGGTATGTTATAATAATTTTTTCAAAGTCGAACAAAGAAATTGACTGGAGTGAGATTTTAACCTGCGACCTCTGGATTGCCGTTCCGGTGCTCTACCAACTGAGCTATCCAGCCCTATGTTGGGGGTTCGACATTTTATCAATGTCTTTGTTCAAGGGGCGCTAGTCAGAAGCCATAACCTAAATGCCATGTAGCCTTTTCCTAAGATGGCAGATTTTCCAAGATGGACGATGCATTTTTCAAAATTCTCGACTATTTTGCTGATACAAAATTGTGTCCCAAGGAGCCATAACCCTTTCTACGTAGCTACAATTTTGTTGGTTTCCAAACAAAAAGGGAATATATTTACAATATATGTGCAAAATCTATTGCAAATATGAATTTCCAAAAAAAAAGAAGAGTTGGTCAGGAAAAGAGGTAACGGGCAGGGACGAGAAATGGGTTAATTCTTTTTTACCTGGCCTTTATAGTGTGATGTGCAATTACATTCTTTTATATGCATGTTTATTACCATCTTTCGTGTGAAATTCTATTCTCAGTACGTGCCGTGAAGTTTGTAGTATCCTTGCATGAAAGCTGTGTATATTTATTAGGCACCTACTAGTGCTCTGAAACCACACACCCAAACCCAGACATTACCTCATCCACATTGGAATGCATGAACCCCAACTTACTAAATGAATAATGAATAAGGCCCCAACTTGGATCAGATTGCACCCTAGAACAATGTAGCCCTTTGATAAGTATAAACCTCATGCGATGTACTGAGATGTATTGAGACACAATAAACCAAGCAAGCATCGAAGCAACAACTATTATCCATGCGCTAGTGACAAGCTCACAACATTACATTGGCGACGAGGACGGGATAACAAAATTGGGAGGATATATCAACATATCAAGATGGCACAATTCACCATACCTGCACCACCACCTCTAGACATGGCAGATCGCAACCTTGCCCTGAGTTGGAAGAAATTTGCACAAAATTTCAACAATTTTGACATTGCTACCAAGATCCAAAACAAGGATGACACCTTACGTGTTGCCACCCTTCTATCCGTCATCGGCCAAAGCGCAGTTGACACCTATAACACCTTCACCTGGGATGATGAAAGCGACAGCCGAAACTTCGACAAAGTCTTTGACAAGTTCGCCACGCTCTGCAAAGGCAAGAAAAACACCACCTATGAACGCTACCTCTTCAACAGTCGTAGCCAACAAGATGGTGAAACCATCGACATATTCGTAACAGCCCTGAAAAACTTGGCTGAAACATGCGACTTTGGGGAACTAAAGGATTCTCTCATTCGTGACCGAATCATTCTCGGCATCGCAGATCACGCCATCCAAAAACGCCTACTGCGAGATCCTGATCTGACCCTTGATAAAGCAGTGCTGATCATCCGAGCATCGGCGGCAGCTTCAACGCAACAGAGTCACATGACAGGTAAAGATCAGCAGCCTATTTACGCTGTCAACCAGTCATGCCAACGCTCAACAAAGCGACCTGCGTCAGAAATAGCACCCAAGTCAACTACCTGCTATAACTGTGGGGGGACATACCCGCATGCCGGCGAGTGCCCTGCATATGGCGAGACATGCTCATTCTGCCACAAACGAAACCACTTTGCAAAATTCTGCAGGAGTAGGAAGGCGGAACAGCAGACGGGCGCCACACATGTCCATCAGGCCAACGCCATCGTCAGCAACGACCCACCAAGCTCTCCAGATAGCGACTCCGAAGATGACTACGTGTTCTAATCGAACAATATCAGCCAACCACCAAGCGTGTTATCCACAACACCAAAGAACAAACAAGCGTGTTAAGCAACGACACTGAAGAACAAACGCGCGTGTTAACAATGACACCAAAGAACAACGAGCGTGTAAATCACAACACCAACAAACTAACAAACGTCAACTCTGACCATGATGCAGCCATGGACTAACGAACGTCAACTCTGGCCTGGCCAAGTGGGCCATCAATAACATCTGCATCCACAATGGAAAGAGAGTGCAGTACAACTAGAACACCAACAACTCTTTGGAAACGACTGGACTTTAACTTCGAACACTGATCATCGGAAACAACTGAACTGAACTGTATATATCGCAATGAATCTCTTTATGTTTACCCTGTGCATGATCATACTTTCTTTTAAACTATAAACCAGTCTAACTTGATCTACTGCTTCATCATGTTCATGAACTTTGAACATCGAACAATGAACATTTCTCTTCGTTGTTTCCTTGTTTGTTATTAGTTGTGGACCCATGTGCATGCAATCCCTGTCAGAGTGGTGGTTCCTGTAACTCATATCCGGACTACTTCACCTGTGACTGCTTGCCGGGTACATCTGGTGATCGATGCCAGTTTGGTAAGACAGAATAATGTAGAAAATTAAGGCAATGAGTCAAAGGTTATTGATGTAATATTACATTGAGGGCTCTCTCATGACCTGGTCTATATCCGGGTATCGGGAAGTCAGCATCGCCATTGTGGTAGGCAAAGATTATATAGCACAGCGCACAGTAGTAGGCGCACAGTAGGTAGTAGGCAAGCCTTAAAAGATGTGAAAGATCGCTAAAACTGTAAGAAAAAGGCGGAGCCAACTCCTAGTGCTGGGTCGGCACGATTACCACAACTGTACACGGCACAGGTATAGTGACCATATATAGTGACCATATGCATGTTTATTATAAAAAAAAGGTGCAAGGGTCAGTGAAAGAGCCATATTGGACAAAAATGTTTTGTAAGAAAGGTCCTTAATGTTCTTTGCTTCTGTCTGTAAATGAGCCTGTTTTCCTGTACGTTCTATAAAAATATAAAAAAAAGAAGAAGATTTTTTGGTTCCCAGATTAAAAAATATGACATTTTAGACAAACAGTTGGTTCATTGTGTATAAAATTGGTGTTTAAAAAACTCATAAAAGCTCAGCATGGCAAAAAATACACAAGTGATGTCTCGAAAAAGTACATTTGCCTACCTTTTTAGGGTAAAAAATTAGACTTGCATACCCTGTGCTCTTCAAAACCTTGTTTTTTTCTCCTAACAAATTTTACATTTGTATATTGTCACAAAAATTTTAAACTACTTTATTCCAATTTTGGGCGTCTGCAATCCTCTGAAAAACTGGCTTTCATTTTGCATACAACTGAATTATTGTCTGGCAGCAAATCATTCGAATTTTGTAAAAAATAATTCAGTAACTAAACATTGGTAGTTTTTTTTTATTCAAAAGTGAATTTACATTTATATTGCGAGGAAAGTAGCAATTCAAAAAACAAATCTAATTTTTTAAAGTGAAACTCAACAAAAGCACTGGGAACGCATCTTTAACCTTCAATATTTTCCCTCTTTATCTTGCTAGCCTCAGATCCATGCGTTTCTCTACCCTGCCTGAATGGTGCAACATGCTCCAGGGGGCAAGACTCTTACCAATGTGTCTGTACTCCAGGCTGGACCGGCAATGACTGTAGTGCCAGTAAGTTTCAGCTATTTAAACTTCAATTTCAACTTTTTATAATTTTGGGAATTTGCAAGGCTGTAAATGTACTTTCCCTGCACATCTCAGTGACTGATTTCCTTTGATTGGCATTATAATTATATTTTGTTTTGCTTTTCAGAGATTGGCAGACATAAAGAGTTTTTGCCAAACAAAATAAACATGTTCTTACAACTGGTTTATTTTCTTCAAAATTCCTCACTGATTATTGTAAGTTTGAATGTTGAAACGTGGAGTTGCCCTCTCATTCTGAGTCACACAAACTCTCCAAAGAGAGAATTTCGTTTCACATGGTGCAACCATCAACTTACTCTTACCCTTTTGCCAAAACTATTATCAGATATTGATGATTGTGCCGACCAGCCATGTTTGAACAATGGAACTTGCACTGATTTGCATAATGCCTATCAGTGCACCTGTGAGGATGGATGGAATGGCACCGACTGCCAAATACGTAAGTATAGTTTAAATTTACTTCAAAATTGGTAATGTTGGATATTTCCTCAGTATCAACATTAACGGTAGATACCAGGCACACACTAGCATGTGTATTGGCCCTAAGTTGTATAACATAAGTTAAAGGTAATATACAACATTTGCAAACATCAAAAAACAAAACTACCAAATTATTATGAAATACCTTACTTGACTGCAAGTGAATAATAGTCTCAAGCATCCTATGAAATCATGGCACCAGGTATGTTGTCATTTTCAAGAAAAGTGGAATTTTTGTATCAATTTCCAACGATGGTTGGCCCACCATCTTTGGAAAAAAAAGACTTTTTTTTCGAATGCTCCCTCCAATTTACCACATTTAGTTAGTGCACATTTTGTTTGCAATCAGTTACATACCGTGAACGGGTGCAAGCCAGCTAGTCTGGTTCAATGATCTGACAATTTTTCGACATCTATAAATTGCTCCGTTTTGTCGGAAGTAGGATCAGGGAACGAGATTACTAAAGCGACATCATTTTTTTTCCATCTTTGGAAATTGATGCAAAAATTCCACTTTTCTTGAAAATGACAGCCCACCAGGTGCCACAATTTCACAGGATGCATTTCTTTTCTTTTTTTCAACATTTATGAACACAAAACTTTAAACAGGTCAGTGTAAAAATATTTGCTATAAAATACTAACCCCCAAATCCATCCATTTCTGAAAATTACAGCAAAAGCAAATGTTGTACATTACCTTTAAGGACCAAAACCTAGCGCAAAAGTTGACACAACCTTAGCACAAATTCTATCATAAGTTATTGAAATTAACTTTTACATTTTATTCCCTTACAGCTGTCAATCAATGTGCTAGCTCACCGTGTCTTAACAGAGGTCTCTGTAATAACTTCAGGACATACTACACTTGCAGCTGTGCACAGGGATTCACGGATACCAACTGTCAAACAGGCAAGTTTGTTTTCGAATTATGTACGGAGTGTTTTTAATACACCTCAAACATGCCAGTGAGCCAGCAAAATCATTGAAGCTTTGTAAATTATAATTGTTGATGTACAAATCATCAGAATTTACTCCATTCGTATTTTATAAAGCCTCTTCATGCTATGATAAGAAAAAGATAATAAAAAATCATATTATTCCTGTACATATTCATATTGTCCTAGATAGCCTAGCACAACATAACCAATGATAATAACCCAAATTATTATTGTAGACTATTCCAGCCAACAAACTTGTAAGCCAATTTTGATGTGGAACCAATCTCGCGTACAGATGATACACATGCACTTAACCCTCCTGCCACCAATAGGATTATCAGAATGCACATGCGCCTGGACTTTCAGGCCGTGTGTGACAAGTGCGCAAGTATAGTACAGCCTCAAAAATGTTGTTGACTACAGTATTTTATAGAGTAAAGTCATAAATAAATTCAAGTGGAGTTTTCCAGCCTCATGGTCCAATGTATCAACTTCAACATTACTTGGACAGATGTCATTCCAAACCAGGAGTAAATGAGTACCTGTAAGACAGCAATTTTGTGTGTGAAAGAAGTAAACAGTTTGTGCCAAAATGGCAGCATTAAGTTACTTACCTCCCAGGAGTCTGAAATGAATCGTCGATTCGTGGCTCCCATGATTTTCTACAAATGATGTCCAAATAGCCTCGATCAAATACTGAGACACAAAAAACTCCAATACATTTGTATCTTTGTACTTTGGAATGCATTTTTCACTGTTTTTAGAACCATTTGTAGAATTTTTCCTATTACTTGTTCTGTGAATTCTTCAAATGTTAAGATCTTTAAAAAGTACTTAATATAACTTTTATATTTGATTCTCTGGTAATTTTTTCACATCTATTCTCACCTGTGCAGAGCTTGATGCCTGTGGCCCTACTAACCCCTGCCTGAATGGAGCAACCTGTGATAATCGCTACACATTCTTTGTCTGTCATTGTGTGGAGGGATGGACGGGAACAAGCTGCGAAATCGGTAGGTTGGGAACTTAGCTAAGCACAGAAATTATTTGCTAAGCAGTAACAGGTTACCGGCCAACATTTCATGCAGTGTGTATTGATTGTGACCGGTTGTCCACTTATTCTTGCTTAGCTTGTCTATTTGCTCAGCAGCATTTCTTTATAGCATTGCTGGTTATCTTTATATCTGTGTTTATCATATAAAGGACGAAACCAGATGTTTGGTGATGACAATTTGACTATTGTTTTACTAGAGACGTTGCGATTAGTACCCAGGCAGAAGTTATTTCATAAGTCAACCATTAGTCAACCAGTAGTCGGCTATTCAACTCGCTCCTTCATGTAATTTTCAGGTTCCCAATCCCTGTTACATTTTTGTCTACATTTCAATTTCAGTTCTCAGTATTGAATTTCACCCAATTATTATTGTGCATTCAACCATATAAGCCAATTTCATATTTCAAAATTGACTTCACATTTCCTCAACACAAATTCCATCCTATAAATACTTTTTCAATACTTTTTCCTTATTTTCTAAAAGTCCTAATTTTCAGGTTTCCAATCCTTGCATATTTATTGTTACATTTTTGTCTACTTCGTCTATAACATTGCACATTATAATATGTATTCCTCAATATTGAATTTTACCCAATGTTATTGTGCATTTAACATTTTTTTCTACATTTTAATTCCATTTCTCAATATTGAATTAAACCCAGGGTTATTATACATTTAACCCAATAAACCAATTGCACTTCTAAATTTTGAACTTTCATTGCCTTGATGCAAATTCTATCCTAATTCTATCCAATACTTAGTCTGTTTTTTTGTTATCAAAGTTATCAAAGACATTGACAGAATGAAACTGCCAACATAGGGCTCGACAGCTCAGTTGATAGAGCACCAGAACGGCAATCCAGAGGTTGTCGGTTCAAACCCCACTCCAAACACTTCTTTGATCAACTTCATAATACATTTCTGATTGTGTCATTTTGGATTGATTTTGTAGCTGTCGACGAATGCAACCCCAGCCCATGCAGCAATGGAGCAACATGTAGCATTCCATCTCTGGGTTCATTCGCCTGTGCTTGCACTAATGGATGGATGGGCGAAACCTGTAACATGGGTGAGAAGTCAGGAAACTTACAAAGCTTCATTGTCATACTTTATATCTTTCTGAGACCTCTTTTTATTAAAACGTTTTCAGAGACAATAGGGGTCAAAGATTTGGTCTATAGAGTTTTCAAATAGAGTAATCAAATGTTCTTTTCATTTCTTTTCTTCCGTCATTAGTCGTTGATCTGTGTACATCCTCACCGTGTTTGAACAATGCTACATGTTTGAATCAGCAGACAAGCTACGTGTGCCTGTGTGTGCCGGAGTGGACCGGGGAACGCTGTGAGGCTGGTCAGTTGTCACTCTGTGTTTGTCTGTCGTTTGTCTCTTATATCAGGGTGCAAAAAATAGGCATTGACGGTGTCTCTCTGAGGGTGTTTATGTTATTTTAATTTGTAACAATGAATGCACAATGTATTAACTCATGCCCGTCCAAGCAATACACAACCAGTGCCCTGGAACTCCACCTTAATGCTTAAGGTTTATAAAAATCTGGCTGGCCTTTCATGTTTCTTCAAAGCTCAGAAGTTTGCTAAGCACAGAGCATATTAGCTTAGCAAAAACAGACTACCAGTCAGAATGTTGTCGGACTACGAGAAGCTTCCTGAAATAGGCAGGCACGTAACCAGGGTATTGTTTGCTCATTGCTCCAGTCAGGAGCATTGCTTTTTTTTTTAATGGGGGTGTATGGCAACAAATTTGCCAACAAAGCATACGTGCAAAAAGGTAGGATTTGTGTCCTCAGGTCACCCGGCCTCTGTAAAATCAGATACACGATTTTGCCGACAGCAGGATGATTTTGCCAACAACAAAAATTGTTGGAGGGGGGAGGGAGGGGGCATCATACATATTTGGTGAACCAACCCCTCTTCTGCCCAAAAAACTTCTTGCTATTCTACTGGTCCATTGATCCATGTAATGAAACGCATTAGCTGGTCACTTCAGCAGTGAGCCCATAACGTTTTTGAGTTACTATAAAGTCAATGAAATAATTGCTGTTTTCTTTGTACATGTATTTATTTGCAGAGCTGAATGCCTGTGATCCTAATCCATGTAGGAATAGGGCCGCCTGTACCAACTACCATACATCGTACACCTGTGAGTGTACGGCTGGCTGGACAGGAACTGACTGTGATATCGGTAAGCCACTGCATGCATGATGTGGCGCCCTCTAGTGATGAAAATCAAGCCGATCTCTGTGTTGTTGGGGCATCCAAATACCCGGTCATTGTAGTCAAGACTGTTTAAGACCATTCAAAACTTCACTAGTTTTTATCAGTTACATGTATCCAAATGTTCAGATGCAAATTATTGAAGTTGCGTTCCACATGCTCTGCAATATATTAAATTTTTTCTATTAATATATTTGTCAACTTAATTTATTTTATAAAAACGACATCTGCAGTTGGACATCTGCAACCCCCTGAAAAAAGGATTTTGTTTTGGGGCACAAACAGATCCACTTTGCAAGCAGACTGGCTCCCAGTACGTTATCGATACTGAGTGCAGGGCAGGAACCAGCCTACCTGCGAGAAAGGAATTATTGTCTGGCAGCCAATAATTTTGGAGGTTGCTGTGGTCCAATGATTACGGTGTTCGACTCGTGTGCCTTGGTACATGGTTCGAATCCTGACAGGGTACATGGTGCTCGTGCGCTTGGGCAAGGCACTTTACAATTCCAACAAATGATGATACCAACCGTTTACTTCTTCTTCCATAATTAGCCATTGATCTGTGTAACCCCAACCCCTGCCAGCATGAGGCTACCTGCTTCAATCTTCAGACTGATTACTTCTGCCTCTGCACTGAGCTATGGATGGGCAAAAACTGTCAAACAGGTCAGCTTTTTGTCACTTGTTTAATTTATTGTAATGTACGAGAAAAGTTGAGGTTTTGTATTAATAGTTCACTGATGTTTTTGAATTTGACTTTTGAATTTAAATTTCTTGACTCGTTATGCTTCCTTAGTTGAAAATAAATATATATCCCTACATATCTTATTTAAAAAAAAAAAATCAGAAATTAGTGCAAGGTCTTAATATCACATTATAACTTCAAACCTAATTTAGGTTTTCCAAACAAAACGACAGTTCCTATTACAAAATGGAATGGGTGAGTGGAGAAACCCTGTGTAAATATCGAAATAACTGACTCTGGTATTAAGGAAACTGATAACATGGTAGCTGCACCTTTACTATGGACCTGCTCAGAGGACCAAACCAGAATAACCAGGAAAATATTCCAAATGAATAATAATAGCTAGTTTTTTTTCAAGCCCAAGACCCACTTATAAAATAAGAAAAATATTACAGGACCAAGTCTTTCAGTTTAAAAAGTGGTTAAAAAACCCGGCCAGTGACATTACACTAATTATTTCTAGCCGCATACTGATGACCTATTAAAGGGCATTTTCAGCGTTATGGACAAAAATGTAATGTCTGTGACGGAGCTTTAAGAGCTAAGCTTTTTAAACCTGGAAATGTATTTTTCAAATCTTATACCTCTATCGGTGGTAATGGTCAAGGAGATTACAGACTTAGGAGTTCTAGATCATTTCTCTGAATCATTAATTAGATATCAAGGTTAATTAGCTCTGTCATAGACATTACATTTTCTTCCATAATGGGGGAATTTCCCCTTAAGTTCTTGTTGGCTCTGCACTACTGTATGGCTTGGCTAGTGACTTCCATGATCACAGTTGATGGAATAAGACGTAAATAATTTATTCCATTAGTTTGAATTGATTGGTTTCAGCGGTGGATGTCTGTGTTAGTTCTCCTTGTCTGAATGATGGCACCTGTCAGAGTACATCAGGTGTCTATCGGTGTCTGTGCCCAACAGGCTGGACTGGTGTCAACTGTGAAACAGGTAAGTTGCTTTCTTTCACATTTAGCACACACATTTGTATTACATTGTATTTATTACCTTATGCATCCATAAAACAGCTGCTTGGGTGTTAGGGAGGTATAGGGAGTAACAGGCAGGGCGTTTTGGTTTGCCCCAATTTTTTGTAGTCTATGGAACATCACCTTGCACAACAAGGGTCTATGATATGCAAGCAGATTCGGCGAATAATTATGCACAAGACAGCGTCTTGATCTCCAGATTCTGACCATTCAGCCTTCTATCGGGTTTTGCGTAACCTGTTGTTGTATTACAAAAACATGGAAGCCAGATTGACCAATCAACAGTTTAGTCCACATTTCGTCACAATCTCTAAAGTCAACTCCGATTGGCTGGCACACAGGGTCGCGTAAATATTGCATTGCTCACATATATATCAGACGTTGGTTATGGAGAGGCTCCATATGGACACCGGGTGATACTGAGACTAATTTTTTTGTTCCCCCCACTCCCTATTTGAGTTGGAAACAAAACATGACTTACATTGACAAAAGTGCCATTCTCCTTGAATTGGTTAAGAATCAACTTGATAAGCAATTTGTTCAAACAAGAGGAAGAAGCCATTATTTTTTTCAGGCTCTGTGATAAAGCGAAATGTGCAGAGTACCAGTTAACAGCAATGTAAAATAACATGACGTTTTGGCTGGTAACCCATTTTGCTAAGCAAATACCTTCTATGCTAAACTTGGTCCTTTTTCATTTCTGTTCTTCATTCCTAGCTCTGGCGCCTTGTGCATCCAATCCATGCCGGCGTGGCGGTACATGCAACGACTACGGCACCTACTTTGAGTGTGACTGCGTGCCGGGCTGGAAAGGAATCCTTTGCCAAACAGGTAAGGGCCCATCTCAATTCATATCCGGGACGAGGTCCGGACAAGTTCTGGACATTGTATCGGGTATAAGTTGCAGGATTCTGAACAACTTCCCCTGCAATCTTCCCGCAATGAAGTATTGGTGAGTCCAGCAGTTGCTGATGAAAATTTCCCCGGAACATGTCCAGGACAAATGCAAAGCTTCTTCCAGACAAAGTGAATGATTCTACCTGCAACTTGTTCGAAACCCCTCCCGGATATGAATTGAGACAGGCCCTAAGATGAAGGATTTTTTCATTGTTGTATATTTTTTTCATCATTTTCTCTCTATTGTGATGCAAATTGTGAGAATGGGTTTTGCCTTGCACCAATTGAAAAGTACTTCAGTTTCATGAAATCAGGTGCTGTGTGCTTTACGTTTGAGAATGTTTAAAGGAATTCACAGATTTTGGGGATTCGAACCTACAACCTTTCTATTAGAGCACCAGGCATAACGCTGGATAAAATCGGATATAGCAGTGGTTATTACAATTAAACAAGCGCCATAAGATCTTGTGAGGTACACTTATTTTTAAATTCATGCAAAGTAGGGATGGGCCATTAGTTCAAATTGGATTTTCGAAGGCTATTATATCTTCTTCTTTTTTAAATTAAGGAGGATAATTAAATTCTGTATTCCAAAACTGGTTTCCAAAAGTGAAATTACACTGTTTGTATTGTTTATACATTTAATATGATAATCGTAAAACATCTTATTAAGCCCGGTTCATACTTCATGCGAATGCAAATGCGAAGCGAATTTGACGTCATGAAACATTCGTGACGAAATTCGCCCGAGTTGAAATGTGTTAAACTTTTGCGAATTCGCAGCGTGAATACTTGCCATGACGTCACAAATTCGTGTTTGTTTTTGCTTTCGCGCCGAGTATGAACCGGGCTTTTTATAATACTTTAATGTGTAATATGCGCAAAAATATCCTTTTTTTTTTTCGTTTGCAGCCCAGCCCCCATTTTATTCCAATATAGTGATTCTGTACGATGAGTTTCTTTTTTTTGGTCAAATTTTTCACTTGTACTTTTGTTTTTTTTCTCAGCTGAGCTACCATGTCTGAGTGGTCCATGCGACAATGGAGCGGAGTGCTTCAATAATGGAGATTCATTCCTCTGCATATGCCCTCTAGGATTCAGCGGGCCTACTTGCTCTATCGGTACATCTCATTCTCATATTTCTAGTTGTTGTAATTCATTGTTTTTTCCAAAAGTCATACATACTTCAGAAATTTCTGTATAATCATTTAATGTACCCCAAGTAAAAGACGAATGCAGGGTCAGGGAACCATGTCTGTGGTGTAACTGCGCATGCTGTGAAGGAAAGGCATATGGATTGCGCACTCAGTTTTCTTCCAATACTGGACCTTTTTTTAAAGCTGCTATTTGAGCATTTGCAGACGCACAGCGTCTTCCTGGGTGATCAATCTCACTAACAATTGCAAATTTGGTTTCAAGAAATGAAACTTTGTGAGGGCTTCTCCGTTTTTACATGGTTAGAAAATTGGGACAGCCACATTTTATATCATTGGTCAAATGTGAGATTTGAAATTTAAATTTCGTCACATTAACAGTTCTGAACCAACAAACTTTTACAATCTAAAGAATTTTGTGCATAAACAGTAGATGGCATTTTGTGACCACCCAAGTGGTCATGACGTCTATGCTTAGTGAGAGCTGTATGTGCGGGACACACTGTGTATGTCCACTGGTTCTCATGTGTAGGACGCGAAGTACACATGACTATCTTTTCTATTGTTTTTCATTCAAATGTGCACAAACCTATGGCATCTCTTCATTAGCATAAAGGCAAGAGTTCCTCCTTACACCCATTTTCACTGTTGAGATTGTACTTGTGCACAGTGTACATGTACAGGGTTCCTTATGGGGTAGAAAACATAATAGAGCAATAGACCCCATAAGGAAGTCTTTAGAAACCAATCTACCCCATAAGAAAATGCTATGGAGTTTGAGATTTCAATAGCAACAAAGGAAAACAAAAGCAGGGAAACAAAGGTCTTCCCCACAAGTATGTATGTGTCAGGCTGGGTGTCCAAACCATGGTACATAAGCTTTAGAGGCGCATGGGATCATATGCATTTATCCCAAAAATTGACCTACCGAATTATTGAAAAGCTTACTTGGATTAAAGATTGTAGTGGTACTAAACACCCCGTGAAAGAATTCCGTCTGGCTTGCTGTCATTTAGAAGAAATCAAGAAATGTATGTGAATTCCAACAATCAGTCAATTGACTGATTTTTGGAAATAAAGAGTGCTATGGACACAATCTTGTTTCGTGATCAGAAGGTTGTGCGTGGTTTTTTACTATTTTCATAAAGTGTAATATCTACTGAGCTGAAACTTCAACAGCTTAGGTTTTGAACATTCTTCTTTGGATTTTGAGAGGTAGTATTAGTGGAAAGGAACAAAATGCATGAAAAGCAAATGATCCTATATTGCTTTTAAATGTATTAATTTGACTATAAACCATTTTCCATATTTGACTCTGCTCCTAGATGATGATGAGTGTTTAAGCTCCCCTTGCCTTAACAATGGCACCTGCATTGATGGGCCATACTCCTACATCTGTGGTTGCACGACGCGCTGGATCGGCGATCACTGTGAGATAGAACGCGATGCGTGCAGCGACGACCCATGTCTGAATAATGGTGAATGTGTCAATATGTACACCTATTACGTCTGCCAGTGTCCACCAGGATTCTTTGGAAATCTCTGTGAATATGGTAGGTCCAAAAATTCTTTCATCACTAGTGATGTGTCAATTCAATTAGATTCACCTCAAAATGGTTTATTTAGATCATGATTAGCAGTCGGAGCTGAATTGAACGTTATTATGCATTAAAAAAATTCAAATTGTAATTAAAATGGCACATTTTGTTTTGATGTTTCACATTTGTTTTAGGCTGACATTCTAGAGTCGTGCTAACCAAATGATTCCCAAGATTTAAATTAAGTTACACTGTTGAAATAGTGAAGGACGATTACATGATTCGATTGATCAGCTATCGCAGTAATTTAGAGCGACTCCAGAGTCTAGTCAATGGAGGATTAAAAACTATTGCCTGTCTGAAATGATCTGAATAGGGCTTGTTAGTACATTTTTGATCACAGTTAAATTGTAATCAAATCGGTCACAAGCCCATTATAAATCAACAATTTAAAGTGGATCACAAGTCAATCAAACGTTGATCACCTGTCAATCACAAGTTACTGAGACGTCAATCATAAGTTAGGTCATGAGTAAGAGTGGATTGTCATTAACTTGTGATTGACTTGTGACAACTTGTGATTGATCTGTGATGACATGCAATTAACTCGTGATTATTTGATTACAATTCAGGTGCTGATAATATACTGAAACTTGCCGGTTGTTCATCACACTCCATTCCATTCTCTTTTTTTGACAGAGAATGGAATGATACAAACGACATAAATTTATCCCTAGTTTGTAAGCAAAATTGTTTTTGTGTGTTTTTTGTGTCCAGATGTGAATGAGTGTTCCAGTAGGCCATGCCAGAATGGAGGAACGTGCACTGACAGCAGCAATGGATTCAGCTGCACCTGTGATGTCAATTGGACAGGGCCAATGTGTGAAATGGGTGAGCTGGATAATACAGTCCTATAGTCTTATATGCCCCACCAATAGTGTGGCAGGGAATCATGTGGGTCATCTCCTCAGGAGCAGCAGATAGACTGATCCGTTAAGCCCTGCCCAAGATGCTTTGACCAATCACTGCCAAATGTCCTGCAAAAGACCTTGGGAGAGGCATCGTGTCTCGTTGCCCATGTGCCAAGTGGCCGGGGCTTATCACCAAACTGGAATAGTTAATTCACAGTTTAATTTTGAAAACAGAAAAAAATTTAATGCAATAGGAGGTAGCATGTAACGTTTACAGTTTACATGTTTAACGAAAAGGTTTAATCAATTACAAATTTGATTTCCAATTTACAATTCCAAAATGTTTAAACGAAACCTTACCGGTACCTACGTTTATGCGATCTTCCGTTGAGATTAAACATACACAGCACAAATCTATTTAATTTACAAAACCTTAGGTACCCATAGTTTAGTTTTTACTAACTTATTGCTCTTAATAAGCATCCAACTTTTGATACTTTACTTCCTTGAGATTCCCAGAACTGATTAAATACAATTTAAAACCTGTCTGGTGCAAATTCAGAGTAACGGAAGTTGTGTGTACCTCAAGGCATTGAACCAGTGCATGCGCACAGTGTAACCATTAGAATTTGGTAAAAAACAACAACTTAATGTTAGCACTAGATTTGACATTGATGTAACTTTTCAGGTTTGGATCCATGTGATAGTTCACCTTGTGCTAATGGAGCAACCTGCACCAGCAATGTGATAGAGTTTGCATGTACATGTGGGCCAGGTTGGATGGGCAGACTGTGTGATGAAAGTAAGTATAGGAATCATTGATGTAGAAAAGACGAGAGAATATCTCAAAACTCATCATAATCGGATTATTCCACTTGGATATATTATTTGGGCATAGGGGCAGATGCCTATTGTTTATACAGTTTTTCTTTCTTCAATTTTTTCCCCCCAGCATATTAATTTGCTGCAATTTCCTGCTGGGTTTAAAGTATGTTTTAAATTTAATTTTCTGAAAAACAACAAGAGTTTTTTTTTAATTTTTTTTATTTTTATAGTTTTGCCTTTAAAGCATCCCTTTTGGATATGAGTAGGACATCTCCACTAGTACGCAAATGACTGATTGCCAGATATATACTTTTTGTTTTTTTTTAAATAGATGAATGTGTAAATAACCATGAAACTGTTCCTTCACATTGCAGACATTGATGAGTGTGTGAGTTCACCTTGTCTGAATGGCGGTACCTGCATTGATGCAGTGAATGGTTACCAGTGTGACTGCTTACCATCTCGGAGTGGCAAAAACTGTGAACTACGTGAGTATTACTGCTGCCATGATGTATTTGGGCAATGTGGTCTATTTCCGGCAACTACAAATGGAAAAAAAATTACCTGATTCCCCAAGACAAACCCCTCCCCCAAATGAAGCACCTAGTATTGGTGGGATTTTTTTCAACTAATGTTAAAATAAAAGCATTTAATGCCATTTTTTATGGCTTTTCAAAGTAGATGGAAAGGTTCAGATTCCAAACTGATAATAATACAAAACTATATCTATTTCAAATATAATTTTTAGAGAAATGGATCTGTGTATGTGGCCATCTCCTATTCTAGAATTATAGTAAATTGAAAAAGTCGGATCCAAATGTAAAAAAAAACCACATCATTTAGTTTTCCCAGAGAATGGTCAGATGTGAACAAACAAGACTAAACTTGCTTAGTTGAGCTGCAGCCGATTTCAACAAAACTTTATGCAATGCCGTTTCTCCACTTTCGCCACAATTGGTTGCGTAAGTTGCACAATAGTTCACGCTGCGCAACATTTCATTTATGACACATTTTGTGAAAGTTTTATACAGCTTGAGTCTGTGACTTGTGCAACAAATAATGGCATAAATTCCGCAATTGTAATAGGTGGAGAAACTCATGGCTTAACAATTGAAATCAACTGTTTTACTTGCAAATCAAGATCGACATGGAGCCTGTCATTGCTCAACTAATCAAGGTTGATTCAAGACATAGCTTTGTGTTTGAACTAAATTGGAGTAAATGAATTGCTCTTTTACCTGTGGTAAAAGAGCAATTCTCATAATACGCTTCACATCCAAGATGTTAAAATTAATTAAAACATTGCACAACTATGCCAAGTTTTGTGACATCGATCGCACGTTTAGTGTGCAGTTGTGTAACAAACTTGTTGCTTAAATCCTACACATGGCGTAAGTTACGCACTGTTTCGTGAAACTGGCTGCTGGACCTGAAAGTCGCAGTTCAGGACATACTCAATTACTTAGTCAGTCAGTCAATCTGTCAGTCAGTTACGCAGTCAGCCAGAGGACAATAGGATGGCTCTTCTGGTCTAGTTAAAACAATAAACAAGTACTTCCCTGTATATTTTTTTCACTCCAGAGGGAAGCTGTATCTTAGACATGGTGGTACATCCCAACCAAACTCTCGTTATCCAGACGCCAAACTTCCCAGCCAACTACAACGACAACCAGTACTGCCGCTGGATGGTCGCCGGCCCCGAGGGCGCTGTTCTACTCGTCAACACTGCCGAGTTCCTAACTGAGTTGAATTACGATTGGCTGACGTACGGCACAGGCGCTGACCTCAACGACCCTGAGTCTGTCGTGCTACAGTCTTCCGGAAGCAAAGGTCCCATAACCTTCAAGACAACGGGGAATCAGATGTGGGTGACGTTCACCTCCGATCACGACAAGACAGAAACGGGAGTCTCGGTTAAGATTACTGTGGAGACTGAAAGAGACAGTAAGTATATATGGACTTGGGGCAGGAACAGTCAGGATGGGAAGCTGTTTTATCGTGGTGCTTATCACTTTTCCCGATCGGAATAGAGATTGCCCACTAACCTCTCCGAATTGTCCCTTCTTTTGTGTTGTTTAACTTTTACTTTTCACATGATATAAAAAAAACTTCTGGCAGTGGCTCAATATAATTCCTGTACGATGCAAGTGAAAATATGTGTGCGTGCAGTCTGCGAGCGGAGATGGACTCTATTATCCCGGCAGGGGGGAACTGGTTTCTACGATGACCTTTCGCTCGTACCCCCTGCCCTGCAAACAGGACGCTGGGATACTCTGATGAGCTTCACAGAATCTTGTGAAGGAAGTGGCCTATGACCTATGTATAAAGCATCTGGTTGCAGCTGTTCAAGACCGCAGTTAGACAATGTGCGCAAATGCTATCCGATAACTTCCCATAGAATTGCGCACATTCCATACCGGATGTGATTTCTGTTTCATTGCGGACCATGTGGACAAAATTTTGAGCGTCGCATAAATGCATTCAAAATTCAAAACGGAGCCTGAGCGAGTGACGGAAATTGTAAATTTACAACACAGATAAGTTTTACAGCATTTCCTACATTATTACGCTTTTCAACAAGAAAAAAACATCTCTAAACTGGAATAAAAGAGCACTGAATCAGTCTTAACGGCCGTTTCAAACCTTGCAGAATCATGACCTTGATGACGCGCAGGTCACTGGCCACGCAAAATCCAACCAATCAGAGTGTGAATTTATCAGCGTATCCCAGCGTCCTGTTTGCAGGGCGGGGGGTACGAGAGAACGATGACCTGAACTGTTTTATTCATAATCATTGTCTTACCTACACATCCCCTGATGTAACAAGTATGTTAATTGCCTAATAAAGTTCAACTTAGGTCTGCATAATGATTTCTTAACACACCAGCCCCCAGACGAGTCTACTGATTGCCTATTGAGGGCGCACATACACTTTACACAGTGTGCTGTCACGCTGCGATGGTTGGTAGAGGGGGCTATCAACAAGATGAATCTAATTCAGTCTTGGAAATCTCAGCCCTCTGACCCGAGAAATGTTGAGCATACCTCACACACGTGCCACATTCTTATCAATACGTAAGTGTAAGGTATGCTTGAAATTTCTTGGTTCCCAGTGCCAAGATTCACAGGACTGGATTTGATTTGTCATGTTGATTGTGCCTTTTACTGCTTGGAAGCTTGCATGGAGGTACTGGCTGTTTCAGGGGAACATAGCCCCAAATCAAGTCTCAGGGATAAGACTATATTAATGGTACCGGTACTGTTTGGGCTTTCTCTTACCAGAGCCAAGGAAAGCTAGTCTATATATATATTTTTTTACTCTGATTTGGCATTTTGTCTCTACTGAATACTTTTATTTAGATCTCAGCGTTTTCATTATTTTAACTAGTAGTCCCTATGCTGTCCAAACCACTATGCCTACTACCCCTTGTACTCTACCAAGTGGCCAACAATCAATCACCGCTATACAAATAAGTGGACATTCTGTACAGGTTATCCTTTACGTCTCAGGACTTGGAACAAAGGGTTACCTTTGTAAACAACAACTCTGGGGTCCTGAGCCCAGGTCCCCAAGGTTTTCTCACAAATACCTTATAGGCTTTATTCAGGAGTCGGCCATATTTATTTGAAAGCAAGGTAAAATCTTCATTTTTAGAACTTGTGAAAAAGAAATGAAATCAGTGAAATAAAGTAAAGTACTAAATTAAAGCCAGTCTGGGCCCAATTTCACGGCGCTGCTAAGCACACAATTTTCAACCCATAACCTGAAATGAACTTTTGCCATTTCTTGTGTCCACAGCAATGGATGAATGCGGTAGTAACCCATGTCTGAATGGTGGTACCTGTCTCAATGGTATTGAGAAGTTTGCATGCTACTGTCTGCCTGGATTCACTGGACCTATGTGCCAAACTGAAATCAGTAAGTGATGAAGCTGTCTGTACTTGTTTTGTAAATTTTAATGTCCTTTATTTTTAGCATACAAAAATTGACTCAAATTCATGTACAAATATATTATATGGCAGTCACAGATTTAAGTACGACATTTTCCATACCAACGTTGAGCGCAGTGTATGGAATATCCCTTGCACAGCAAGGGTCTATGATATGCGAGCAGATTCAGCGATTAATTATGCAAAACAAACATGCGTCTGTAACCCGTTGTTGTATTACAAAAACATGGTATCCAAATTGACCAATCCACAGCATAGTCCACATTTCTGATCGAAATGACGTCACAGTCTGCCACTCCAATTGGCTGATGCACGAGGTCGCTTACAATTTACATGCTAAGAAATATATCAGACGTTTAACTGTGACTTTTTCCATGTGAATGTCTGATCCTCGGACTACGTCAAGGCTAATCTGTATCAGGGTACATAAACAGTCACAACCAGTCAATCCTGCTTTGTGTGGGCAGGGAGCTCTTTACTGTTACAAGCAGTCATTTGATTGATTTTGACTGGAGGGACAGCTTGGTCCAGTTTGTCAGCTAGAGTAGGAGGTAATGCACAATAACATCAACCAGTAAAGGGTATTTGTTTGTTTTCATTATCTTTGTTTCCAGCAAAATTTTCATAATTGTTACTCCACTGATTGTATAGGTCCCAATATGTGCTACAGCAACCCCTGCCCAGCTGAAGCTGAATGCATCAGTGAGAACAAGCAGGTCCGGTGTGTGTGCCCCGAAGGGTTCCGACATCCATCATGCTCCACACAGGGTGAGTGACAGACACGGTGAGAGAGACGGTCAAAGGAGGAGAGTCTTACCAGGCTTGTCATTCTGGTCGGGGGAATTCAACAGATGGCTTTAGACAAAATGTAGGCAGAGAGGGGGAGGGGCTCTTCTGTAAATGTGGGGAAGTTGAAATGATTATAATTTCCCGCTGAGAAGTATATAGTTGTGCAGAGTGGTGCATCTTGTTTTTTTTTCAGTGTGAGGGGAAATTCTTGATTTTCTCGGTCAGTGGTCAGTGTAGGGGAGTGCCACCCTTAGGTATGCCTGCAACAGATTTCTCAAAGCACTGCTATGTATCGTATGATGCATTTCACAGAACTTACGATGTGTTCCTTGACAACGGCTTAAAACACGTCGCAAATTATGACGTGTCTAGTGGTCATTGCAAAAAAGGAAGCATCCTTTTCTTAGCCAGCTTTATGCCATAAAAATTACATAAACGAGACTATAATACCAAATGTAAATGGAAAGTGCATCAAAGTAACTATGAATTAGCCTGGAATATTGCATTTGAAGCTTCAAAGTAGCTATACAGTCCACTGCGAGCTTGTTTTCCTTTAAAAACTGCATCACACGTCCGCCATTTTGTTTTACGTTGTAAAAGCTTTTCAAGAGGATATCCTACGACTCTTTGCTGAATATCAAACAACTATTTACTGTACATTCAATAAATGCATATAACAGTCACCGTGTTGTGCTATAAATACACCTACGATCCCGCAAGCTCGTAGGTCGAGTGGTAAGACGTCTGCACTAGAAAGCAGAAGGTCGTGGCTTGGAGTCCCATCCGAGTGATTTTTTCCAACGTTCACTCAGGAGGTAACACACTGAGTATACAGTGTTTAAACATCAGTGAAAGACAAAGCCTAATATTGATTTACATCATCCTCATGGATGTAAAATTTCAAGGCCAAACAAAAGCATTGTTTTCTGTACTGTGATTTGTTTGAATAACTTTCATTTCAGAGGTTGGATTGTGTGACAGTTCTCCATGCAAAAACAACGGACTGTGTACGGAGACAGTTGATGGACTCAGCTTCAGCTGTGACTGTGCTGCTGGCTGGCAGGGAGCATTCTGTGAACTAGGTAACTCGATGTTCCCAATTTGTATTGATCTCAATTCTTTTGTTTTACGTTCTCTTTTTGCTATTTTGTTTTATTTTGGTTTGTTTTTTCTTCAGATGTTGATGAATGCGAAAGCAATCCTTGTCTGAATTCCGGCATCTGTATGAATGGGATCAACCGTTTCACATGTGTTTGCACGCCTTACTGGACTGGCGTCATCTGCCACTCTCGTAAGTTTGTTACAAAACTGTGACTGTCACGTTACTTTTTGCATTGAAAGTCTTCATACCTCTGGGAGTTTTATTTTTTCTTGTTGATTGACTTGTAGAATTAATTGTTGCAAGTTAGGATTTGCCCCTCCTTGCCTTAACTCTAACCTTCCCAAATCCTCCAAAGTCCTCTTTGCAAAATGGAGGATTTTACAGGATTGAGGCTACGTGGCAAAAATATGTGGCTGATTTTGGAGGATGCACTGTGTCAAGGTCTTAGGCCGGATCTTTTGATGTTTATGCTCAGCCGTGCATAAATTTAGCCTAGATTATACTTTAAATCCTCGGCACTGCTCTAGGATGTCACTGGCTCTGCTTCAATACATTGACAGTGATTGTTGGAGTATTTTGCAGGATTGAGGCAGTGGTCACCCCTCCAAGGACCACATTCAAGAAATAACGGAAGTTTTTGTAGGATTGAGGCTGTATGCTATTTTTACATGGAGGCAGTTGAAAGATTTTGCAGGATTGAGGTTGCATCCTAGCAACAATGGCCAGGGAATTTGGGTTAACTTCATGCATAAGCACAAACACCCCTTATACAATTAAAAAAAAGAGAGCTCAGCTAGGCAGGACTCTGATTTGATACTTTGCTGCTGTACATCGGGTGCTCATGCAAAATCGGTATGGTTGGTCCAAATTCAACATAAAATTTGACTTGTGTACCTTGTACCCTATGCTACAGTCCAGTGCACACCAAGTTCTCACCAATGTTCACATCTTTTGATCATACACAGAGTACGAAGTGAAGGGCACAATTTAACAGTACAATTTCTGAACTGTTCGAAAATCGTTTTCAATTTTATCTTCTTTTTTTTGTTGTTAGCTGTGCTAGACCAGCAATGCCTCAACAACCCGTGTCGGAATGGAGCAACGTGTGTAGGCAATGGAGATACCTACCAGTGTGTATGTCAGCCAGGCTATCAGGGTCTCCTGTGTAGTATTGGTGAGTCACTATCCTAGAACAAGAACAGGTTTTATCAGTGTACCATGAAGGAAGTGAGCGGAGAACATGTAGGTATCAAGTGGGAACCGTTTGGGAACCATTAGGAAAATCATGTGGAAATATATGAAGGAAATTCCTGGTAAGAAGTTTAGACAAATTGTTCATAATGCAACAATGACTGCATCCAAGAGCCAGTTAAGGCGAGGACCATTAGTCGACTAGTGGTTAATATGTGATGGAGCATACGCGTATGCACTAATAGCAACGTCTGAATGCCTCGAGACACGAAACTTCTTGGTCCTGACTTCCTGTTGTCCATTATGATAAGCGCAGTTATTGGTAACTAACTATAGAGCTGTGCACTGTGGTCTGGTTCCAAATAGTTGACTAGAGTAGTCCAATCATTCTTAGTTTGAGTGAAGTTAGTTGAACTATGGTTTACTATTCGTACTTTAATGAACCATGGTTTACTATTCATACTATAATGAACTATGGTTTACTATTCATACTATAATGAACTATGGTTTACTATTCAAACTATAATGAACTATGGTTTACTATAGTTCGCACCCGAACTTGTTCTTTATCTTGCTCTGCAAATCAAATTGCAGTGCAGGAGAGAAAAGTAAATTCACATGTATATATTTACTACACAGGCATTGGCTGTACACCACTCAAAATTTGACATCACGAGATTCCGTCTATAGAGTTGTTTTATATTGGGTTTCGCCCTTTGCCAAGATATTTTATAAACACTGTATACACAGTGTTGTCTGAGGGCTTGTGAGAAAAAAATCACAGACTGACTGGGGCGGGACTGAAACCCACGACCTCCTGCTTACTAGTGCAGAGGTCTTACCACTCGACCACCGATCCGGGGTCAGCTGGCTGGTTCGGGTATGATGTAGCAGCGTGTACCGCATCAAAAGTTATGAGATTGAATTTGGGTCGGCAAAGGGCAAAACCCAATATCAAATGTACATCTCTCTGACGAAGATATGATCTCATAATAAAATAAATCATGTTTTAATACCTTCCATTGTTGTATTTTTTAAGAATTTATACCTTTTTGTTTTGATCTTTTTCTAGACATCAATGAATGTGAGAGCAATCCATGTCAAAATGAAGGCAACTGTGTGAATGGTATCAATGAGTATATCTGCCAGTGTCCGTATGGTGCTGTACAGGGGAACAACTGTGAAAGGAGTAAGTGAAACAACTCCTTAAAATAACAAGACTTAAAATGGACTCTTCTAGGTAGCCCTTTCTAAAATAGGTTTATACATTATTGTTAATATGTAGTTTTCTGTTAATAATGGTGGTTTAATTATTTAAAAAACGACTTTCCTTGGCAAATAATTAAAAAAACACCTTTAAAGGCAGGTTGGCAGTCTGAAACTTTCGTAATGTATTTTGGCATAACAAGGATCACAAATTTGCCAAAAATAAAAGACAAGCACCCAACTTATTATATTTTTGTCATATCTTCATTTCAAATACTGCTAGAAGCATCAAATTTTAACAGATTACATCCTATGTATCCCAAAGTAACTCTTTTTAATTTAGCATTGAATAGTTGAGCTGTAAAGTTGGTTAACTCCTTGTAAAAGTAGCCATTGGAAGAAATGTTCAATAGTTTTGCGGTCGTATCTTGCAGTGATTTTTTATAAACCTTTGATTCTTTCTTGTCTTTTTCTTTTCAAGCCATTTGTGAGACTCAGCCATGTCAAAATGGTGGAATCTGTGATGAGGCTTCTCCTTTCATCTTTACTTGCAGCTGCCCCATTGGGTTTGTTGGGCAGTACTGCGAAGTCCGTAAGTATAGACCTTTGTCATTTGAAAACTGGTGATCTCTTGAAGACTGGTGATCTGTTGAAGTTGACACATTAAAAAAAATAATGATAGGTAAAACTCACTATCTAGTACACAAGGTTTGTTGTGGAATTTTATGCACTTGTACTTTTTACCACTGTTTAATTTGTGCAGCAACTTCTAAGACGTGCGAGAGCAGCTACTGTAACTACAATGGTATTTGTGTGGTGACTGAGCAGCAGGTCATGTTCTGCAGTTGCAACAAGGGCTACAGTGGAGAGTTCTGTGAGACAGGTAGATAATGATTAACTCAAAAGATTGTAATAGGCTTTGTTATACCACCCGTAATAGATTGTTAATTTTTATTGGTTGAGAGTGGATCACGTGACGTGCCACAAAAATGCATGAGCACAAAAATAATAAACACATTATGAATACGGTCTTTCCAAAACACATATGTAAAAAATAGTAAATCAAATTAGGTTTTTGCCCTTCACCGACGTTTAAACACTGTATACTCAGTGTGTTACCTCCTGAGTGAAAGTTGGAAAAAATCACTCTGGTGGGACTCAAACCCACGACCTCTTGCTTTCTAGTGCAGATGTCTTACCACTCGACCACTGAGCTAACGGGATCGGTTGGCTGGTTCAAATCTGATGTACATAGCAGCAGGTACCGCATAAACTATTATAGGATGGAATTTTGCGTTGGGGTGATATAAATCAAATTAGGTTTTTGCCCATCGAGTGGTTAGACGTCTGCACTAGAAAGCAGGAGGTCGTGGGTTCAAGTCCCGACCGAGGGATTTTTTTCCAACTTTCACTCGGGAGGTAACACACTTGAGTATACAGTGTTTAAATGTCGGTGAACGGCAAAAACCCTAATTTGATTTATAGCACCCCGACATCAAAATTTCATCTTATAATAAAAAATAGTAAACCTGAGGCCAAGTTATTAACGTCAGGAGGTTTCACTATCCTTACTGTACTCTGATCTTAGGAAATAATCAGGAACAGGACTCAAAATAAAGTATTCCTGGATTGAAATGCTCTTTTTCTACCAGGAACTGATCAATAAAAGTAGGATTACTCTTACAGAAAATTGTCTCAGAATCTGAAAGTAGGATTCAGGTAATGAAACCCTCGCAAAACTCCTGTATAAATATACTTTTTTCAATGTCCTTGCACTATTTCAGCCAGAGATGCCTGTGAGGGCCACCAGTGTCAGAATGATGGTACATGCTTTGCCACCAGCCTAGAGGACTACGTGTGTCTGTGCACAGAGGGATACGAGGGACAATTCTGCCATCGAGGTAAGAACTGTCAAAAAGAATTGACTTTGGTTCTGACACCATTGTCCAATGGTTACGGTGTCATATGAAATATGAACTTCTATGAAATCTGGTCTCTTTTACCTTATAAGGACTCTAACCCTCACAGGAGATGTGTCTCTGTCCTTAGTCTGTTTGCTAAGGCATGCACAATACAAGATATCAGTCTGTTTTAGTCTGTATTAGTCCAAATTTCACACTGCAACTGTCTCCAACTCAGATGCGTTGGTTTAAACTGTGACTGGATAGTGTTGTTTAATTGTGTTTGGGCAGGACACTTTACTATAATTGCCTCTCTCCGCCAAGTAGTATAAAAGGGTACCTGTAAGAATAGAGACCTTATTGTGTTGATCTCAAGCTGTTGCAGAAAAATGGTCTCATGGCCTGATAAACAGGTGTAAAACAAATGTGAAGCACTTTAAAAATATTGCTATAAAGCACTTTATAAACACAACATTATTATTATTATCTTTGTAATTTCAATATGACATTATGTATTTTTTATGTATTATTTTACGATGAAAATTCTGAATGCTTTATAGTATATATTGGTGATGGTCTTCACTGGAAAAGAGAAGGAAAATGTTTCTACAAAATAATAAGCAACATAGTTCACACAAATCCACCACCCGTAGTTTCCAAACCAGCACAGGCTCGTAGACTTCACAACCATCAGTTCACAGAAATTGCAGCAAGGACAGACATCTATATGCAGTCATTCCTACCCAGAACTATCCAGAAATGGAACAAGCTCCCTCAAGACACCATAGACGCCCCAAACCACAACACCTCTGAAGATTTAGTTTAGTTCCACTTCCCCAAGGCCTCCTTACTAGACTTCCACGTGGAGTATTCAGGAGGAAATTCACCAAGTACCAAGTGAATTCTGAAGTTGTTTTTTCACCTGTTTGCTCTGCAGAGATTGACGAGTGTGCATCCAACCCATGCATCAATGGCGGCGTCTGTAAGGATCAATTCAAGGCATTCTCCTGCTCCTGCCAAGAAGGTTACATCGGAGACCTTTGTAATACAAGTACGTTATTACTCACATGGCTTGAAAGTTTTAATCATTTCCCAGCTCTCTACATTGTTTCAGTTCTCTACCTTTCTAGTTCTCTACTTTGTTTCAAGTTTGAAATCATATTATGGGCTCTGTGCATGAACTTGTGATAATCCCAACTAAAGTGGTTGAAAAAATACAGTATTCCAGAGTTTTGTATTTAACTTCTCTATAAAGGCATACAGGATCATTTGCTTTTCATGCGTTTGTTTCATGTCCAATGATAACACCACCAAAAAAATCCAAAGAACAATATTCAAAACTTAGCCTGCTGAAGTTTCAGCTCAGTGGAAAACACACTTTTTGAGAAAACAGTGAATAAACCATGCCCAACCTTTTGATAATGAAACATGATTTTGTCTATACTCCAAAAATCAGTCAATTGACTGATTGTTGGAAATCACCTACATTTCTTGATTTCTTCTAAATGACAGCAAGCCAGATCGATTATTTGCAAAAGGGTGCTTAGTTCCAGTACGATCTTTAATCCAAGCAAGCTTTTTGATAATAATTTGGTAGGTTACTTGGGGATAAATGCAAATGATGCCTTTAACCTTTCAATTTTGAACCTTTTAATTTTGAAACTTTCAATTTTCTAGAGCTGGTCATCCAGAATGAGACCGGTGCCCTGCAAGGCAGCAGCTTGGAGATAGAGTGGATTATCATCATCATCCTTCTGGCGCTCTTCACTCTCTTCCTGATGGGTCTCCTGTGTCTTTGTTGCTCTTGGAGGCGGAAGACTACCAATGAAGCATAGAGGCACTTATCCTGGTCACCAAGAGTCCTCAGGAACTATCCGGTTCGTTAGTAAAAACGTCATACACGCGCGCACACCACTGATTACTAGCGCCCATTGGCTGCAAACGCTCAAGCTGCGTTAACTTCCGGTTCCAATCGTGCAGAAAGTGCTGGAGGTGACGTCACACTAACAAACCGGATACAGTGCCGGAGTCGTGACATCACTCATAGGTCACCTCTGCGGAACTGTGCTTATGGGTTCACACACTGATCTCTACGTACTCACTTGATAACGTATGCCCATAATGCTGGTCTTCCAACTGTGGCTGTCGATATGCGAATGCTTGTCACGTACATACGACACGCATTGTATCAAAATTTGACGCACTATTTGTTCGCCCACACAAACTCTGATGTTCTAAAAGGACAAGTTTTCGCTGTGAATAAATTTCTTAACTTCGCAAAAATTGAACTGCATCGTTCAAAAACTAAACAGAATGTTGCGCTAGTTTTAGTCTTGTCAGAATGAAATCTTGAACAAAGTGTTATTTTGTGAAATGACGTGCTCTAAAAGTGTTTAAAAAACATACTTTGTCAATGAAAATTCAGTTTGAAACTTTCACAGAACATTTTAAACATTAGTAGCATCACAATTTACAAAAATCTCAAAATTTCCCTCCCCCCATGTCATTTTGCAGCTGTTTCTCCATTTGTAGCTCTGCCCAATTCCGCCTGGTTTTGACAAACCACGTCACAATTGTGTTAAATTTCTTGTTATATAGTAGTTAGAAGTGTACATGAAATCACCAGATTAGCGATAAATCTTTTAACCCTTTTGAATTCCCAAGTGTAAAGGAATGAACAACCCATGTGGCCAAACAAATTAAAGGGTCAGTCATTTGACTTGTAACTTGAGCTTATAGTACCCTTTATAATTTGTTCATCAAGTCTCTACGTGTTCAAAATTTTCCAAAACTTGTATTATTTAAAACTTCTGTAAGTGTTATTGGATCTGTGATGCTTTTGCATCTGAGTAAAACAAAACTGGTAAGAAACTTTTTATATTTTTGTAAGAACTTATTTTGTACATTGGAACAGTAGGTGCTTAAAACGGTGGAATATTTAGTATGTTTTAATTATTCTTTTCTATTGTTGAATAGTATTGACATCTATGCAGAAATTGTGTACACATTTTAGACTTTATATACTAGTTTTAGCCCATGTATTTTGGTCGGGTATATTTATTGTCAGGTATTATACAAGGTATTGGATTTTTAAAAGAGTTTTTGTATATTTATGCATGATTTTATCCAGAAAACTGGACTTTGTTTATACCTTATAGCTTAAGGCAAGTGTCACTATTTTAGTAATTCTTGAAATGAACTTTAATTAACTTCACAGTTGTCTGTCAATATGTTTAATTTGCTAAACTTTTAAAGTTCAAATTATTTGTCAAAAAGGTTTGTCATAGTTTTAGTGAAGATATAATATACAGAAATGTTTTCATAATACGCAAATGTGAATGAAATCTGTATAGTTAGTGTCAACAAGATGTTAAAATTGTTAGAACATTTAAGGCAAATAAAAGAGTTCATATTTTTACTGAAGTTATATCCAAGTCTTACAGAACTCTATGTTTTAAATCTGGAATTGGAAGTACGTGCAGTAGCTACAGTGAAACCGACTATATTTTAAAACATTTATTCAAATTCGCTGATTCTAATTTCAAATTTGTCCAGCAAATTCAAACCATGAGCGCACATAATTCGTCAAGGAGTATTCGATTTTGTCTCGTCTACGCCGAACCGTGTCATCCAGAAACCAAATTTGTTTGATGCCACACAATTTCATCATAATTTTGTTCAATTTCGGCATTCCTCATTGTGATATTCTCAGCAAAAAGAATATATGCCGCTAATGATAAATACTTTCCCCTTTTTTTCATCTTTGTTTCTTCATAAATGAATTGTTTGTTTCTTGTGATTTTTTTCTTCTTAAAAAAATATGTTCAACTCGGTTTTGGGCACATACAAAATTACTGTTACACAGGGAATTGATAATTTGAACAATGGGGGAGGCACTGGGATTTTTTTTTTGGGGGGGGGGGGACGTGCCCCACCAGGCGCTGATCCAGAGGGGGGTTTTGGGGGTCAAAAAAACCCCCAAAAAAACAGCTCTGTCCCTATTTATTTTTCCATAGAGATTCTTGAAAAAAAAATGCAACCCCCCCCCCCCGCTCCGACACCCAATTTGTTTGTGTTAGTAATAATGTCCGCCTTGCACAAAATATGTACACATCCAGCTTGGTTAGGGGGTATATGTATATTTTTCTGTGATATAATGTTAATAATCTTCGGATTTCAACAGCGCCCCCATTGAAACTATGGTACGAGCAAACCCCCTCTCCCCTCCCCCCCCCCCCCCCCCCCCGCAAGGGTTCGGAGAAAAAAAACCGTCTACATTTCAGCTTTATTTGCCAATAAAACAAATAGAAAATTCCTGGATCCGCCCCTGCCCACCATGCCCCCTGGCTACACCACTGGGTTTGGGGGGGGGGGGGGTCAAGACTGCCATCTTCCATTCAAGTGCCCTTTTATTTTCTTCCAGCGTTTACCCCCCTTCTCAGCCAATATTTGTAAAGTGTCCTTTTTTCGAAACGTCTTTTTTTTTTCAAACAAGTTCCCTTTTTTAGCATCCTCAAATATGATATCATGGCAAAATATTGGAGGTAATTTCATTTCAATGCAATATCTTGAGTTTCCGTCTTTACAATAGGCCTAACTTTGTTGACATCGCTAATGGTATGGACGCGAGTCGGCGCGCGGTGTGCCCTCGGTTGTCAAGAAAGCATGGTACATTTTAAATGTTTAAATAGTGGACTTTTCAAAAATTGTTACCAAAAAGGGATGTCTACTAGTTTTTGTGCCTTTCCGAGGAAATGGATATTTGCTATTAATATGCTCCAGTGTAAAATTTGTTTCATGACCCCTTTAAAATACCCATCAAGCCCTATGGCAGTATCCATTATTTTTTTGAAAACCAAACAAATAATAATAATAAACCCTCAAGATTTAGAAATTTCCAAAAATGAAACCTTTATTTTTTTAAGTGCTATAATGTACAACGATCAACATACACACGTTACTGTACAACCTATACACAGTAAAAACAAGCTTTTCTAAATTTCTCTATAAACTCATCGACACAATAATTTTATGATTAAACAATGTGTGCATCACTGTGTTTAAATTCTGGACAAGTTTTGTTTTGACCATTTCGCAATTTTATGATTAAAAACTACGTTATTGTAGTAGAGTCCATCACATGACTGGACTTGCGACTGGACTTGTGACTTAAAAGGACTTGTGATGAGCTTGTGGTGGATCCGACTAAAACACTGAAACAATACACTGGGATTTTTGTTTTTGATAATTCTGGGGCTGATTTCACGAAACTCCTCTTTTTAATATCTTATGACTCGTCTTAGGACTTAAAACATGAGTCCCCGCTCTAAGATTGATCCTAGCTAAGATGCGTCCTAAAAGACCGATTTCACGAAAGCCTTGTAAAGGCATCATAAGCAACACGCATCAAAATTACTAATTTGATGGCTGTTTCATAATTGTTTTTACCGCTTGACGAAATGGTCATTGAAAAGAAACACACAAAGCCAATTTTCGGTGTTTGTGCATAGAACACAAACTTTTGCCTGAAATTTTCTCTGCTCATTAAATTTCAAATGCAAAGTAGGTCTACACATGGATACGATAGATTGATTAATCTCTATATAAAGACTGGATAGAGGATGCCCATACACCAGTCACACAGTTGAATTTGTATACTGACCAGTTTGCCCCCAATGTTCCAAAAATGGCCGCCGATATACGAACGTTCTACACGTACATACTGTGTACGCTGTATCAAGAGCTGACGCACATTTTGAACACGTACACTTCTTATGATATTCTATAAAGGACAAGTTTTCATCGTGATTATATTTCCAAATGTCGCAAAAAGTGAACTGCAGCATTCAAAAAGTGAACCATGACGCTTGAAAACTGTGACCCGTGGCCAGTGGTGTTGGACATCATCTTTTCTTTAGGAATGGCATATTGCCCAGATCTTGTTCCATCATGAAGTACACCCAAAGTCCTCTTTAGAACCTGAAGTCCAGTCCAAGAGAGCTGCCCTCCACGGTTAGAAATTTTTGGTTGCAAAGGCCTGTGCCTCCAGGATCCGGCTTCGACTGCAACAGAAAAAGAAACCAAAGTCTTCCAGTTAATATTCTCACATATTCTTTCTAAGTTACAACTCGAACAAGTTATCCCAAATTAGTTATCTAAGACTTGCAAAAACACAATCACCTATAGAAGCGGTATTCTCCACTTCCCCACAGAAAAATGTATTACTGCTTGCTGGAAAAAGTAATTCTAACTATAATAAAAATTTCTCCAGAAATAACACGGCAGTTGACCGGTAGTGAAAAAATTGGAAGCTTTGTGTTAAATTAGGTTGTTGCCCTTCACCGACGTTTAAACACTGTATACTCAGTGTGTTACCTCCCGAGTGAAAGTTGGAAAAAAGTCACTCGGGTGGGACTCGAACCCACGACCTCTTGCTTTCTAGTGTAGATGTCTTACCACTCGACCACCGAGGTTACCGGATCGGTTGGCTGGTTCGAATCTGATGTACATAGCAGCGGGTACCGCATAAACTATTATAAGATGGAATTTTGCATCGGGGTGATATAAATCAAGGGCAAAAACCTAATTTGATTTATATCACCCTGACGCAAAATTCCATCTTATAAAAGCTTTGGGTTCTTTTCAGTTTTCTTTTTTCTTTTTTTTTCCACTTGCTATGGCACTATTACCCGTGATTCCTAAAAAAATCATTCAGGATTTGACAGGGTTCTTCCTTTAAGTTTACCACACTCACAATCATTCTTAGGACATGTTTGTCCAACTTATGTGGCTGTGGCTGGCAGTTACATGTGTGTTAATGGAATTGGCTGAAGCCACTTGCCATAGATGTGTGTGTTACTGTTAGCCATAGTCAAGTCATATGGACACAGCCTTACCTGTTGCATCTGCTGCCTGGTCGGGACCCATCTGATGTGGACACGCTGCGTATACTCAGTGCTGTGCCTGGCCTAGGTGAAGGCGGGTCTAGGGGCAGACTCTCCATAGTAGAACGCACACTCTCAAACCTTCATGGGAAATATACCAGTACACACAGAGTCTGAATGTCTTCCAGACTAAATTTTTGCTTGACTTACTGACTAACTGAGACACTGACTGAGTCACTCATTATCAATAAGGGCATACACCAGAGACTTTGGAGTCAAGCCTAGGTAGGTAAGTCCAATTTTGTTTTCAGTGTTCCTCGACGAAAATGTAACAAAACCATTTATTCACAAAAAGAGTAAAGGAAACCTTTTATTCATAAACGATGAAGAAAAAAACAAAACAAATGCAGATAAGTAATAGACATTCAATGGGAATGTAGAATGGGGGGATTTAAAAAAAAGTCAAGAGTTTCTGCAGGGGTGCAATTAACAAAAAGAGTGGGAAAAAAATCAAAATATACATATAGAGAAATATATAATAGACAACTGAAACACAAGCAGAAGTAGGCAACTCAAAACATTGCCAATATTTGTCACGTTTCCCGAATGAATGCACAAAGAGATAGCAATGTTGGCAATGTTTGCATGAGTGTGACACACCAAGGGAAGAAGTTCATCCTTGGCGGTATAACAGCTGGTCAGAAATGAAATGTATAATGGTGATTTCTACCTCGCTGCAAGACTTGCTCCAAATGATGCCAGATCCGCCTCAACGTGTTTCAGCTGATTCTCAACCTGTCTGGCACTCAGTGCTGGTACAAAAATATAAGAAGTAGAAAAAGGGTTGATTTTTCAGATTTTGTTTGGCATATTTGTGATACTAAATATATACACTGTTAACTTTTGTGGCTATCTCAACAAGAAAGTCTCTGGAATTTACTGATATTCAACAACACAATAATGCCAAGGTAGCCCATTTTAAAAGCTTAAAGGGCCCATGTAATGTAATTTTTTTAATGCAATCCTTGAAAATGCACCTTTGTGTCCAATTTAAATTTAATTTCAATTTTTATTTTGCAGTCTTTAAGGGCATTTTGCACGGTGCCTTTTTGGTTATTGTGCTAATGCCAATTTCGATTTTCATAAGGAAAAGTGTGATGTCATTTCAGGCAGAAATCTCAATGTTACAGCTATTTCAACGCCCAAAAAGCGCCAGAATTTTGGATATTTTGCTGTCGTGAATTTTCTTTTCTTTGGTGATTCGCTGATGTTTCAGTAGATGAAAGTAAGCCAGTTAGCATAGTTTTCTCACAAATGTTTTCAGTGAGCAAGTTTTGGGTGCGCAATTTGAACAAGAAAGTCTTAAACTGAACAGTGTCTTCCTGAAATGACATCACAGCATCAGCGCCCTCAGTTGTCAGGAAAAGCATGAATTGTTTTTAATGTTTACAGAAGTGCACTTTTCAATAAAAATAACCAAAAAGAGAAGTCAGATCGTTTTCATACATTTAAGAGGAGTAGAAAGTTGCATTAAGTATGTTCCCAAGAAGAATCCATGTCATGAGCCCTTTATTAAAACATCATTGCAGTTCGCCAGAGATTAAAACTTTAGTAGGGTGGAAAAGTTAGCAGCTGCCCCAAGGAGCCTGTTTTTGAAAAAACACATTCCATTTGGTCATGAACGATGCACAATTTTTTTGAGGTATCTGAGAGTCCTGACCCTACCTGATGCAGCAGACATTGGTCTCATGACAGGCGCTGACTTGGCTGAGTTTCTCTTCATGTGAATGCCGTCTAGAATGTCCAGATTAGGGAGCAGCTCTTGAATTTCATGGTGGTAACTGCGGATAGGAACAAACACACCATAATAATAGTATTATTATATGATGAATAGTAATAATATATAATGATTGATTTATATAAGCATGCATACCCACCAAAAAGATTCTCATACTGTGCTGCATAGGATGCTTGTAAACCCTCTGTACTTTACAAAGCATTGCTGAAGAGAACGATCTGCTGAAGTTGACGTCCCGTGATAACAGCATCCAATTCGTAAACAAATGTAACATGGTCTATACAATTGATTGTGTTTGATGAATTTAAATATGCAAACAGGCCAAGATGGCTATGCGACACACATATTCTGGGGCAGGCAGCAGCCTTTGTAAAGTGTTGACTATTTACGTTTAAACATTTAAATGGTAGGTGAAAGTTTCACAAAACCTTTAGCAATATTACCTTGGTTTCTCTCCCTGCTCTGCACAGAATGGATTCCCTGATAAATACAGCTCAGACAGACTGCTACATTTGGCTAACGAACACTGCATAGATAAAAAAAAAAAAAATTGAAGTAAAAATATCAGCTACTTTAACAAACACAAACTCAATATGTCTCTCAGTTTTCTTAGTGTACTCAAACAGACATCTAAATATTCAGATTCAAAAAGTTAGCAACAATTTCTACTTTAGCACTTTGGAAATATGTTTTGACAGAATACCTCACGGACAATTTAAGTTGAAATTTTACCTGTAACCATTTTGGCTGAAGTTAGTTTTCTTAGTGTACTCAAACAGACATCTAAATATTCAGATTCAAAAAGTTAGCAACAATTTCTACTTTAGCACTTTGGAAATATGTTTTGACAGAATACCTCACGGACAATTTAAGTTGAAATTTTACCTGTAACCATTTTGGCTGAAGTGAGTTCAGAAAAACACTTTTATAGGATACTGTCCCGTAAATTAGTGGCAGACCATTTGACAACATTCATGCAAAATGTTCAGTAACATTTGGTGTCTTTGTGAAAACTTCTTCCATGACACAAAGACTTTTGGTCGAAATACACACACACAAGTTGTGAGTGGGAAATACTTATCAGAAGGGCAGTTGGCACAAAAATGCATGGGATATGGAGAGTGAGAGAGGGAGAAAAAAAAACTATTTCAGACTGGCGTTCCAGAGTTGCACCAAACCAAAAAATATCAAGAGCAATTCAGGTTGATCCAAACAGATTCCAGTTTCAGGCAGGCAAATATTTTTGTATTGTGAAAAAGCATTGTATTGTGAAAAAGCTTACTTGGTTTAAATATATGAGAAATTATTCCTTCTGGCATGCTGTCATTTTGAAGAAAAACAACAAAAGAAGGTCATTTCCAAAGATCTGTCAAGTGACACATTATTGGAAATTTACATGAATCCGAGTTCTAGTTTGTAGTTAATTTGCAATTGGGCGAATCAGTGAATAGGTGACAATCGGCTGAATGAGAATCATGTCCCAAATGCAGATTTTGGAGTCGTGACACCAGATGGCGTAATTCAAAATACGACTCGGCAACTTTGGAATTGAAATTGAGATCCCGAATATTGTGTTTATGTTTCTTCTGTCTTCTTGAAATATACAGCATTCACAGAGCTAAAACCTCATCAGGTTAGTTATTAAGCATCCATCTTCGGATTCTGAGCACTTCTGTTGGTTAAAACAAATTACAAATGGTCTGCTCTACCTTTAACTCTAGTCTACAGGTGCCCCAGTCTGAAACAGGTGAAAGTGTAAATTGATGGGAAACTTATTGATGAAATAATACTTACAATGGATGTCCACCTGTGTATCCTATTGTCACTCACATTCAGCACCTCCAGTGATGGGAACTGTTCATGTATGCCGCTGAGCTCTGTCAGCTGATTGTATGATACATCTAGATTCTGTAAGGACCTACAAATGAGATGGTTTATGGTATTGAAAGAGGAAAATTACTTGTCACTCTTTCCTCTTGTGGAGGAAATAATACAGCTTCAGTCAGAACACAGATCGTCACATCATGAACATGATGAAGCATTTCCATTAGAATTACAAAAAATGCGCATTGTTGATTTTCCTTGAAATCGATAGAGTTTGTTTTTGACATGTCTTTATTTGAACACGAATAATTTCAAAACCTTTTGAAAATCAAACCAATACCTGTACTTATCAGGAATGAAGTTAAGATTCCAAGCTTTAAAATGATATATAAATATTGGCGGTACGTGTTTCCTCGCCGACGCTAGAGCCTCGTAAAAAAAATCCCGTGGATTTTTTTTGGGACGCGCTGCAGAGTAGTTTTTAGTGCTAGCTAGCAGGAGTCCATCACAAGTCCTCACAATTTCATCACAAGTAATCCAGTCCCAAGTTTCAGTCCCAAGCTGTTCAAATAAAGCCTGACATACATTGTACATACAGGAATTCCTTTGTTGTTGGTCATCCCCTGTTACTCGTGACTGGACATGAGATCAGATTTGTCATGGGACTTTAGATGGACTCAACTACAACTTTGGCCTGGGGGTCTGAAAATGTAATTATAATTGGTGTGCAGTATAATGCATTTTTAACAACTTTTTTGTTTTCAAAATTTGTTGCTCACATTGGTCACCAGAAAACAGCATTGCCTAATTTTAAGACTAATACTATCTTAAATCTCTTTCTTAGTACATGTACTTGTCTATTGCTACGTTTATCTCTAAATTTCAAGTACCTAGAGCAACTTAATTTCACAAGATAAAACTACCTTGCGAAAGCAAGAAATCAACTCTATAGCTGCTTGGCATTGCTTTCGGCATTAAGTGACACACATTTTCTTGTGGCAAAATAAAAATAAGGTTTTTACTGAGTTAATAAGCCTCACTGACCCAGTGTTTAACTCAGGTTTCCTTGGCATGAAATGACTAAGAATATTTGTACTCCCCCTTGGATGGAATGCTAGTCTATTGCAAGTTACTCCCCAGCTAATGCCGGTACCCATTTATACTCCTGGGTGGAGAGAGGCAAGTGGGGGTGAAGAAGCTTGCCCAAGGACACAGCACATGACAACCAGCAGGATTTGAACCCCCGACCACTAGGCCACAATCCCCATATTTTCTTGACACTAACCTTAATTTCCCCAAAGCCTTCAGACAACTGGTTGTCAAGCTGTTATGAGACAGTTGGAGGATCTGAAACAAACAAAACACATTCTTGGTTTTTAAGGCAAATGACAAGCACATTGTTTTGGAGGCTTTGTATAATAAGAAGACACTTTGTATTAATCCTTTTGCACTTGCATTTAATTGTTTTACATTATATTTACACCTCCATGAAATAAATTAAAAAAAACAGAGTGCTGGGGCGGTTTGGAGTGGTATGAGGAGTAACAGGCAGGGCTGTTAGGGGTGGTGCAGGGGCTAATGGGTTAAATATTTCCATGCTAAATGAATCTAAATGATTCTTTTGGTATGAAAGCTTGATGCTAATTTTAGGCCTCATTCAATATAGTGCAAATCGGTCTACAAGTGACAAAACTTAGCTCATTGGTTTCATGTTGATTTGTAACATGTTATAATTCAACTAAAATGTGGTACAGTCGGCTCCCGTTATAACGAGGTCCGATGGACTTTCACAATACTGTCGTTATAGCCGGAACCTCGCTAAAACCGGAGTGCAGTTTTCCCCATTCGTTGTGCACAAGGTACGGTACATGTGCGTGCGTGTTTTAATCGTGTAACGCACGTCCGAAGACATGAAAAGATGGTCATTTGTTGGTATGTACGTCTGTTAATAATGTATATTAAATATTTAACTGATGGTGATGAATAAATGAAATAAATAAAATACCTTTAAGGGAACATTGTTCAATATTTGAGGACCTGAATCCGGAGGAAAAGGCATCATCGCTGAGAAGAATCAGGCAAGTAGGTCACTCGCACAAATCGTGCCGAGTGACATTTTGCTTTCATTTTGCATTTGCTGGAATCGGGCAAGAGAGGGCGCCAATACATGCATTACTTCCGGGTTTTAATGACTCCTGATCCTTAGATGCCTTTTGGTTGTTGACTTTTTGGAACAGTTGGGTATTATTGTTTCTGAAGGGATTCTTTGAAATTGTAATTATTTCGGTTAACTATAGCGCACATTCGTGCCAAGTGATATTTTGCTTTCGTTTTGCATTTGCTGGAATCGGGCAAGAGAGGGCGCTAATATTACTTCCTTGTTTAAGTGTCTCCATGTGTAATTTCGCAGCAATTGGTGATTATTGTTTGTCGGGAGGGATTCTTTTAAGATAAAAATAATAAATAAACAAAAGTAATAATTTTGGATTAAAATTTGTACAATGTATATGTGGTGGGGCATTTGAAGATCTTGGAAACCTGTTTTCATTGGGATTGTTTTTTCGGCGGGGCCGGAGGGGTTCTTAATTTGTTTAAGATTTTTATTTTTTTATTCTTCGGATCCTTTTTTGGGGGTGAGAACCACGGTATGTTTTAAACTTTATTTTTTGAAGACGGACTGAATTATCTCTTTTTGGAAGTTGTGGTGGCTCTGAAAAGCCGTTTGTCTTGTGATGCTGTGTTCTTTACTTCGTATTTTTTTTTATAGCCACAAGCCAACAATAGGGAGCAATTACGCACCCGATGTTCGGGCGGCAGTACTAAAGGCTATTCCTTACAATGTTAACACTTAACTCCTGAGCGCCCCCTATTGTTAGTTTGTAATAATATAGAAACGTGGTACCGCAGTCGTAAGCAAACTTCAAACCTGGTCACGCTAAGGGAAACCGCAGCAGGGGATTAGCGACTAGACCAGCGGTCCACTGCGCCGATTATCACAGTCCCATTGAATTTATTTATAAAGATCAGCGAGATGAAATAACGTTGGGTTGAAGTCTTTACAAAGGTACATTGATGGGTGAAGCTTAAGTGTGTTGCTTGAATTGGAAGACGGGAGCATGATACCCGTTTCGGGACAAAAGGTCTGTCGTTGACAAGCTGCAATGCCCGTAGTTTTGAAAAGATGTCGTTGTAAATGGGTTGAGAACAATGCTTTTCCTCGCATTGGGTCAGCCAAAATCGTCGTAATAGCCGAAGTCTCGTTATGTCCGTGCACGTAATAACCAAATATTTCCCCATAGTAATGTACACAAATTGATCGGGACTGGGAGAATGTGCTCGTAACATCCGGGTTATCGTTATGACCGAGCTCGTTGTAACGGGAGTCGACTGTACTTGTAACCAGAGACAATAATGAACTAGAAAGGCTAATCTAATATTTATTCCATTTGTTTACCCAGGGTACGCCCAAACAGTTTAAAATTGGTTTCCATTGGGGTCCTGCACACATTACAAATTATTCAAGAATGTTAAACAAAGTATGAGGAAAAAGTGCATTGATGAAACAGACGACAAACATTAATACTTACAAATACAAGTATTTCAGAAGTAATACAGAAATAAAGCTATATACGCAACAGAAGCTCATTTTAAACATTCACATATGAGGCATGAATTACTGATTATACATTTAAGGGCCAAATATGGAAAGGCCAAATTTCATGACTCTCAATCATGGAATTTTGTACTAGTTTGCACTAACCCTGTAATCACAGAATCCAGAGTTATGGGCTGTATGCATGTGCAATGGCCAAAATTCCTTGCTAACCAGTTAAATACGCTAACCATTACTACAGACTTTGCTGCTATGGTTAGCAGGGATTCTTGGCTTGCAGTAAGCAGAGTCATGAAACTGGGCCCAGAAATACATCACCAGAGAACTCACAGTGATATGGGGAAGTCCCTTTAAGCCTGAGACATCTGATAACTTGTTGTGGGACAGATTCACCTCATTCAGCTGCAAAATGTATAGATATGAAAGAAGAAAAAAATTGTCCTCAATTTTTCAAACCAAAAGCTGAAAATATACCTGCCTGTGATGTTTTTTTTTATATTTTTTAGAAATTTCATTGTATTGTTTGTTTAAATAGTTATGTTCTGATGAAGTAATGCTTGAAAAACAAAATCATAGAACTTTACAATTAGAAGAAAATGGAAATGATTTTCAACACACTATATTGAGAACCGCAATGATAGTTACTTTTGCAACCCAAAGGAAATTCCTGCCATTTGTAAAACTTTGGCTTTATAGCAAAATATTGTGTTCATGTGGGTCACTGCAGGTAATAATAATCCATAATTGTGCCAAGTTGGCGTTTTGTTAGTAACATAACTATATCAGCAGTGCTCAATACCTAGAACTTATACATACATTTGCCAGTAACAGATACAAACAGCTACCAAACAAATACCAAACACGCCAACCTTTTTGCATCTGCTGAGGTCTGTCACAGCTCTCAAGCCATTGTGTGTAGCGTGCAGTTCCTCCAATGATGATAAACAATTTAAACTCTGTTAAATGAAAAATATTAAAAGTTTTAGAAGGCCAACAGGAATAAATGAACAAAAGGCTTAATCCTGCGAAGTCCCTTGCAAATGCACTTAAATGTACATAACATGATAACAACAAACCAGAAAATTGAATAAGCCAAATTTCTGAACTTATCAAATTAGGACCACTGCGAAATGCTGTATTAGATGTTTCCACGACACTCATTTTAGACTGACATTCCAGAGTTGCGCCAATCCACATTATTCAAACATTTAAATAAAAAAGTTTGATGTTTGACACAGTTCAGAATGACTACATCAAAAGGGCGACTGCTCCAGTCATTTTCTGCTTCATAATGACTCCCAAGTCTGGTCAATGGAAAATCAATACATAAACTTCGCCTGACCGGAACAAAAGTATATTTGGAATGACCTTCTCACACTATTTCAATGTCACTTCTCACACTTTCTTTCACTGAGACTCTGGAAAACTAGCCTGAAATGGGTGGTAGTTGCAAATTGCTTTGAATTTATACATGTTAACAGTCCACAATATCAATATCACATTATCATTAGGTCATCAGTGGAGTGCTGTTTAATATAGAAAAAGTATCTGCTTTCACACAGAGCATCTGTAGCATAAACTACAAACCAATCATCAACACAACTGGGGTGTGGCTCAACTTACATGCAAAGTGTCAATTTTATTGCTGCTGATGTCAAGAACTGTCAGCTGTGAGCAAGAAGCAATCTCTCGCGAGTCTAGTTTCCTGAGGCGGTTGCTGTCCAGCCTGAGGACTTTTAACTTCTTGAGACATGATAGACATTGCCCTGTATCAAGAAAAAACGAGAATAACATGTTAATTATCCAATTACCTCTATACTTTGAAGCAGAAAAGTTGCATGCGTGTGTTCATGAATTGCTCACGCAAATTGGGCTGCTACGATTGTAGCGGGCAATCATCCGCTTCACGGGCGACAGTCGGTAAAGCAGCCTCCCCTGCATGGTGGGCAAGTTGAAACCTCATTGTTTTTGTCTTGCAAATCCTCTATTCTGTCACAATTGCAGCCCATTTCACAAAACAAGTGTATAACCTACGCTACTCGTAGTTTTTACGCAACAAATTTGTTAAGCAGCTGCTCAATTTACATAAGACAAAGCTGTGAATTTCTTGTTTCACCTTGAACAAGGTGGGCTCTATGAGTTAGGATGACACAATTAATAGAATATATAAAATAAGAAAGGAACAAATTCAATATAAACACTCACCCAAAGTTTGTATTCTGTTGTGTTGAAGTTGAAGCGTATGCAGTTCAACGAGACTAAAAGATACAGTACAAATAGAGATTACGATAATAGTTATTACATCAATTATAATATACAACAGACCAGGTACATGTTTTTAAGCATAAAGTGTTATTTAGTCATATCACACTCCATTTTGGGAACTTGCATTATAAATTTGCAAACAAAAATACAACTACTGCACAATGAGTGCACTTTTTTTTTTTTAAGAAACAGTTTAATTAATTTTTTGTGTTCATTTTTTCAAAGTACTTTCAATCGGGTTAATTTTAAATTAAAAAAAATAAATACCTTTCAAGATTGCTGACTGATGTTATTTCATTTCCGTACAACTTCAATTCTTTCAATTCCTGCAAACAGAAAAGAACACAATAGTTCTTTTCTTTCACCTTAATGTGATATTCAATAAAGTTCAGCAATCACCATACTACCACATGACGTTACAACATCTTTGGATATGATGTGGCGTAATGCCTATAGCACTTACAAATATTTTGGTCTAATGGGTTATTTTGTATGCATATGTTTACATTACTATTGTGACAAACTAGCATAATGTGGTGTCATGTGGTGTAAAGGATTCAAGGCATATGCTTACTTGCAAACACTCAAAACAGAACTGCCAACTTGATCAAGTACATAATAGTATGAAAAATACTGTGAAATCATTGAGCATGGTATACTGTCTTTCTCAAGAATAAAAACAATTATATCAGTACTAACGATGATTGGGACCTAACCATCGCTAACGCAAACAGTTTCTCAAATACTACATCCGTTAAACGGCTGCGAGCAGGCTTTAGACTTTATACGTACGCTCGCTGTATTACTTTCTCTCAACAGAGCTGGCACTCGCGCACTCCCTGTGACCTATGGATTCTATGCACGACAGATTCCTCGAACTGCTCTTTGACGTTTGAAAAAAGAACAGCATTTTTTTTTTCAGCACAAATGGACGCAAAACAATGAAAAGCTTGGTGGAACGATGTCTACTTTAAATTAATAGCCCTTAAATCAGTCCATTTCATGAAATTATGAAGACTGCAAATGATCCTATATGCTTTTAAAATGTTTTTGGAAACATCCTGCGACTGAAATGCAATAACATGGATAAAAACTACAATTGTAAGTAAAAAAATAAATATTAGCATTATCACTGCTAGTAATTAGATACACAAAATCATACCTTGTTGTGATGTAAATTTGCAATCTGCCTGATGGAATTACAAGACAAATCCAGCAAGCGAAGATGTGTAAACTGAAAAGATAAACAGATGAAATTATAAAATTACAAAATATTATACACATGGATGCAAATTGGGAGGAAGAAAAATCAACAAGCACATCAGGGTGAGCAAATTTCAACTTCACTTTACTTCCCGTTCAACCAGTTGTATTTACTTTTCTACTACAGAGCTGGGGTCAGCTCCTGTGTCCTTGGGCAAGACACTTATCTACAATTGCCTCGCTCCAGCAATGGGTATAAGTGGGCACCTGTGAGGGTAGAGACCAGATTGCGCTGATCTTGGCTGCAGTGGTCTCATGGCCTGATGAACAGGGGTAATACCTGTGAAGCGCTTTGAGACCAAGCTTTGCTGGAAAGTACTACATAAGCAACACACATTATTATTATTATTAGTGCAGAAATTCGCTTAGCACAGATAACAATAGCAGGTTACCATCCAAAATAACACACACTAAATGTTACTGCTGATTGGTTCCCAGCTAATTTCTACTTATTAAATAGCACATACATTTGCTCAGCAGAATTCTCTGCTTGGCAGGTCCATAATTGTTAGTCAATTTTGAATCTGAGAAAGCAGAAAATAGAAGAAAAAAATAAGCCAGTTTCTCGCTCCGCTTCCTTTTTCCCACCAGCCTCCTTTAAAAAAGAATCTATACATACATGTATGCAATATATTTTGCAATATATATTGACAATATGCAGTCTTTTAATTTGTTCCCAACAATATTTTTGCTATGTAGAAGGGGTAACAGCTCCTTTGAACACAATTTTGTATCAGCAAAAGATTCGAGAAAAAAGAAGAATCCCTCCGCCATCTTGGAAAAATCCTCAATCTTGGGAAAAAGAAGAAAAAAGGCGCACGCTTCCAGTCCTTAATATGTTTAAAAAGCCCAGATGAGAACTATTTTTATTTTTACTCGGCCTTACTAGACACCTTGCACGGAGCGTCCTCACTGAGGACAACTTTTGTTGTTTAAAAGGAAGATACAACACTTGCAAACATCAAAAAACAAAATGATCAAATTACCACGAAATTCTTTACTGGACTGTTAGGGAATGACAGTCTAAAGCATACCCATTCAATCACAACTCCTGGTGTGCTGACATTTTTAAGTAAAGTGGTATTTTTGAATCAATTTCCAATGCTGGTTGGCCGACCAGCATTGGAGAAAACTGGCTTTTTTTCAAAAACTGCTCCTCCTTTTTCATATTGAGTTACTCCGCATTTTCTTTGCAATTAATTACACACTTGTGAAGGGGTACAAGCCTACTAGACTGATTCTTTGACCTTGTAATTCCCCAATGTCTATAAATTGTTTGTTTCATTTTAAGTGGGGTCAGGGAACCTGACCACAAGAACATGATTGGTTTTCTTGGTTTTTCCAGCATCTACAAAATACGAACCCAAAACGTGAAACAAGTCAGTGCAACAATATTTGCTTTAACATTCTATTCCTCCAAATCCATTTATTTCTGAAAAATACAGCCAAAGCAAATGTTGTTCATTTCCTTTAAATTCTGTGTCAATGATAGAACAAAGTGTGTACTCATACATACCACAGAGGAACAAATGGGGTGCAAGAGGAAAAATATGGAATTATTTGGTAATTCAAAATACTTCTTATGCCTGAAAAGCAAACAATCTAGAATCATACCTTTTCCAGATTTGGAATTGTACCAATGTTACATGTGTGTAAGTTGACATCATAAACATCCTCGTACTTTGATTCTTGGCTCATCTCCAGCTACAAACGAGAGAAAATTGGGAAAAAAACATCATAAAGATTTTTTTTAAAAATGAGACAATGTATACGCCAGCGTTTGAAAAGTGGGTGTTCAAATAGGATTGGAAAAGCCTACAATGTGTCCTAAAGATACCCCTCTCAATAAAACCCTGAGCTGTAAAATAATAGTGGGTGGGCTCATGAGCACTCAGGAAACTCTTTTATCAAAATCATGCTAGATCACAGACCAAGCTTATGGCTCTGCTTAACTTGTACAATCATCAGATTTGTATCCCCGCCCGCTTCATTTTTTTTACGGTACATTAACATTTGCAGTTTATTTGGTATTTTATGTGCTTCCAGCTGAATTTTAGAAGTGTAGAATATGGTAGAAAGGGGGACAGCTCCCCCAGAACACAAAAGCATCAGCAAAAGAGTCAAAATAAAGAAAGGATCCATGTTGCCTCTTGGAAAAAAAAAGGGAAAAGAGGGGTCACCTCCTCCCTTTAAAAAAAAAAGAGGGGTCACCTCCTCCATTTAAAAAAACCCACCAAACGAGAAACTACCTAACTACATGTACATGTGTGTATTTTGTTTACTAGATCTACCATTTTAATATTTCAGAACCAGAAATGCACCATAGGAGGGATGATTTGGCAAAGTAACAAGAGACTTGGGATTAATTTAACTAAAGCCATTATGAACATAAGTCTGTTTGAAAACGGTCCTCCTAATACTCACAATTTCTTGAGGTGACATCGTTTGGCATTTTGAATTTGGCCGTCCTGATGCTGCGCCGCTTTCAGATGGAACGTCAATGAATTTCACATCCTGTCCTTCATTGTTGGCATTTAACTCTTCTTCATTGTGATTGTCAGCCACTTGTCTGAGGGAATTTGGTCTTCTGCAAAATAAAAGTAGGGCCTAATGTTTTATTCTTGGTGGTGTATATTTGACTGTGAACCTGTACCTGATTTTGTTTTGGCCCTCGTATCGGCACTTTCACTGTTTATTCACAGTGAATGTTTTGGGGACTTAAAAGGTTTACCGTCAATACCGTGAGGAACCTTCAATTCATCTGGTTCTGCGCTTACACTGTCATAGTGACTTCATATTCAGGGGATGGGAATCAGACCTAATGCAATTTCGAACTTCAAAAATTTCTCTTTCAAAAAAAGTCCTCCGGAGCCACAAAACAGAAAGCAAAGATGAAATATTCTAGGATGAAATGTAGGATTTTATTTAAAACAATAAAGGGAGAAAACCTGTACTTTTGGGAATGCTTTCTTTCAAAGTGTCAAGTTGGGCTATGGGTCTTGAACTAGGGACCTTTAGCTTTAGTCCTACATTTTCCCATTGAGCCACACATGCATATGCTCAGTTCCAATTGATAATGATAAATAATATCTTCTATGACGTCCATGAATAGGTACGCAGGTCCAGAGGAAGCGCTGGCACAAAAGTGGAAGAATGAGGGACTGGTTCAAGGTACATGTACAGTCATTTTTCTAGTTGTTTTCCTAGTTCCGGATCGCTTTAAATGAAATCCTACCTCTTTTGGATTGGTTTCCAATACTATTTTTTTCCGACTAAAGTGCGTTTTGAAAAGTCAAATGTAAGCTTCTTGATTCACAAATATCTTTTTGATAACATCTCGGGAAGAATTCCATATATACAATGTACATGACTGTATGAACATCACTTATTTGCAGAGATGCCACAGGGTCTGCTTGAAAAAAACGGAACTGGGTCTGCTTGAAAAAAAAAACGGAACGGCTGCTTGAAAAAACGGAACTTGTTTGTGTGTGAAAAAGCCACTCCGTGTCCGACACAAAGTCCCCGTTGTCATCTTTATCTTGTAGCCAAATAAGCCAAGTTCTGTTTATTTTTAAATTTTGCTTCTATGGCCTTTAAAGCTGTCGGTTCGTTCAATCACTTTGACTTTTTCCATATTCCTAATATTTATTCTGCCTACCCGAATTTCCAACGTAATGTTCGACACGAAACATGCACGATTCCACAACACTGCTGTCGGTGTACGTGATCCTTGCACTACGCGATGCGCTCAACGAAAACATGGTTGGTACCCGCATTTTTTGTATTCACATATATCACTGCGATTGGAAACCACCGATAGCTGAAATGATAGACTTGATTTCCAGGCTGAATGCTACGTGTGCTTAGCGCACAACACGCCCGCACGCAGTGAAGCACGCGCGAGGCGCCGTTGTACACTGCGTGCAAGTACGTTGGCCGCTTGTATCGTTTGCTGGCTCGGCAATAACATACACAAAGACTGTTTTTAAGACTACTTCAACGAACAACGTTGTGCCATGCGTGCACCTAAATGTACTAAATCGAGGTAAAAATCAACGCATTTCCACAGTTTTTCTTCTCTTTTTCTGGTTAATTTGACGGCTGGAAAAAACAGAATTTTGTGAGATTTTTTTAAAAACCGGAATTCCGGTTAAAACCGGAAAAGTGGCATCTCTGTATTTGTCCCTGCAGTGAGTATCAGCCATTAGAAAGCGATAACATTAACATGTCCTAGAAAGTCAAATTTAGCAGGGAAAATATTAAAGCATTTACTGAGAAAACACTTTGTAGAATTTTTCAGACCAGTCTCAAATTCATACCAGTTAGTGCACAGGGTGGCAAGTGATGTCCAGGTATGGAATTCTTTCCAAAATGTCTAGTTAAGGAATTTTGGCCAGGCTTGCGAGTTGCACTTTCATGACTTTGACATTGCTTGGACAGTTGGTAATAGGCCCTAGTAGAAATTCGCGGGGGTCGGGAATCGACAATAAATTTTCTGGAAAAAATGTTGCAACCTGACGTCACTTTTTTCTTCATATCATCTCAACGAAGGTCAGTCATTGCAAAAATGATGAGACATGAATCTGGGACTGAGAAAAAGTTTGTTAGGAAATTAGCCCCACTAATGTGGCTGCGGTATGCTGCGCTGAACCTCTGGCCACACACCATGGTACCGCACACTACTAAAAATTACAGGCAGTTTCTTACATTGTATTCTATGATGTCCCATCTATCACTTCTGGGATGCTTAGGTGTAATGATGTTCAATTTTCCGAGATATTCTTGAATCTTTCTGGAGCCCATATGCACTCGTGAAACGTCTGGTGATGGCAGCCATTTTGAATGTGACATGCAAGAGATGACCTCAAGCTGTGACGTCGCGTTTATGCAAATTGCTTGTCGAGCGAGGGCGCGACTTGCAAATGCGACGGATGTTTCCTGTACCATGCATTTATCGTCTGGGGGCCACGTGCACTGATCTCTATTCAGGATCCACGGCACAGGAAACAGCCGTCGCATTTGCAACTCGCGCCCTCGCTCGACAAGCAATTTGCATAAACGCGACGTCACAGCTTGGGGTCATCTCTTGTCACATTCAAAATGGCTGCCATCACCAGACGTTTCACGAGTGCATATGGGCTCCAGAAAGATTCAAGAATATCTCGGCAAATTGAACATCATTACACCTAAGCATCCCAGAAGTGATAGATGGGTGTCGGACGCTTCGCCCCATTTCCACGTCGCCCCATGTCACTTCGCCCCTAACCACTTCGCCCCATCCCCACTTCGCCCCATCCTCGCTTCGCCCCATCCCCACTTCGCCCCATCCCCGCTTCGCCCCATCCCCGCTTTGCCCCATCCACACTTCGCCCCATCCCCACTTCGCCCCATGTAGATTGGTTCCTCCAAGAGTGAAATTAGATGTCAAAGGTATTGTCGTTCTCAGATAAGTGGGAGACGGGTTGGTATAGCCGGGTTGGGAACAAAGTTGGATCTTTTACTTTTAGTTCAAGCTTTTTTTCTCGGTAGGGGAGAGTGATAGCTTGACTGGTTGGTTATGAATTGTTCATTTGGTGGGCTAATTCTTTCCGTTGGTTAGCAATTAGTGAATCTGTTGGAATTGTTTTTAAGCCAATAAAATAGATGAGATTTTTTTTACATGTAACGGCTGGGGCGAAGTGGGGATGGGGCGAAGTGGGGATGGGGCGAAGTGGGGATGGGGCGAAGTGGGAATGGGGCGAAGTGGGAATGGGGCGAAGTGGAGATGGGGCGATGTGGGGATGGGGCGAAGTGGGGATGGGGCGAAGTGGTTAGGGGCGAAGTGACATGGGGCGACGTGGAAATGGGGCGAAGTGTCCGACATTCTGATAGATGGGACATCATAGAATACAACCATATGTAAGAAACTGCCTGTAATTTTTATGAAAACGTCCTCAGTAGTGCGCGGTACCACGGTGTGTGGCCAGAGGTTCAGCGCAGCATACCGCGGCCACACTAGTGGGGCTATTAGGAAATCGAAGTGGCTATCGTTACGGCAGTCGTTGTTTAGCGCCCTCTACGATTCTTTTTTGATACGCACGCAGGTATATAATTATTTGTTTCCACGCATTAAAGCGAGCAGTGCGTCAGCTCAGGCGGTAGAGGGTAGGATTTTGCACCGCGAGGTTGCGGGTTCGAATCTCAGTTTTGCACTCAATTTTTTTTCTTTTTCTAACCTGAGGCTTTGGAGGATTTTTTTAAAAAGGGAAATAAAGTCCGAATTTCATAACGTTCAAATTCACTTTTTTCCTTCTAATTTTATATTTTCTTGTCATGTTTTATAAAAGTTGCAGTCTACCGTAACGATAGAAAATGGGAAATGCGTTACGGCTGCCGTAACAATAGCCACTGCGTTAGGAAATAGGCTTAGAAAATTTTCTTGCCTCTCCATAGACTTTGTACACAACCGCTGAAGTGGCGTCAGTGTGCAACATTTTTCCAATTTTCACCTTCGTGCATCACTCAGAAGGTGTAGATATTGAGCTGTCTTGCTTTGCATCATTACCTTTGTCGCACACGATCCGTCACATCCACATCACTTGCGATCCGCCGTCCACCGCGGCCTGTTGCTGTCCGTTGTTGTCGTTGACTTCTTGTTGGACATGTTGGAGGCTCGGTTGTGCTCTTTCCACGTCGAATATCGGCCGTTTGATTGACCATGGAAGGACTTGACATCAGCTTCGATTTGGTTGAAAGGCTCCGGGGCTTTAAAGCAGCCATCGAGATGATTTTACTGTCTGAGCAATGCGATTCGTTTGCAGTATTTTCCGTTGTCAATAAACATCAATGGAAGCTGCCATTTTATTGAACTGACACTTGTCAAACGCTTGAGGGCGCTATACTGTTCAGATTATACGGCTAACTGTTCATCAGATGTGTTGATTGCGCTCATCACAAGAAGCAATGATTTTTTTCGTTAGGATTATAATATTTGTTGAAGTAGGCCTACATACTATAGTTGAAGGCTCCCCAGCGGCCCAGAGAATTTTTCGCAAAAAGGGGAGGGGTGCTGCAGAGTTGTAAAGACTCGAGTCAATGCGTGACTTGTCGGAGTCCGACTCGAGTCACAATTTTTGGCGACTCGAGTGCCAACGGGCAACTGACTCGACTCGAGTCTCTGCAGGATACACGCAAGGTTGCGCGCACATCCCGTACAAAAATGCGGGTGAAATCTTTGTATACTGTTTGTTCACCGTTTAGTAACTTATGGACCCTTTTGAAAGTTAGGCCTACGAAACAACCTATATAAAATATGGTGATGATCCAATGGCCCATTACCCCTCCCTCCCCGGGTAAAAAAAATGTTGGGGGAGAATTATCCCTCCCCCCCCCCCCCCGGATTGACACCCATGCTCTTTTCAAATTTCTGGTTTGCATATTTCATAAAGGGAAACATTACTAGAACCTGTCTTGCATCTATCGTAGATGATCGCCCTTAACCATCCCGAGTAAAAAAACCCGCAAACGCTGACGGCCAGACTATAGACGCCAGACGCGGGATTATCACCTATAGGGCTTTATTTGAGGCCTAGCAGGGCCAAGATCTCGGCAACTGTGGGGAACATGTACGTTTGGAGATGACGTTTTAATAACTTAATTAGCTATGAACCCGTATGCCACGCACGTGTTATTCGTTGGGGAAAAACTGCAAGGAGTTGGAGACATTACAACTTCAGAAAGTTGACCTGCAAATCATTTTTGATGCTTGAACGTCTGTACCAATAAGTTAGAGCCGGAGTGCAGAATAAAAGTTGAAACAGAATCAGTCCAAGGGCGGATGGGGGCAACGGGGGCCATGCCCCCCCCCCCCAAATGACGTCTCAATAAAGGCAGGCACTGCGTACACCACCATCTTTTCCTCAAACAAATTGGTCAAAGTAGTCAGAAATTGCCTCAGATCGCACCACAGAGCATCTACAATCCAAAAAAAAATTCGGGGCCCTTATACAAAATATGTACGTCTTTTTAAGAAAAATCTGTGAACCTTTACGGGGCCCCGAACCAAACCTCACGCCGTACTTATTTGGACCCACTTTTTGGGGGACCATTTTTTTTTAGCCCCCCCCCCATAAAAAAATGTGTTCTGGATCCGCCCTAATCAGTCCAACAGATTTTCTAAAATTTTCCATAAGGAAAATACGATATCCCACACAAATTTTTCATTGATATGGTCGATGTCTTAATTCAAATTTCTTCACTTGTCTTGAAGTTTAAGCATAAGTCTAACCTATACTAGCCCATGTCATATCTGTTTGCTTTTAGGGGGGGGGGGAGGGGGGGGGGAGAGGGGGAAGCGTTCGAGTTGTCGTCTGGTGGCACGACTATAAAAAGAATGAGTAAAATAAAATGGGTATGAGATATTAATATATGTGCAGTACCAAAGAAGCATCAGAATTGTATTGCATGTACGTTTTCATGATGTTACGGTTTTGGACTCATCGACCACTTTCTAAATGTTGGGACCAGTCGGTTATACATTGTATAGAAATTTCCCCATACAATAATTGTAAGGCTTATCATGGCCTCGGGTGGTTGGACCAGTACCCCCACCCCTATTCTCTCGCCTCTTTCATAATCCAGTTTCCTTTTCATACCTATAGTCAAGCTATATCAATTTAAAAATGAATCAATCAGTCATGTCTGACAGACGCTATTATGTGGAGCTGCACACTGGCGTACCCAAAAGAATACTGCTGGACAAATCTGTTTCACAACAAAAAAATGGTACTTATTTACAATCCAAGGACTGCCAACTCTTTTTTTGCGCTCATGCTTAATATCTTTGGCCTCGATTCTTCAAGCGCGGGCCTGCTTGTACAAATACCCTATTTATATGCTAATCTCTCGCCAAGTCTAGAAATTCTTCCACCCGGCCCCGTAAAGGTTCACAGATTTTTCTTAAAAAGACATGTACATATTTTGTGACGGCTTATTTGTCCCAGTGTGTTGCGAATGGTTTTGTTCACAATAGACGTACCCTGCAGAGACCGTCTGCGGTATAGTTGCAGTAGAGCGCAGCAAGATGGAGACCAATGGCGGGCCTAAAGCTAAACCAGCCGATGACGACCAGACTATCCCCCTCCAGAAGTACAAGACTAGCCTGTACATGAACTCCGATGATGGGCCACACAAGCTTCAACCTGCCGGACCGGTTCGTATATTCATCTAGCTGTATACATTATTTGGGAAGAAGGGAAGAACTAAACAGCCATGCTATAAAATCACCACTGATTACAGAACTTATCCATGTTGGTGATTTTCCATTTAGGAATTTCATGTTATACTTTCAAACTTCTTTCTTCCATGAATAATACTACATCGGTGGCAAAGGGGTTCGAATGAGAATCTATAGAAGCTAATATAAGCTTTTGCGACATTTCCAACTCGGGAGGAATTGAAGCTCATGATCTGGACGGACATTTGGGCGCCTGTTAGCTCCATAAATGTGGCCTATTTACTGGACTACCTCCGTAAACATAGGCCACACATCCACATGTACAAAAACGTGTCGCACTTTGCCAAATTTTGATTTTCACATTTAGGCTTAGTTTGTAGGTTTTTTTGCTTTAGAAGCATACTCACCCTCTTTATAGGCTAATCAGAAAGTGCTGCCTTTTTCAGATGTCTATTTTTCGTGAAATTTCCAGATTTATTTGCACACGTTTGCGTATCAAAATTTCAACATGAAATTTCACAAAAATTAGACATCTGAAAAAGGCAGCACTTTCTGATTAGCCTATAAAGAGGGTGAGTATGCTTCTAAAGCAAAAAAACCCTACAAACTAAGCCTAAATGTGAAAATCAAAATTTGGCAAAGTGCGACACGTTTTTGTACATGTGGATGTGTGGCCTATGTTTACGGCGGTAGTCCAGTAAATAGGCCACATTTATGGGGCTAGGCGCCTGTATGCAATTGCAGTGGTTTCTTCTCATATACTTAATTGTAAGGACGTTTTACAGGCCTGTTTACTACTGCGTATGCGTAACCGACTCGCGAAAGACATTTTTATGCCCCGCGGCATACTGTTTCCACCTTGTCCTTCCGTGGGTGGGTGGGTGGGTGGGTGTGTGTGTCCGGACAAATCTTGTCAGCGCGATAACTTGAGAAATACTTAACATATGAACTTCAAATTTGGTTTGTGGATTGTCCTTGGTAATCCTAAGAAGCCTTTTGCATTTGGGGCCGAAAGGTCAAGGGTCAAGGTCACAGTGGCTGAAACAATAGACATTTTGTCAGTGCGATAACTTGAGAAATACTTAACATATGAACTTCAAATTTGGTTTGTGGATTGTCCTTGGTAATCCTAAGAAGCCTTTTGCATTTGGGGCCGAAAGGTCAAGGGTCAAGGTCACAGTGGCTGAAACAATAGACATTTTATCAGTGCGATAACTTGAGAAATACTTAACATATGAACTTCAAATTTGGTTTGTGGATTGTCCTTGGCAATCCTAAGGAGCCTATCGCATTGGGGGTCGAAAGGTCAAGGGTCAAGGTCACAGTGGCTAAAACAATAGAAATCTTGTATTTATTCTGAGATCATAGAGATTAGGGATTAATTCATATAAAACCTACAGAAGACACTAATGCTGTCAATGAACGTTCCATTTGACCAAGGTACATGTAAGTTGATGTTAGAGTGGTGTTATGTCATAAAAACAGTCACGGTTGCGGGGCATTTGTGTTTGTAAACACACCTGACTTGTTAGTCTATAAGATAGGGCCTACTTTCTTCTTGCGAATCAAACTCTACCACATCACTAAACCACACACTAACATCATAAAAGAAGAAAGGGCAAAGGTATAAGAAAGTTATTAATTGAGGCTATTGCAAACTATGCAAACAACAAACCAATCAAATTTAACCAAACTTCAAAGTACGTCGTAACACTTCCTAAGTTCATTGGCATTTTTTTTTTCAAAGGGGGCCGAAGTAATTACCATTATTTAAAACAATGTGTGGATCGCAAATCAAACCAAAAAACTTGACGAGTCACCATCGTATCCTTTCGAGAATCGGTCACCGTTCGTCAATTAAAATAAAACGGTATTAGTCGACACATAGGCCTTTATAAGAGATATGATTCCAATAATATTCCATTCGGAAAGAATGTTGCAACCTGACGCTTCTTCAGCAGTTGTGTACAAAGTCTATGGAGAGCCAAGATAATTTTCCAAGTATTTCCTAACAAAATTGGCAATGTTTCTCAGTCCCAGATTCATGTCTTATCATCATTTTTGCGATGACTGACCTTCATTGAGATGATCCATGAAGAAAAAAGCAGCGTCAGGTTGCAGCATTCTTTCCTTACATTCGTACTACCGTACAACATATCCACAAATATACCTCCTGTGTTTAGACGGCCAGTAAGAGGGCACTGGTTTTGTATTGCGTGGATAGGTATGAGTTGAAATCTTTTGTGCATTCATTGTTACAAGATTAAAATTGCATAAATCCCTACTATCTTTTACTAGACAAAGTCCGTCAAAATCCATCAAGCACACTGCTTCCAATGCATGCTTTGCTTGAGGCCTCCAAGCCCAATTCCATCATACTCCATCAATATTCAGTCAAACCAGGCCTGCAGTACCAAGTCCCTCAAAATCCACTAAAATGGGGGGGGGGGGGGGGGGGGGTGGGGGATTTTTTGATGGAGTTGGGAGGTTAGGGTTAAAATAACTGCAGTCTCTGAGAGACCCGCAACGCATAAAAATCTATTGCAAATCTAGTCACAACAGTTGAGTGTGCTACACAAATTACAACTTCAGTTCAACACTACGTCGGTGAATGGCAAAACCTAATGTTAAAAAAAAAAAATTCAGTACACGTACTGGGAAAAATCTGATAGAATGTCAAGTATGCATCTCAACAAAGGAACCTTCGTCGCAGCACCTGCCTGCGCGTGTACATGCAGACTTCTCCACACAAACTTCTCATTGTCTCCGTTTACCGTGGAATCATACATAGTAGTGACTTTAAAATGAACAAATTGCTTTTGAAAAGACCGTCACACACACATGCCCTTTCTAAAATTACCAATGCATGCAATTTTTGATCGAAGTTATTTTAAACACTGTGTACCCCCTATTGAACATTAGGATTGTCATACATACGTCCTACGCTGTTTGTCCGTCTGTCTTTGTGTCACTTTTTTGTGTAAAAGGCCTAAAGGAATGTGCAGAGGTACAAAGTACAAGGGTTAATGGAAAGGTAACCAGTGTATGCAGTTTCTACGATTTCACTGTCCCCTAGCCCTGAAGTCACGGTTGGCTCGCGAAAAAAATGATTTGTTTGGTTTGGTTTGCTTTGCTTTTTGGCAAATTTGTTTCTTTCGCATTTTGAATAGATAAATATTACAACTTTATCTCTATGAAAATTCTCCAAACGTATCGCTTTTACGCAATAAAATGTGGCAAAATTGCTTCACCAAGGTTTACCACGCCCACTTGGAGTCAACATGCAAATTGAGGTAAAAGTAATACATTATTATATGACTCCACCCACGGCATCCCGCTAGTGTATAATGATGCAGTAATTGCACTGAAGTGTGAGACATCTTGGCGAAGGTGCATAGAAAATTTGCCTTGAATATCAGATTTAACTTTAAGGCCTCAGTCAATGTCCTTCAAACCAATTCAGTCTACACATTCTGCATACTAATCTTAATTCTCTTGATTCGTCTGGTGCGCTTCGATACACAAGGTTCATGAGGTTTAGGGACTTCTTCACGCTGACTTCGCGCTGGATTACATGGTTGAATTCATGCACGGGATATCATTGGAGTTACAACAAAACACAAACGCCGCACGATTATACACTCCTCTCGTTTCAGAACTACAAGACGGCCTTGTATACCAAGACAGATAATGGCGATCTAGTGGAACTTGGTTTACATGATACCGATGACATGGCTGATTACGGCAAGGTATGAACGGGACGAAGTACAATCCTCAATAAAAAGAAGTTGAAATTTGTATGGGTTACAAGCAGCGCACTGGCAAGTTTCATCTTCGGCAATTCCGGGCACATAGGCAAAGGGTGTAGAAAAAACTTCTTGCATATAACGGAGGAATCGGCTTATCTAAACTCAGTGACAATAAAAGTAAAAAGTTTCAAATGGCTATCAAAGAGGTTCACAGTGCTGTCCCCTGTGAGGGCGCTCCACGCATGGGGCATACCTCAGCGGTCAGCGTTCTATAGCAATATATCTTCTCTCATTAGGACACAGATACACATGGACAAGGTATAGAAAGAAAACCATGCCAGCAAAGAAGCTTTCCACAAAACAGGCATGGTCCAACTTCGATTACGTTCATCTGATATGCGAGTATTGTCCTCGGTTGTTCAGTAAGCAACCTTGCGCAGCTCAAAACCCAGCCTATGGAAGTTTTGCCCCTAGTCTATAATCGCAACAGTCTTTAATATAGCATGCACAGCGATTGGTCTGAGGACGGCTGGCCTTGAACACTTTGAAAAGAACTAAGTCTTTAGGAGCAAAAGCCAAATTCATGACAAACAGTCCCTGCTCCAACGGAAACAATTTGCAACTCCTTAACCCTAAAAGGGCCGGGGGGGGGAAGAATCCGCCCCCCCTCAACATTTTCCGCGATAGCCTCTAAACAATTTTTTTTCGCGACCCGAGCTGTTATGACTTTTTAGCCTCGAGCTTTGCGCATCTTTTGATACCAAAAACAGAAAAATCGGAACACGGGTTGCCGCGTAGCGAAAAATGTTTCGGCGCTACGCGCCGTGAAAAATGAATTTTCGCATATACGTCGTGTACACAGAGCAGAATTGCCATTCGTACATATGAATAATTAACTAGCCATAATTCCAAAACGCTTTGAGTATGTTTAGGAAGAGTTGCTCTATGCATGTACTGAGTTTCAAAATTTTTCGTCACTCGATGGCCGAGATCTTGGGGGGGGGGGGGGGGGCGGAATCCCCCCCCCCCCGGCTGAGAGATGGTCAAAATAACCCGGCCCTTTTAGGGTTAAGATGTAAACTTTTTGGAGCTGTGATAAAGGACATTGGTGAATTTCAAGGACCGTTGTGGCCTTCCTTTTAGCGAAATAACACCATTATAGGTTGTATTTAGGATTTTCTTATTAAAGCGTAATAATTATCCCTTACGCAACATCATAAAGACACATTTTCTAAAAAAGTGTCTACTCACACTTATTTTTACAATTTTCAACTACAGTGGATCACTTTGAGTTTAAAAAAAAAAAATGAATTAGCATTTATTCACGGTAATTAAATCCGCCTCAAAATCCAAACTAGGGCTTTTTTATGGGTCCTTCGTGCACAAAAGGCCCGACACGAGCAACACAGTCTGGATGGTCGCAGTTCAATCCTAAACACATTCTATTATCTGAGAAATAGTAGAACCATTCAAAGCTAAAAACCCGACGCAAGGTTACTGCGCAAAGAGGGAATGAACATCTCAATACGATAACTTATATTATCCCCGGGCGAGGTTGACTTGCGCCCTGATTCAACACATGGGAATACTGGCAAGGGGCAGCCAGCCAGGAAAAAAACCCAGTTCTTACGATTTTTTTAGGCGGCAATCGAACTGCCACACTGAAGGCGAAGCAGGGTTTAAAACTACTTTTAAAATATATATACATTTCCCCACAAGAGTAGGATATACATGAACCTTCCTGTAAAATAATTAAGTCTACAACTTGGGCAGTGGCGTAGCACGGTCATTTTTATTGGGGGTGGGGTAAACAATTCTTAAAAAGGGCACCGTGCTGAAATGTAGACACGTTTTTCCCCCCTGGACACTTTGCCTCCGTAAAATCAAATAGTGGAGGGGGGGGGGGGGGGGGGGCTGGTACCATCTGTCTTCAAAACCGACAATTGTGCATCTAATAGACACTATTATGGTGTTTTTCAGGACGATACATGCACGTAAATCATAAAAACAGGCACCCGGAACGGCCGATAGGACACAAAAGGACACGACTTCTTTTTAAAAAGGGCACTTGTTCAGAAAAAAAAAGGCGCTTGATAAAAAAATGCTTTACAAAATATTTGGGGGGAGGTAAGCGATGGTGAAAACAGGGCATTTGAATGGCAAAGGGCAATCTGTAGAACATATTGGGGGGTAAATACCCCCCTTACCCCCGCTGGCTACGCCTATGTTGGAAGGAGGTACCAACGAAACTTAATAATGCTTAACCAGCATTAAGGCTTCATCTCGCAGCCGTTTACCAAGGAACAGTCTACCAAGGTTCATTACTTTATACGCAAATTTCTCAAATTTCTCAAATTTGTAAAATGTCAAGTTTCTTGTCAAATCACATGTAATTTGAAGTTTATGGACATCGTTTCGGGTGCAGAAAGCATGGCGACGAAGCGTGGATCTGTCTCCGCTAGGAGCTTCTTTGATACGAGTACACTTTGCTAAGCTTCTTTGCAACGAATTTTGAAACAAATTATTGTAGTTGAGTTATGAAGAGAACGGAACCGTCTAAAAGTTGTCTTTGTTCAGACGACTAACGGGCAGTCATCTCTGATGAGTGGCGTCACTAGGCAAGGCTTATGGTATGAAGATGTGCATTGGCATGGACCTCCCCCCCCCCCAAAAAAAAAAAAAAAAAATCGGCGGCCGCGATATATGCCTGTCTGTCTAATGTATGTTATCTGTGTGTCCCGTTCTTTTGAAAATGCCTAAGACATGTGGAAACACAGGCTTAGTTGTGTCTTACATAGCTCCAGCGTGGTTGTATATATATGCTCCGATTTCACTTCACTCTGAAGTCACGGTTGGTACGTGAAAAAAAGAATTTTTGTTTGTTTGTTTGTTTTTTTGGGGGCAAATTTGTTTCTTTCAGACTTTGAATAGTTAAATATTACAACATTATCTCTATGAAAACACTCAAAAATGCATCGCTATTACGCAAAACATAACATTGACGAATGATGATGAAATAGCTCCATCAAGGCTTACCACGCCTCCTTGGGGTCAACATGCAAATTAAGGTCAAAGTAAACATTAGTGTATGACTCCACCCAGCTAGCGGGTACCGCGCGAATCCCTGGATTTCTGAATCAGGAAAAAAAAGTCATGCTCAACCGAACCACTACATTCAAACGTGCACAATGAGGTCAATTAGTTTTTAAGAAAGAAGTAAGAGGCACCGAGGCACAAATAGAAATTTTCCCCAGAAATCGATTCATTTCATGTTCTGGGCTACTTGTCCCGAATTAAGTTGTTGAATCTCGACTGCAATCGGCCAAAGCAACACTGATAACATCCAACAGTGGAAGTATAGTGCCAGAATTAACTTAGTATTACAAATTATAATAATAACTTTATTAAAATTAGTAGCATTGTTTCACTTTAGCTCTTGCTTGATGACAATTACTTATAGGGAAGTATACCAATGTCAGATGATTTTACAACGATCATGGTTAAGTCAATGTACAAAATTGATAGAAATACACCAAGAGCAATTAGCATTGAAACAACTATGGCTTCTGTCTTTACCAGCTATGATCATTGATTGAGTAATGGAAGTTAATAATTTGTTCGGCAAATTAAACTTGTTGGAGCATGAAATCGTGTATTTTTCTTCCAGCGAGAGGGCCTCAACTTCCAGCAGACTATCTTCCTTATTGCCGGTTACTGCCCGGGATTTGCGGCGACTATCATGATGGTAGCCATCGTACATACAGGTACAAAGTGAAATCAAGTTGTGTAAAGTTATATATCCATGCAACAAATCAAAGTTGAAATTCAACTGCTATTTTTGTCACTACTTAAACAAAATGAAGCAATAAGCTCTGCAAGAGAAATCAAACAAATAATTGTAGGATAAGTAATTTTGATAAGACCAAACAGATTAAACAGTTCATTTTTCCCCTTCGAAATAGTTTTAATATTCTGGAACAGCACATCAATAATTGCATTGATGGCTTCATGCCTTTCACGTTATTTCTTTATACCAAGTTAAACCATAGCGTGTTATGCATGCATGGTTTAATTCAATTCTTCAAACAAAATATTAAGTCAGTTGTAATTCGCTGCAGATTAAGGAACCATGAAATTAAAACAAGGACCGGTTTCTAAATAATTTCTCTCCAGGTTGGGTTGGCTTCATCGTGTTCGCGGCCATCGTCTTTCTGCTGGCCTATGCCTCCATTTTGCTTGGAAATTGTTGGAATTTGGTGCGAGTCACGTGGTTTGAGGACCTGAATCCGTACGGCGCCATAGCCTACGAGGCGTGCGGGAGCTGGGCTAGGTGAGTGGCTTTCTCACTTCAAATGGTCTATTTGTAAATGTTGTAGTATAATGCAACAATAAAAACAACAACAAAAGGGCGATTCTTCAGAAATTGAAACTAAATTAAATTTTTGGGAATTTTTTTTTATTAGGTGTAATAAAAATGATTGTTGTTCACTAAAGTGTTGCTAGTAAGGAAAAATGCAAATTTCTTAAGATATTTCATAAGTTTCTTAAGTCGTTCTGTGCTTAAATTAGCATAATTTTAATTAAAGAATGTCACACACGTGACCGAAGAACTATTCCCATTAAGTGAAACTAAAGCAGAGGGTGTACATTGTTATGCATGCTGTAAATCACAAAAGACTAGTCTTACTCCAAAATAAGTATGGGCATGTGTGTCCTTAGAACTTTGGAGAAAAGCGTGAATTTCTGGTATGGGCCGGAGAACATTTTTACGTCTGATGTCACACACGTGACCAAACTTTGATGACCCCTCCTAATATTTGACACAATTTGTTGAATTAGAAACTATAATCTGATGAGGTAAGTATGTAAGATGTGGTTTAAAAGGGGCAAAGCTTAAAACAATCAGACGAGCCCAATTTTACGCCACACAGTGACCCCCCAAAAAGAAGAAGCACAAAACCATCGTCTGAAAATCACTTTTAACTTTTTTTCAACAAACATTCTTCTTGCAGCAATTTTAAAGCCATTTTGTCAATCTTTATGGAGCATTTTCTAGTGGTAACTATGGCCCCTAAATCATTATAAATGACAGTTATCAGCACTTGTGGCCAGTTGGCCGACTTTGATGCCAATTGCGAATCTGGCCATGGGTACATTGCTCCTTGTTTACATCATAGTGGTTTTCATATCCACTTTACACATGATGCTTCCTTAACTCCATGGAGATGTTAGCAAGTCCTCACAAGTCATGAAACAGACTCAAGGCAAAATGAAAATCTTAAAAAAGTTACAACATCACTCCCTTTAATTGTTCATGTGGGTAACTAGGATAAGGTCCTGAGCATTTTCTCAAATCCAAGGGGGCCCATTTTCTCACATGCTAGAAGGAGGGGCTATTTTTCTCACATTCTAGTGGGAGGGGCTCATTTTCTCACACTCTATTGGGAGGGGCTCATTTCTCACATTCTAAGGGGAGGGGCACATTTTCTCACATTCTAGGTGGAGGGGCTAATTTTCTCACATTCTATTGGGAGGGGCTCATTTCTCACATTCTAAGGGGAGGGGCTCTTTTTCTCACATTCTAAGGGGAGGGGCACATTTTCTCACATTCTAAGGGGAGGGGCACATTTTCTCACATTCTAGGGGAGGGGCTAATTTTCTCACATTCTAGTGGGAGGGGTTAATTTTCTCACATTTATATGGGAGGGGCTAATTTTCTCACATTCTAAGGGGAAGGGCTCATTTTCTCACATTCCAAGTGGAGGGCACATTTTTTTCACATTCTAAGGGGAGGGGCACATTTTCTAACTTTATTTGGGGAGAAGACTCATTTTGTGACATTCTTAGGGAAGAGAGCTCACTTTTCTCGCATTCTGAGGGGGAGGGGCTCATTTACCCACATTAAACGGGAATCATTTTTTTCATATGCTAATAGCAATAAGGGGTTAATTTCCTCATTGGGTTCAAGAGTCCACACTGATATCTTGCGTATGAATTTGCGTATGAGCTTAGTACACCAGTTACTGAAATAATCAATGCATCGTTTTTTCAATGCAGCGTTCCGGTTCAGTGGAAACAAGCCGACATTGTTCCCATACCTAAGCAACTCCCGCCTACTTTACATAAACTTAGGCCCATCTCTTTGACTCCATTACTGGCAAAAATTGCTGAAGGTTTTATTTGTAAATGGATCATGAACTCTATCCAACCCAATGTCGATAAAAGGCAATATGGCAATCAGAAAGGAATCTCCTTTATCATAACCTAGTCTCTGGTGCTTGTGTTCCAAATAATGTTAGTACCCTGGTGCTCACAGATTTTACTAAAGCCTTTGATTTGGTAAACCGTGAAATTGCTGTTGACAAACTGTTGGAGTTGGGTGTATCGCCTGCTATTGTGCAATGGATTGTTAGTTTCCTAACTGGTCGTCAACAAAGGGTAAGGTATAAACAAACATTTTCTGATTGGCATACTCTTTCTGGGGGTGTGCCCCAAGGTACTAAACTCGGACCTGTTGTATTCCTTGCCTATATTAATAACGCCGTTGACTGTACTCAGAATAAATGCTGGAAATATGTAGATGATCTCACTCTCAGCGAAAATAGACACATTACTGGTGTAAGCAGGATTCAGGCAGATTTAAACAATCTCAATGACTGGGCATTGGCAAACAAAATCCAATTGAACCCTTCTAAATGTAACACCATGCAGGTGTACTGTGGGAAAAAAGATCCTCCCTTCGTTCAATATTCCATTTCTAATGTTCATCTTCAACAGGTTCCCAGTGTGAAGTTGTTAGGTGTTACATTGCAAAACAACTTAAAATGGGATGCCCATGTCATGGAGATTGTTAAAAAAGCCAACATGAAACTTTTCATGCTTAGGAAACTCAAAATGACAGGGTTAACTGACAAAGAGCTTGTGACCGTGTATAAAGGTTATATTAGGCCTGTTATAGAATATGCTGCCCCATTGTGGCACTCGGGCATCACCACAACTCTTTCTAATCTATTGGAATCAGTACAAAGAAGAGTGTGCCACATTATATTGGGTCAAAAATATACTGGATATGAACAAGCTTTGACCAGTTTTGGTTTGGAACCCTTGGACATGCGCAGAACCTCCCTTTGTAACAAATTTGCAATGAAATCCTTTAACTCAAGCAAATTCTATGAGTGGTTTGTCAAATCTAAAAGCACCCATACTTTGAATCTCCGGTCCAAACGAACACTTCATGTTCCATCTTGTAAAACAACCCGTTTTTATAATAGCCCAGTCCCATATCTCAACAGACTTGTTAATAGCGCACTCAGTTCACTCCCACCAGCCCAATGAAATTACCGGTTCTTTTTAGCATAGTACATGTATTGTTTTTCTGTGCAATTTTTGATATGTATACTATATTTTTTGTACTTACAATTTTCCTTTGTTTTTTTGCCGTTTACTCTTTGTGATTTTAACCTCATCTAATTTTTATTGAAATTTGTATGTAAACTGACTTGTAATTCAGCCTGTGGGCTGCTATAAGCAGTGTTTTAATAAACCACAAATAATAATAATAATAATTCTTAGGAGGAGGGGCTCCTTTAGTCTAAGAAAGGGGATCAATTTTCTCCTGTATTCTTGGGGTAGGGTGCTCATTCGGTCAGATTATAAAGGGGCTCATTTTCTCACGTTTCTATGGTTCATTTCGTTCCCACAGTACAAGTGGAGAGAGAAGGAGTTGGGAGGGGGGGGGGGAGGGGGAAGGAGGGGCATGCTTTTCCACAAGCCCATACTCTCCCACCGGCCCCATAGTTGCGGAAATGCCTGTTACTCGTAATGACCAGCAAAACTATAGCTACACTAACTTCTAAATATCCTCATTTACTGTTGGTAATGTTATTCAGACACACGGTGAATGTGCTAGTCGACCTGGCAAGCTTCGGTGGAGGAACCGCCATGCTCCTCGCAACCTCAGAGCTGGTCCTGATCGTCGTTGGTCCCGGGCTGTTTGGCACCTACTGCTACTGGCCACTCATCATAGGTGCCATTATGTGCCCGGCAATATGGGTTGGCATGCCCAAGCATTTCTGGTCAGTAAATTGATATGGAACCTTCCACATCTTAACTAAATTAAACAAGTGCATTGTATTGCTGGTAAAAATACACAGTTAAGTTGAATCATGTTTTTGCCCTTATCCAAAACATTCCTTAAAAACAATTGGGCAAAGCAAAGACATCATTGAACAAACCAAACCTATTTAATTACATATACATGCATTCAAACCTATTTAATTATATATACATGCATTCAGGAAATGAGTACAGGACAGAATAACCCCCAGAAAACTTACACAAATTTCAATTTAATTAAAGGTGTTCTCTGGAGGAAATGGTGCATTGCACTGTGCACTCACCAATCCCAAATCGTGTAGGCAGCTTTTCATAATCTGATTCTAATTAATCCATATTATTAAGGATTTCTTCAGCCCACATTTTTTGTTCAACTGATTTGCTAAACCAGGAAGTATCGATACTGGAATGTTCACCAAACATAACGTTGTAATCTGATCAAATCTACATGCGTGTACTTTCTTTTTTGCTCAAATCTTTCCAGGCTACTTGGTGCTCTAAGCATCATCACCACTCTCCTTGCCATACTCATCATTTTCATCGACGCGGCGATCTACCTGAATGGGAATGGACACGCCCTAGATGAGCTCCAGCCACCCGTTGAGTCCTGGGCTTTCAGCAAACTCATCGGCGCTACCATTTTCTTGCTGGGTGGGCACTTTGTGTATCCTGAGATTCAGCGCGCCATGAGGGAGCCTGGGAACTTTGACCGGAGCGCCCTCACTAGTTTCCTGTGTGAGTAGCACATTATATTTTGATCCTTAGTTGTAGTCCAATCGCAAGTACAGCACAAGTCCATTCACAAATCTTATCACAAGTAACAGGGGATGTACAATAACAAAGGAATGCCTTTGTCACTATTCATTTGAATAGCTTGTGACTTGACTTGGGATTGTATGAATTGTGAATGACTTGTGCGGACTTGTGATGGACCCTACTACAGAGGTTTATAAAAGTATCACATTGAATTGGTTCAAACATGTCATTTGGCATTAGGCCAAAAAAAAAAAAGTATCCGGTTTCTGGTATAGCCATGCGCGTCGGCAAAATGAATGATGTCTCAAAACCGCCAAACTCACTGGTTTGACTGGAATCCTGCTGCTGCACAGTTTAACGTGTTTTTAGATGGGGTTATGATCGAGAATAAGCTTTATGTGGCCTCTCTGGACTCCCATATATTTGCACTAAGTTTAGTCGGGCACCATTTGCAGTCATCAGCCGACATTTGAAGCAAAAAAGTCACTGCACCATTTTTTTGGCAAGCTCCATACCAGAAACCAGAGACTTTTTTTTTTGGCCTTACAGAGAAAATAATATTACACCAATGTTTATTGTGTGTTATATTTCCAATTTCTGGAAACAAAGTTTACAAGACTGAAAATAACAAGAGACATGATTTGACTCAATATGATAATCTCAACTGCAACGACTGAAACCATTCAGGTCAAATGTTATTGCCATTTTGACAGGATTTTGTTGCCTTGAGGTTGTACAGCAATTGTTTCAGACTGATACCATAGATTTGTGCAGAACTTAATGATTTTTCAAAATTGAAAATGAATTAACTGCTGCAAACTGCTTAATGACTGTCTCCTGACAATGACTAGAGCAGGCTAGTCGAAACGTTGAGACCAAAGACAAGTTCTTTTAGAACTTAAAGCAGTACTGTTCTATCAGAACAAAACTACTTAGCGAAAGTTGATAATAAGCAGGACGAGTTCTTTTCAGAACTAAATATCTTCTAAGCAGTAGTTATTACCACACGGTGTTACCGCAAACCGAAACGATACCGATACGCCACCATGCAAAGCCTCAAATCTTATGACTGGATCTTAACGAGATCATCTTCAGAGGCAATATGACAGCGGTACAAGAAACAAACATATGTAGGGGACTCACAAACATGCAGGGTTGGAAGAAGAAACGCACTGAGTGACAAAATAGGGGACAGACCAATGTGGTTGAAGATAAAAGGGGATGGAGTAGATGAAGGAACGAAGGGGTGTTATGATGGGCAAGGATCAGGGGGTGTAGGGATGACGCATTTAAAAATTATAGTTTAATTAGACATCTGAAACAATTAGTGACTAAATAACCGTGTCTGGTAAACCACTGCAGTCATTCGAAACGTCTTCAGAATCCAGTCAATTGAAATTCTGGCATATATAAAGGTTGGCTGTCTTACGACTTGAATTGATCTAAGTACGTTTTGGTTTTAATTTAGTATTGATAGTTCAAATACTTTACAATACTTCCTGCACAAATTTCTTAACATTTGTTTTTTGCTCTTCACCCCAGTGATTGTGGTGTTTCTCTTCCCCACCTTGCTTGTTGTCTTTGTCACCTACGGAGAGATCATTTCCCCTGATGGTGACATGAGCCTCCAAGCCGGTCTCTTGTCAATCCTACCTCGGGACGGCCTGACAGTGGTTCCTGGCCTGCTTCTGCTCATCAGCAGTGCACCTGTCATGCTGATCATTATCAATCCCCTCTTCCAACATCTTGAGGAGGTGTTGAACATCCCTGAAGGTAAAATGATTAAAGAGACTATGACATGGATTTTATTTGGGAAGATATTGTATTGCAACTTTTTATTACTCTTATATTTATGAAATGTATTTGACATCCCTGTTTAGGTTATTTTTCTTCTTTAAACATCTAAAATGTTCCATGCTTTTCATGACATCTGCATGAGGGCGCCCTTGCTGTGATGTCATGTTCGGAACACACTCTTCAGTTCAGGGGTTTCAATCATGAATCCGAAAATTTGCTCATTGAAAAAATTTGTGAGAAAAGGTGACTTACTGTCATCTATAGAAACAACGAATCACCAAAACCAGAAAATTCACAACAGCACAATATCCAAAATTCTGGTAACTTTTTGGTGCTGAAATAGCTGTTACACTGAGGTTTCTGCCTAAAATGACATCATAGTGTTGCTCATAAATATTGAAACTGGCATTAGCATAACAACCAAAAATGCAGCAAAATACCGAAAAATTTAAAATAAACTTAAATGGGACACAAAGATGCATTTTCAAGAATTGCATTGTAAAAATGACATACATGGGCCCTTTAAATTTGCAGTATATTACCCGGTATGTGAAAGGAAACATTGCCTGCGAATTTGTGTTGTTATAAAAAGAGGTAAAGAAAACTGCATGTTTTTGGACTGTATGCTCTGCCTGTTATCAGGAGAACTGGAGAATAACCAGGCAAAGCATACTGTCCGAAACATTGAGTTTTCAACCTAACCTTACCAGAAAACACCTCCCCCCCCTCAGAAACTTTTCTAATGGTGCAACAGCACACTTGTTCCTATTTTCGACTTCACCATGCAGACCTTCAAATCTTATCCAAGAAAGTACACTGTATAACGATACAGCAAGAAGTAGTTAGAGGATAGATGTCTAAGGTCAGCTCTTTATCTGACACCCCTTCTTCCAATTGTTAATGAAGTTCTCAGGCAAACTTAGAGTGCCTGATATTTCTTTGGGTTAACACTTTTAGCTGTAGATTGCCATAGTCTAATGGTTATATCTGACTGCGGTGTGGGTTGGAATCCCAGTCAGGATCAATGTTAGCACGTACGCTAACCATGTCTAATTAGCAGCTCCGAATGTCTGCTTGGTATTTCCGTGAAGTTGGGCCTAGGCCACTAACATTATTTAAATAGAATCAAGTTATTTATTCACTTTCTTTTCCTTCAGAGATTGGCTGGAAGCGTATTCTCCTGCGCACGTCTATCATCATCTTGATAGTCTTCCTGGCCGAGACGGTGAATGAATTTGCGCTCCTTGTGACACTGGTTGGAGGCGTGTTACTCCCTCTGTTGACATTCTTGGCTCCTGCGGTGTCGTTTCTGCGATTGCGGGCCATGCACATGCCAGACAGCTTCTCAGAGCGCCCGTAAGACACTTTTTCCCTTTGATTTGTAAAGGTTGAAATAAAAAAAAAATATGAAGGCTCTCCAGCATCAGCCCACAAGACATTGGTTTCATTGAGTTGCACTGGTGAAGTGAAGTCCATCACAAGTTCATCCATCACAAGTCCATCACAATAGAATCACTTGCCTTCCAGTCCCAAGTCAAGTCAATCACAAGCTAGCCAAATGTCTATGACAAGTTATTCCTTTGTTGTTGTTCATCTGCTGTTACTTGTGACTGGACTCGCGAAGGACTCCACCACGACGCTGAGTTTCATCTGTTACCAAACCAAGACCTTTTTTCACAGTTCAGTGAGCCTATACTCCTCTATTATAGGGCAACAGCAATTTTATAGCATGGTAGCAAGGCTGGTACCAGTCATGATAAATGTATAAGAACGCGATTTGCACCTAGGCTGAGGAGTTGGTATGAAGGAACAAGTCTACAATTAGGAATCACTTCAATTAAGAAAAAAAAATTAAATGTATGATAATCAAGAAGGGACTGAAAATCCAATCCATACACTTGCCCCTGAAATAATCACTGTTCCTATACACTCTTAATTTTATTTAGAAAAACAAAATTGGCAAAGCCGCCTAGATGTATAATTTTTTTACATTTTTTGAAAGATTTGCAGGGTATTAGTGTCATAACATGAGTTCATTGAAATATCTTTGTGCAGAATGTGCTTCAAAAACATGTCATTTTATTTTACTTTATACGAAGTACTGCACTTTAAATGTTCTTTTCATTGCAGGAAGATGCACATCTTTGAGACAATCATGTCCCTCCTCCTTATCCTGGTTACCCCGTTAACGGTCGTCGCGGTTCTGGTCCTCACCATAATTGCGCTTGCAAACGACCAGACGGGTTACGTCAAACCCTGCTACGTTCAGTTCAACAACATGACCAACACTACATGGGAAGATGACTTGTTGCTGACCACTGCTTCCATGTGAAAAGTAATACACTCGTGGAAAAAAATGATAAAATGTTTAAGAAGAAGTAAAACAAAACAGATCACTCTTAATTACATTGGACAGATTCAAAAATATGTTCACATAACTTGTGATTAACCCTCGTTCTTGCAGACCAGTTGAGAAACTAAGACTGGCATTCTAGAGTCATGCCAGACCAAAATATCCCTAAGACTTGAAACAATAGACGGAGTCGAGTCTCAATGAACTCCAAGATATGCCAAGATAATAGAAATCCTCTGATAGCCAAATTATGTGCCCAGTTATTTGATACATCATCGAGGATATTATGCACCCCCTAACTTGGTTACAGAGATAGAGTTGGGTGGTGCCGGTGGAATGCATTGCTGATGTATGCCTAAGCGAAGATGAACTGATAAGTTAAGATTTGTTTCTTATAGCAGACATGATTGAAGAAAAAAAATAGATGAGATGAGCTTTGCAAATTGCGATTTTTTATATATTTCTTTGCATAAAAAAGTTGCCGTTAATATTAGTTCATTTTATTTTTTTAAGAAGTACGTAAATATGCCATGGAAATTTTTTTTTTTATGTCTGAATGTTTTGCTTTTATTACAAATTACATATCAGAAAGTCTAGTAATATCTCAAATTGGACTGATCGATGTGTAGAGGTAAATATTGAATAGTTTTGTTTGTGGTATTATTTCAAAATTTCATTGTGCTACCAGCACACACTGCTTTGATCTTCCATGAGACTTAAAAGGTTTGCATGGTGGACATGATCAATGTATGGGAGGTTTGCGGTGACCATGTGAATGATATCTCTTGGTTAGTTGTGTAGTTCTGAGAAGAACTAGTGGAATGCCGCTATAACGAACATCGTGGGATCCACAGCATTTCTCACATCCCGCCGCCGCACGATGAGTTGTCACAAAACTTAAGCAATGGGTGGTTTTCCCTTTTATTCCTTGGGGAAATAATAGCCATCTATCGCTCTTCTACATTTTAACACGATGTAACCATGGGTGGTTTGATGTTCGGGAATTAAAAGTGGCCCAAACAGTATTTAATACATGTAAAACCGGTAGTTTTTTTTGTTAATCTGTTGACTTTTTTCAACAACGATGTTCGGTACGTTTGGTACATTAAAACCGGGAGCCAAGGATGATATTCGGTTTAGCCGAATGTTCGGTATAGCGGTGTTCCACTGTAGTATTGGTTTGACCAGTTGAGTTAAACCAACTGGTTCTTCTCAAAACAACACAACTCACAAAGAGATATCATGCACATGGTGTAACCGCAAACCTCCCATTCTTTGATCTTCCAGTATTAAAATGTTCACTGCATTTCTGTCTAATGAATATACATCTCCATAATTTTTTTTTTTTTAAAGTTTCCTGTTCACGCCATTTGCTTTGGATAATGTCATTGTATATTTATATAATATAAAACTGTGGGGCATTATCAATGTTTGCAGTAATTATAGAGACAACAGGAAGGTCAGCTGAAGAAGACGTAAAGATTGCAAAATGTAGACTGTATAGACGAATAATGCTCACTGCAAGAATTATAAAGTGAAGTAGGTGCTCAAAAGATTAATTTTATTTTAGGTCTTGTAGTAATTAGAATCTGTTGTTTGGGTTATTGGTTTAAATTGTCTGCACTGGAGTTATTTTGGTAATGAATTTTTTCTAATGTACACAAAACATGTACAAGTTTAGTTTACCATTTTGATTAGGGACAAAAGTCACAATGAGTAACATTGCCACGTTATGCTAAGTTACAAGACATTCATTTCAGTAATGCTGTTTGTAGTTACTTCAAATTTTCAATGTATCAATTAAATTATTGCACATTTTCCCTTCAACTTCATCACTGGCGGTGACAGTTAACACTGAACTTTTGAAGAAACAGATTTATATACTTTGTTTTTGGAAGAACAAATGTCAACGATGAATTGCGAACAAATAAAGCAGATGCTGAATAGTGGTTCAACTTTTCTTTTCTTAGAAGTAAAATATGATCAAATAGCGTGCTTGTGGTGGATTGCAGAATAAAATACTTTATTTTGTAAATTTGGCCAATGTCACTGTTCTCTCTAGCTTTTCTGAACTTGCAAGGATACTAGGAGATGTTTTCTTTTTGTACCCTATTTTATATAAAAAAAGGTTTTTCATAACAAAACATGATAAAGTCGCACTTTCCATTCATACTTTCATTTCCTTTTTATACTTTTAACAGCTGTCAACAACTGAAGTACACAATATTTTTATTAACAACCCTGCTTAGGCAAACAATATAATTTATAAAATCAATTAAAAAAAAAGACGGGCCTTCAAAAGGACTTTGTTTAATATTTTCAACTTTTAAACTGAGGTTTTATCGCTGGTGATGTTGGAAGACTATTGTGACGACGATTCTTGAAATCGTATTTTTTGGGGCGAAAGAGGTTTTAGAGTCATTGCGTTTGAATGGCGATCTAACAGATTGAGCAATTGCAGAATTTTTTCATCTGAAGTAGTTTATGAAATTGGCTTTCCAGTCATTCTTCTTTTTGGTGCTACATATTTTTTTTAAAATATGAAATATATTTTTGGGCGTTTGGGTTCCGCTTTTTTGACTCGCCCTGTATATCGTCACCGGAGGTAAGATGGCCTGTTTGAGGAGAGTCGTGACCTTGACGTGACAGTTCGTTGCAAAAGTATTTGTATATCGAGGTATTAATAATTTATCAATTTTTTTTTATTGATTGTTTAAGAGGGAAATATCGAGGAGAATAGTGGAGAAAACTAACCATCTTGGCAAGGAGAATATTCAAAAGGGAATTATGGAGGAGACTCAACATCTTGGCTAGGAGGATATTCTTTTAGAAGGGAATTATGGAAGAGACAAAACATCTTAGCTAGGAGGATATTTTTATAAGGGAATTATGGAAGAGACTAACCATTTTGGCAAGGATTATATTTTTTAGAAGGTAATTATGAAGGAGACCAACCATCTTGGCAATAAGAGGCTATTTTTTAGAAGGAAATTATGGAGGAAACTAACTGTCTTGGCTAAGATATAGAAGGGAATTATACAGAAGACTAACCATATTGGCTAGGAGGATATTTTTAGAAGGGAATTATGGAGGAGACTAACCATCTTGGCTAGGATGATATTTTTTAGAAGGGAATTATGGAGGAGACTAACCATCTTGGCTAAGAGGATTTTTTTGGAAGGGAATTATGGAGGGGACTTATAACCATCTTGGCTTGGATGATATTTTTTTAGAAGGGAATTATGGAGGAGAACCATCTTGGCTTGGATGATTTGTTATTCAGGTGATTTATGGAGAATGTCATGGATCTTCATGAGGAAGAAATTTTGTAGTTGGAAAGTTGAGGTTTATTCAATGAACAATAAAATTGTATTAATTTATTGTAACTAAGATGGTCTACAGAGAGAAGAAAACAGAAATCGATAAGGGATGTTACTAAGATGTTGGTTAGCAGAGATTGATGTCATCAGATGGATGTCTTTCATGTGTTTCTATACAAAGTTATTAACTGCAATTTAATAATATACAAATAATGAATGTTTGTGAGTGCAATGGTCAGAATAATTTCATGAGGTGTTCGCCTCGTGGAATGGAACATTTCATCTGTCACCTAATGAAATTATTCTTTCCATTGCACGAACGTGAAACATTCTTATTTGTTTTATATAACACCTGAATAAATCCTTGTCATCTGATTGGTTGACTTTTAATAGCCAGTTTATTCAGGTTAAAAACTGTTTAAAAGTTCGACAACTTCATCATATTTATATTAATGCAAACTGTTCAACAGGTTGAGAACAATCATGTTCAATTTATTTCATTTTAAAACAGCGCCACCGCCAGCAGCAGTGACACCGTGCAATGGAAGTTCTATTCACCGTGCAATAGAACTTCCATTGCACTGTGCGCTGCGCGCCACGCGCGCGCCGTGCGTTGGTACGAATAATTCAATGACATGTGATCAACGATCCACCAATCAGATGACGGGATTTTATTCAGGTGTGGTATAAATCATAATGGAAGAGACTTACCACACTGGCTAGAAGGATATTTTTAAGAGGGAGTTAATGAGCAGACAAACCATTTTGGATAGGAGGATATTTTTTTAGAGGGCATTATTAAGAAGACCAACCAGGAGGACATCTTTCAGACGGAACTATAAAGGGTAATCTTCATGGCTTGGAGGATATTTATATCAGGGACGACTCATGGTGAAGTAAGAACATAACAAATATAACACGAACACGAAAATTATTTCTGGAGTAATAGAGAAACATTTTATTTTTCTAAAAAAAAAGGTAATTTTTTTTGACACAAATTACCAATACAGTGAAATCTCCATGAGTCACACCTCAAGGGAACAGGTTAAAAATTTGACTTAAGCAGAGTTTTGAGTTAAGTAGGGTTGTGTATCATTGTTATACTACTGAAGGCAATGGATTCTTTGTTTGACTGAACAGTTGTTTTGAGTAATCAGAGTTTGACTTATCGAGATTTTACTGTATATACAATATAAAAAAACCCGTATGATGATGTTAATGAGTTATTAAGATCAATATACTTTAAGCAAAATACAAATGTGATGGTGAGACCAACAATTATTTTTTATTTGAAGAGGCAGTTAAAATGTATTTACACTGTATATGAAAACAAAATAATCTTACAAATTGTTTTTCAATGGATTTATATATTACAGGAGTTTTCAATAAATTTTGGTGAAGGGATGTATTTGGTGTGCGAAGATTATGGACAAGGCAAGTACACAATATGCATTTTTAAAGTTCTATTAAAATAAAAGTTCTGTTATAATAAAAGTGTCTTATTTAAGGGGAATGCGTTTATCTAAGCAATTATAATTATTTTGTCAAAGTAGATCATTCTAATGTGGGAAGGTTTTTCCAATCCTCTTAAGTACATTGTATATGAACATTTTAATTTTACTATAAGTTTATTGAAAAATAAGTTTTTTTAAACATTAAAAAAAAATCATGCCTTGTGGATAACTAAGGGCGCTGTTTCTTTGATGTCATTTCAGGAAGACCCTGTTCTCATTAGCTGTTATTCTGTAGAAATTCTGTACCTAAATTGTTTTCATTGAAATATTTGTGAGAAAGGTTTGTTCATTGGCTTACTCCCATGTATTGACATAACAACGAATTACTAAAGAAAAATTGCGACAACGAGATATCCAAATTTCTGGCAACTTTTTGTGCAACACCAATTGTAACATTGTGGTTTCTGTCTGATATGACATCACACTTTCGCTCTTTAATATGGATATTTGTATCAGCATAAAAAAACAGAAAAACACTAAAATACACTTAAAAACGGCAGAATGAAAATTGAAAATAGGGCTAAATGGGACACAATGGTGCATTTCCAAGGATTGCATTAAAGAAACATTTCAGTGGCTCTTCAATCTTAACTCTATATCCATGTGTGCAATATCATGTCAAACAAATTTGAAGGATGGGGAACTGTTCGAGTTAATATTATTAATGTTTATATAAAAGTGTCGCGACAAATCAACACTAAAAAAAATTCACTTGATTTTTGTTTTATTTTTCTTTATTAGGGGCTAATGGTGGTATACCTAGATTTCAGGATGGTTCTTATGGAAGAGGATTCTTAAGGAGAAAGTGATCGTTGAGGTTATCGGTTTGAACTCAATTGTTGTTATGAAGCTTTGTGGGTGGGATTTAGGCGAGAGAAAAATTGTGTTGGCTATTTACATTATATTTAATGTACTGTTGAAACAAAAGAAACTATTTATTTACAAAAATAACATGTAGAATTGCAGAAGGCTGAACAGTCTAATAGTCGAGCCATTCTTGCCTCTTCAATTGTGTTGTAGGTTTGTGTGCTTAGTCTATGGGAGAGAATTAAACAGGGACATAGGGAAATACAAAGCATTGTTCTCGGGAGTATAGTAAAACAAGAGTGAGTGCACTTTGTGTGTTATTTCTGTGACATTCGCCTTTAATGATGCTTGAAAAAATGTTAGTATTGTGATTGGAAGTAGAGTGTACGTATGTGAAATTTTGGAATGGTTTGTGGTAAAAAATGTAATTTATCGTATTGTAATGTATGGTGGTTGATGGAAATGCATAGGTCTGAGAAGTATACTGTGATTAGTATGGATTTGGATAGATGTGGGCGAGTAGTTTGATGAGATGTGTACGGTTGAACTCTTTGGTGTTTCACATGATGATGAAGCAGTCGTCCATGTATCTTTGAAATTTAAAAATGTTTGGATGTTTGTGATGATTATGGAAGTTGTATTCTCTGTGAGCTAATATGAGGTTTGAGAGTTGTGCTGAGTGGTATGATCCCATTTGTATCGCCAGATTCTGTTTGAAGATGTGATTACCTATTTTGAAGTTGCTGTAATTGCTGGTGAATGTATGTAGTTCTTTGAAATATGTGTGAAATTCTGGAGGGTATTCCGGCAAGGTGGCAAGTTTGAGAAGTGTGTTATAGATATCTTGTGGGGCATTCTAGCATGGGGAAATACTCATAGTACTTATTTGAATAAATTATTAATAGTACAGAAGAAGCTGATGAGAGTCATCACAAATTGCGGTTTCAGAGAACACTCTGCGCCCCTTTTTAGACAATATAAAACACTAAATATTTTTGAACTGTACAAATACCATCTAGGAATCCTAATGTTGAAATTCGAAGGTAACCTACTACCTACAAATATCAGGTCCATGTTTGTGAGGAATCTAGATGTCAATTTACATAACACACACACAAAATTCACATTGGTAAGGCTAGGACTGCATCATTCATGAAAACAGTTAGACACCAAGGTCCCCTTCTCTGGAATCAGCTTACCCCTATACCCTTCTTCCGGACTGTGCATAAATTCAAAAGATATCTGAAAAATCTACTTATTTCCGGTATTATATAAGACATGCTTCCATAATTCACATCTGTATAAGTCACATTCTATTATAATCAAATGTTATATTGTAAATCGGTATATTTTCAATTTCCTTCAGTTTTTCTACTATTATGCCAAGTAATTAATTAA